CCTCCTCCTCACACCGCTGAGAAGTGTGTGATAGGGGAGGGGAGCACTTTGAAGGAGAAAAAGACCAATAACGTATAAAATTAATAATCAAGTTCGGTTATTTTCTGAACATACCTCGTATACCATTGCTGTCCAAAAACCTCAAAATTTTCGCCACAAAGCATATAGTTTATGCATGCACAAACATTTCAAACAAATTGGTAGTTTGTTTAGGTACTTTATCTCGGATATACTTCATAGAACTTACTAATATGACATCCTGTATCCTGTAGATCCAAATAACTTTGTCGGGTCCAGTTTTGCGTCTTCAATGTCAGTAATTCAATCCAGACACCTAACGATTTTCTTTTGTGGTAAACACTAACCATCTATCTGCCACAACTCACAACCCACTGGACCCCTAATAATAAAGCAATTTATAACAATTAACGGAGAACATAATTTTTAATACGCTTGTACCATAATTAAATTAATGTTATTATAACGCCTAATTGCCGCAATTTGTGGTATTTATGGGAGGAAACAGGACTTCCCGATTCTGTTCTTCGCCGTAGGTGGCGCACATGGTCGTTACATGGCACACTTCGTAAATCACGGTACCATAAATCTTGGCAGTTTTATTAGATTACGCTGCTAGGAAATAGAAACATCCTTATCTGGGTTATTAGCGTTATTTATTGCAATTACGACAGATTCGTATTTACGTACACTATCAATAACAAAAATATTTAAATTTATTATGGCTGGATCTGCGGGGATGTTGTGCCTTGGTTCTACAAATTCGAGGCGCGGGTATATTCATATTATAATTCGCAAAGCGTAGATTATGTATTCAGTAGTTTCGATTTATTTATTTAAAGGCCATAAAAAATATGAAAAAATAATTAAATTTTTTCAACTGATGATACATTTGACATTTTAGCCCAGTTACTGTAGCTGAAAATATAGTAATACCTCCGAATTTTTTATAACTGCATCGATTTTTCTCAAAATTTAGAATTAGGCTCATCTTACCCCCCACTTCAAAACTTATATATGCGCTAGGTGTGCTTTTTGTTCTTAAGGGGTGAAAACCACCCCTTATTGGAAAAAAAGAAAAAATACAAATTTAAGCATTTTATGTAATCAAATCTTTTTTATTTATGCAGTATGAGTAATTTCATGTGCTATCTAACATGAAACTTAATGTATCCCAAATTTTTAACCCGGGAAAACCTTTAAAAACCATCCCTTTGGATGAAAATAATATAATTGAGGGCATCAGAAGTAAAAGGGCTCAAGTGCATTTATCATTGTTCTGAGATAATTTGCATTAAAGATTATTGATGTTTAATAATTTCAGTAAATATTTAAAGAACCTATTTTTAGGGAATAATTTAATTTACATTGTTAAAATAATGATGGCAAATCGTCATTTTGTAATTATTTTTTGAATATTGTTTATTTTGAAAAAATGTACTTGAACCCAAATGACCCTTCATAAAAATGTTGTAGTAAAATGATTTAAGTGCGGCTGATACATAAAATGACATTCATATTGATTAAACTATATTTTATTAATAAAACATAGCTTTACAGTAGTTATCTTATTCATAATCTGATTCCAGTATTGTACTGTCTTCATCATCGTTATTGGCGGCAGCTTCTGGGGCCAATACCTGTTGGGTAGCATCATTACTTGGAATTGAAGATTTGACATCATGTTTCATTTTTGTAAAACGAATGATAAAGAGGGGGAATGTAGTCCAAAAGGCTTAAAAGATTTTTTAAATTTTTATTTTTTATTTTTAATGTAGTTTTGTTGAGGGGTTTCAAAGCTGACAGCTGGAAAGATGGACGGCGGCCAAATTTTGACACTCCTTTTAAACACATCGATAACTCATCTAGTCATTGTCTAAGGTATTTTTGTATCTGAATGAACGTTTTTCAGATTTCAAGTATCCAAACCAACGAATACTTCTCCATTTCAGAACTTGACCATCGGTGGACAACCCACTCTTATGTTAATATTTTTATTACTATTTTGGTTTTATTTACTTACCATCACTTTCTCTATCACTATCCATTGAAAATTTAAAAAATGAAACAATATTATTAAGAAAACACTTAAAAAACTCTCCGTACGCCGTACACACAATATAATTTAGGTATACACAGAATACAGAATGGTTAGTAGGAAAAGGGTTCAAGTGCACTTGAATCCATTTACTTCCAAATTAAATGAAGATTTATTTGGGTATGTTTTTCTACTGGCTAATAGATGGCAGTGGAATAGTGAAATTAACTTGAATCTTTTTACTGCCAGATTTTAATAGCTTTTAACTATGAGAATATTCACTTAACTCATTCTTTGAAAAAGTGTACTTGAATCCTTTTCCTTCTAACCCCCTCAATTTTTTTTTCAACTTTAAATGTTTTAATCATGCATTTTTATCAAATTGAAATTGTTTTCTTGATTAAAAAATCTTTTTTATCGATTACTTTTCATCCCTTGAAAAAATAAAATGAAAAAATATTATTGAAAGAGTACAAACATATTAAATGTGCATTCGTATTAAATAAACATTTATTCCCTTCTTATAAAATAATTTTGAATTGATTGAAACTTTTCAGCCCTTAAAAATTACCCCTTACATTTATTTATATATTTGTATATTTTTTTTTCTAAAATTATCACCTATAAACGTGTTTATTTTTTTGACGATAACTTTCTTACTTTTTAAGATTTTTAATCGCACAAAGGCTCACTTTGCAGGGAATTGTAAAGGCTACATGAACTGTTGAATTGATCTTTTTTAAGCCCTTCATTTTTAAGTTTGAAGGGTTTAAAGGGCTCGAAAAGGGTGGTTCTCTCATTCATATGATAAATTAAAATGGCGATATCTCGATTAATATTAATTTTAGAGGAATAATAAAAAAAGCAAAATCTTCAGCAAAAATAAAGCTAATTTTTTTTACTCTTGTATTATTTTCGTACATCTTTTAATTTTTAAGTTACAGCGTAAAAATCGATTTTTTTCAAAAATTAGAAAATTTAACATTTTCAAAAATTAAGTTTTTTTTTTCGAAATCATGTTTTGTAAGTGAGCCAAAGACCCAGAACATATTCTTAGAACATAAATGAAGAAATCTGTAAATAGATTGCATTTAATTTTAATTCTGCCGCCAAAGGCACTAATTTGTTTATTAATTTTTTCTTAAAAAAATGAAACTATCATGTTATTTCTATCATATTTCCGTTAATTTTGATTCTAAAGACTTTTAAAACAGCTCATTTTAAAGGTTTTTCAAAGTACTTTAAAAAAGGTTCAAATAGATTTTTTTCCTAATATTTATGGTTTTGGTGTTATTTAACGTTAACTGGTTCCAATTTAGTTTTTAGTTTTAAACATAATAATGTTTAAAAATCCATAACTCGGTTTATATTGCAATTAGAGAAAAAGAAAATCCAAAAACCATTAGATTTGTTTTTTTATTACCTTTCTTTTTGTTCATTACAACTTTTTCGTTAAATCCAATGGTTTCAGAGTTATTTGCAAAAAACAGGCCGAAAACAAGCACCTTTTCAGTAAAAAAATCAACATTTTCAATGAGAATTACTCGGAAAGTATTGGATTATCCAAAAAACTTTATATAACATTTGTTACTTAAAATTGACTCCTCTATATATTCCTGTGGATATTTTGGGCGTAAAAATTTCCATCCCCCAAAAAGGGGTAGGAACCACCCCCAGGGCAAAAGCCCACTTCGGCACTATATAAGTTTTGTTCCTTGAGGCATTCCCCACATTCACGCAAATCACATTCCCCACATTTCACGTCAATCGGTTCAGTTATAAAGATTTCGGAGGTAAAAACCCTGAGCAACTGGACTGCCCTGACTGCATATGCCAGAGGACGGAGACAAGGGAATCAAGGACCCATGAGTAAAGATAATTAAATTTAAATAAAAAGAATTCCACAATTTTGCGTAAAGTTCTAGAATTTGTTTACATTTTATCTGCATTATTTAAGGTGCAAATTATTTCCACCAGAAGGCAAACGTATGGCTTGAATCGCCAATGTTTAACGTTACATTCACGTTTAGACTACATACATTTAAACTAACTTTTTAAACACGATTTATTATGTAAATGTGGAAATTACAGGTTTTACATACACCATGATCTTAAATTGCCCGTTTATATACAGGGTGTAAATAAATAAGTGCGGGGTGATTCCCTGTCGAAAAATAACGTGGGTCTTTCATATAAAAATACCAAAAAAGTGACAGAAATGAAATTAAGTAGACGCTTTCTGCTATCGAGAAGACACTCAGTAAATAATTTGTTGATTTTCCCCTGCGGCAGGGGCAGATCCAGAGATGAACTAAAAAAAAAATTTTTTTTAAACAAAAAAATGTTTAATCTATATTCATTTAAGTTATTTAAAAAAACGTCGGGTAGGTAGTAGATTTAGAAGCTTACAGTTTAGAATTTCAGTACAGGCCTATTTGATTTTAATATTGTGGAGTATGGAGCTCTTGGGGTGTGTTTTTTTATATGAAATACCCACCTTATTTTCAACAGGCAAACACCCACTGAATTTTTTCGCACTTATTTATTTACACCCTGTTTAATAATAATTACAGTTGTGAATGTGATACGATGTCAATTGGAACCTGTAAATCTTAAAGCACAAGACCGTATGCACTTCTCCTGAAATTTCTTCCTATGCTTTGACCATGAAGTGACTCGTAATTTATACTCGAATAGCAATTCGGCGAATTCGGTATTGGTAAACTAGTCCGCCTGATGTGGAATTGACGGCGGCGCGAAGGTCATCAAAGCAAACCTGTATTGGTACACTAGGCCGTAAATAATTTTTTGTGTGGTACACGGGTTCACTTAGCTTTGCCGCTTTGCCAGTGCAGTGCAGAGCATTTGAGGTGGCTGACGAGCACACCACGCCATTTTCACACCACGGATATAACTTGAGTTTTATTTTTCTCTTTTTTTTTAGGAAACTTGTAACCCAAAAGCCTGTAGCCGAGATGCGGACGCCGAGAAAGCCGTCTGCGGCTCGGACGGACTGTCATACCCCAACAGATGCCTGCTCGAGCGCGCCCGTTGCAAAAACCAAAACCTGACGCTGGTCAAAAGGGGGCCTTGCAAGCAGCAGCGCGCCTGCCTCGAGTGGGACTCCTACCTAGTGGCCAACCCCCTGTATAATAATAGGTAAGCTATCGCCTTCACCACAGTGATATCACGAAAACGTATTACCATCGCCTTTCCCTGTTGCAGTTTTAAGCCCAAGTGTCGGCCAGACGGCACCTACGAGCTGGCTCAGTGCCACCCCGACACCGGCGCCTGCTGGTGCGTAACCCCCGAAGGTCTGCCCCTGCCGTACACCACCAGCCGGCGGGGCAAGCCGCGCTGCGGCCGGAAGCGGAAATCCACGAGGCGGCGTTCGCCCAGCCGGAAACACAAGAACCGGATATGCAAAAGGGCCGATAAGGCCACGCTCAACAACAACCTCATCAACAGTTTTCACTCCGAGTTCAACAGGTGCGTTAGAGGGCTAATGGTGGCATAACAACAGCCTATGAAAAACGTTGATTCCTTTGCAGGGACACCGGCAAAAACGAGTCGGACACCGTGGTCATCACGTGGAAGTTTCGCGCCCTGGACCTCAACGGCGACGAGGTGCTGGACAAGACGGAGTACCGTGACCTGCGCAAAGTGGTGAAGAAAGCGGTCCGTCCCAAGCGCTGTGCCAAGAACTTCCCGCGGACGTGCGACGTGAACAGCGACCAGCTCATCGGGCTGCAGGAGTGGGCCGAGTGCCTCACCAGGGACGGCATAGATGGTAGGTAGATGCTTGGCAATTTTTTTAAATATAATAAAAAAATAATATAACTCACACCGTGGCACCAGTTAAATGCAAGCCGCGTTGTAATATCACCAAAACAAAACTAAAATAAGCTATATGAGTTTGTACAATTTAAAAAATTACTTGCTAAAAAACACACTCTTTATACAGTGTGGACCAATATCTTGAAAACTATAAGAGATAGGAAAATGGTTAAATGGGAAAAGTTTTAGACTAGACCGTTCTGCTAACTTAATGGCATGGCGCTTGCAGACCGGTCCTAGCTCTTCAGGTGTTTGGGTTATTTTGAAAAAGAGTAAATGTGACGTTTTCGAAAATCGTCTGTAACTTTTTTATTTAAAGGAATTTTTAAAATCTGGAGACACTATTTCAAGCAAGTTTTTTCGAGGAATTGACTGTATATTTAGATTTTCATTGCGACGTTTCGGTTGCGAGAAATCATCATCAACCTTCTTTTTTCTTATGGGCGCCGTATTGAATATTGAGCTGAGCAAATAGAGCATACTTTTAGATTTTCAGTGATACAATATAAGTAAAAAAAAAATTCAAAAACGAAGTTAAAAAGCAATTATTTAATATTTTTAATAAATCTGGCAACACCGCATAATTTTTCGAAACTATTATAGAATAGTCTCAAAATTTTGTAAAAGTTTATCATCAATGTCATTGAGTTGGGTGAAAAAAATACGCTTTGCGTTATTCCAATGAAGAAACAATGTGAAATGTTGGAGTGCTTTATTAAAAATAAAAGAAAAGCAAATGTGGCTTTAAACAGTTATATTGGAAATTACCCCGAAAGACCACCACCAAATGAAATAAATTTTTCTAAATTTATTACAAATTTAAGAAATTTTGAAAAGCTACATGAAGCCATTTTGCCGATTTTAAAACAAGTGTCACCATAACTCTATGATTAACAATAATTCAAAATGATAAGCAGTTTGAAACAAATGAAAATATTATTATCGTCATAGAAGATTCATATACTTCTAATGGGGTTTTTCTTCGTAAACACGTGGCCATTCCTATATTTTTTTCACTCAACACCAAGCTTTTAAAAAAATTTGAGACTATACTATAATAGTTTCGAAAAATTATGCGGTGTTGACAGATTTATTAAAAATAATAAAATGTTCATTTTTGAGATCGTTTTTGATTTTTTTTTACTTATATTATATCATTGAAAAGCTCACAAATGATGTTTTTGCTCAGCTCAAAATTCAATATGGTGCCCATAAGAAAAAAGAAAGTTGCTGATGGTTTCTCGCAACCGAAACTTCGCAGTGAAAATCTAAATATACAGTGAATTGATCGAAAAAACTTGCTGTGAAAAAGTGTCTTCAGATTTTAAAAATTGCTCTAAATAAAAAAGTTACCGACGATTTTCGAAAACGCCACACTTACTTTTTTTTTTTAAATAACCCAAACACCCGAAGAGCTAGGTCTGCTAGCGTCATTAAATTAGCAACAGAAATGCCCAAAACAGTCCCCATTTAACCATTTTCCTATCTCTTATAGTTTCCAAGATATCAATAGATGCTTCACCAAAATGGTCCATACTGTATACACACAGATTAATAATAATACAGACATTAGGTTATTTAAAACAGAATATGATAAATTTACATAAAATTGTGTTGCACATTTTGCTTACCTGTCAAACTGGTACTATCACAAGTATCACAACGGAGGAATAAGAAATTATTACTTTAAAACTAAATAAATAGTGCTTTTAGTCCCTAATTTTAGGAATCAAAGCGTTATTTTAGTTTCTAAAGATTAACTGTACTTTTTAATGAGAACCTCTAACAAAAACAAATGAACCATAGCAATTTAAATGGTTGCTAAGGTAATTTGACGGCTATTAGAGTATTAAAAAGGCCCGCTAATTGTTAACCCCACAGTTTTAGAGGAAGTTAGGTCGTTTGCCGCCAGGGCAGGACGGAGGACGGTCGACGTCGTCAGAAAGCGTGTCACAAATTTAATCCGCTAGGACAAACGTCTTTTACTCTCATACTCTCATAAAAAAATTAAACCAACTATTCATTTAAAATACCTACCTACCGGTTTTTGAGAATAAAATTCTTCGATATAGTCTGAAACCTGTCTGTGTCTGTATTATTTTTAGTTTGTGTACTAATCTTAGGTAGGTGTAGATTAGTGACGGTGACCACTCACTAACGACCTCTTCCGGCAGTCGAGTCAGTCTTGACTCGTGCCCCCGCTCTTCCGGTCGCCCATACACTTTAAATAGTAGAAGATCGACGTCCCGACAATTGCCGTAAACTAGACTGTAAATTTTAAAAAATGCCATTTGCATATCTATTATTTGATACGTTCCAGATCTACACAGAATACACGTGAATAAGTATTAAGAATATAATTAATCAATATGACACGTTTAGACCACGTTTCGGGGACACTGATCCATCTTCTACTAAACAACTAATAATTTAGTTAGGTGTAGCATACGCGTACTTTGTTTTGAACTTAAATAGTTTCTTTGCGTGTGTTCTTGTCGCTGAACGCAGATGGGCGTAGCCAGAACACATCCAACGACAGCGGAGACGACTCCGAGGACTACGAGGAGGCTATCAGTGCGAACAGGTCGCCACCGCACGGAGGTAAGTCCCACAGGATTTTAAATAAATAAACTGCCGAGCCCCTTCCCACTACGAATGCCGCTTTAGTCCAAATATTAGGTATTTACAGCATGTGCCAGACCCAGAGATGCAGCGTGACCGAAATTTGCCGGTAACTTTTTTCCCACAAATTAATAAAAATCTAGATCGCGCCGTTATCATAGACCTTATAAACTATGGACACCGGTATGATTGGTTGAATTAAGTGTAGCGCTACAGTCGAAGTTTTATAAATAAGCCCGCACTAGCTCTGCCTCTCTCGCACACGCTTGTGCGATTGCCGTTTATATTGGCAAAATGACAGTTGGGCAATCCAGTAGTTTATAAGGTCTATGGCCACTATACAGGATGTTCTGAAAGTCCGGGTGATGATCCTACGCATTAAAATAATAGCAGATTTTCGAATTGTCAATTGTGACAGCTTGTCATAGTGAATTTTTTAATTTCTCTTTTTAAATAACTTTTTTAATTCAAGTTCGATTAGTCTCTCATTTGGCATACCCCTAAGTACAAGAAGCTCTATTGGACCAGTCAGAGAAAGTTTCATTATGCGCCACTAGATGGCACTTTACCTAGTACTCAAAATTTGTTTTGTTTATAACTTTTTTTTCTTACTAGACATTACAGAAATTTAAACATTATTGAAAAGAGAAACAATATCAGAAAAATTATGTACCCTCTATTCAAGCCGATAAATGTAAAGGTTTAGCAGGAAATCGGTATTAAAGTTTTAATAAACATCAAATTTTTGATAATTCTTTCTGTAAGTCAAGTTGCCATGCTCTAATAACATCTATTGTAAAACCAGCTTCCTTAGTAAATAAAATATTAGTAAATTCATTATACTCATTTTATTTTTCCACAATGCTATTACAGACAAAAAAAAAATATATTATGGTGAAAAATTAAACTTATACCTGCTTTAAACAATTTTTGTTACAATTCGTAACACTAAAATTATAAACGACATTTATTTGAAGCATGGCAACTTGATTAATTACAGAAAGATTTATCAAAAATTTGATATTCAATAACACTTTATTAGCGATTTCCTGCTAAACAGTTACAATTATCGGCTTGAATAAAGAGTACATACTTTTGCTGATATTATTTCTCTTTTCAATAATGTTTAAATTTCTGTGATGTCTAGCAAGAGAAAAAAGTTATGAACACAAATATTGAGTTCTAGGTAAAGTGCCCTCTAGCGGCGCATAATGAAAGTCTTCTCTGACCGGTCCAATAGAGCTTGATCTACTTAGTGGGTGTGCCAAATCGAACTTGAATTAAATAAGACATTTCAAAAAGAAAAATTAAAGAATATTGAACTTTGACCAGCTGCAAGTTGAAAACTATAACAATTCGAAAAAAAATGTCTTTTGAATCCGTAGAATCACCTCCCGAAGTTTCCTGACGGACTTTCAGAACACCCTGTATAATAAAGTAGATGGCATCTATAGAAGTATGCCCTATTTGCCGTTAATTAGCGATTTGGCGTATCAGATTTGATATTTGCTTTATTTGATAATTATTAGCACATTATCAAAAAATATAATTAATGGTTTTGGGGAGTAAGTAATGTCCGTTTTCTTTAAATTTAAAAATTCATGTTGCAATTGCCGCTGTTTTGCCCCCTCGTCATCGATCGTCGTGGTCATAAGGAACGTTTTCTTCATCGTATTGTCACTGGTGATGAAAAATGGTGTCTGTACGAGAACTTGAAACAACGGAAAGAATGGTAAAGCCCCAAAAAACAAGATCAGAACTTCATCCTCGAAAGACAATGTGTTTGGTAGGATTGGAAAGGGATTCTTTATTACGAACTCTGTGGTTATTCAACAAAAAAGACCTGATCGGTGAATCGACGTTCTTTTGCGACCAGGGTCACATATGCACCAAAACGGCCATTTGGGAGTTGAATCGGGAAGTTCCGCCCCACCCGCCTTACTCTCCCGACCTCACACCTTCTGATTTTTACCTCTTCCCCTTGTTCTCAAACACCTTACGCGATGTTTTTTTTTTTTTTAACGACAATGGGTTAAGAGTTTGGTTGGACGAGTATTTTATGTCAAAACCGGAGGATTTCTACAGAAGAGGCATATAGAAACTTAAAAAATAATGATAATTGTAGTTAAAAATAAAATATCTTAAATTTGAAAAAAAAACTAATTTCCCAACCCAATATATTGGGCTTCTATTAAGTAAATAATTGTCGCCAAAAAGTTTTGTAAAAATAGAAAAATATCAGTTCAAACGTCAAATCTGATATTCATCGTTAAATTTCTGATAAAGCCATTGTAGGAAGTACCAAACACTTTTCGATCAATGAAGAATTCATTTTACGGCCCTTTAGTAGTTAAAACGATAAATATATTTAAAACTATTTGATTTATGACGGCCCGAACTAGAATTTTGAACATCTATATCGAAACGAAGAGTGAATGAGTGAGTTTAACCCCTTTGTTGTACGCAGTCTATATTTTTTCTAGGTTTATGTGTATCTTAATTTTTTAGCTCGTTGGCTTTGGCAGCAGAACACTTGATTGGATTTCAATTTTGTCCAAAAAATAATGGTACCTAAAAGCCTGAAATACGATTGAATAAAATTCTATTTTGCATTATTCAAAAATCATTTCACGTTTATCCTTTTTGCTCTAATATTCACTGCCCCTAAAATGTATTAAAAATTAAATCTACTAGTTCTCAGTCCTGGCGTAATAATTGGACCTAACTATGAAGAGGAATCTTCAGAGATTCGTGAAGAAACGGAACCCACGGACTGTCTTTCCGACAGAAACGTGTCACTGTCCGAAGGATACCAGCAGTTGTACGTACCCGAATGTACTCCAGACGGCAGATACCAAAAGGTATATTTTTAAATTTTAAAATGTTGCTTTCTTAGATTTTCATTGTAACTTTCTCCTTCAGATCCAATGTTACAAGTCTGCAGGATACTGCTGGTGTGTCAACGAAGACACGGGGAAGAATATCCCGGGAACTTCCATAAAGAACGGCACCCCCAAGTGCGACCAGCTGAAAACGTCAAACAAGACCATGAAAGGCTGTCCGGATGACAAAAAAATCATCTTCCTCAAGGAACTCCTCCAGTTCCTTCATAGTAGGATGTCGGAGATAGTGAACAGCACGACTAGCTTCAGCAGCTTGGCGTGGATAGCTTCTAAGGAGGAGCAGGCCGCTACTTGGAGCTTCGTGGTGTTCGACAAGAACAAGAACAAAATGCTGGAGAGGAACGAGTGGAAAACGTTCAAAGATATGGTGGGTTCCATCAAGGGCCTGCGGAAATGCGGCAAGAAGCTGCCGAGGTACTGTGATAGTAATAAGGATAGGCAGATCAGTATGACCGAATGGTTGGAATGCCTCAACGTGCAACAAGGTGAGATATTAATTTAGGACGAAACAAAAAACTTATAACAGTCGTACCTATTTAAAATATGTTGACATATTTATCATCTCGGTATTTTTCAGGTATTTCCACCAATTCGTCGCCACCATCATCGAGAGCAGGCAAGAAGAATCCCTTGAGTATGTTGAAAGACGATTAGTGATACGGCGATTATTCGTGTTACGAACATTGGCGGAAGTGCTTCAGACTCAGACAGAGACTGCCGAAATGCGCTTTACCGGGACTGGCTCTGGAGGCCTTTTATCAACGATTTGTGATTATAGTGTAGTGTATAGCTTTTACTCGGACCTATATATAGGATGGTCCTAAGGATGTAGAGTGCCCTTTTTAGCGATTATCCTGTATATAAATATTATATGAAAGTGCATTATGCTTATTTATTTGAAAAAAAAAAGATACTACTTACTAACTGCTACAAAGTATTACACTTTCGTGAAAGTTGGATGTATGTAACCGTTATTGAATTTGTTCACAATTTGTATCACTTTAAAAAGTATGACCAAAAATATAATCTACGATTTTTTAAGTTCATATCCCAAGTTTTAGTTTTTGCGAGAGTGTAATAGTAGTTAAAAAAAATAAATGAAAACTCCCAATTAAATTGCCTTGTTAATGTAATAAATCAAATTTAAAATAAAACCAGTTTTTGTTACACTCGTGTTTTTTTTTCTATTTTCAAATTGGTAGGACCGATGGACGAAAAAAAAATCAACACTAGCTACATTTTAAAATAAAAAGTGGAAAAAAATCTTAAATGAAAATGCTCACCCCGTGATTTGGATTCAATGGCCAAGGTAAAAAAAATAGGGACAATAAATAACTGGGTTTATTGAAACCTAAGAAACTTCAACAGCTTTTTCCACTATCTTTCGCCTGGCGTACAGCTTCGCCATCGCCCGTCTCGTTTTCACTAAAATCCTGTGACCCTTACAGTCCAGTTCCTCCACGAAACACTTATCTCTACAACACTTCTTGCATAATTTGAATAAGCACTTCGAACCCTAAAATACGTCATTAAAAAAAAAAGTATGACCAAATAGAGTAACTTACTAAAGGATTAAGGCATTCCTGGCACTTCTCCAAGCTTCTCTCGGGAATATTCGTTGGCTTCTCCGGCCTTCTGTTAATCCGCCTCAGTTTCTTCATTTTCTTCCTACTTATGGGATTGCCGTCGGCATCCTCATAACGCCGCTTAGAATCGCTCGCCTTAAAATGAAACAAACGTTCGAGTCGAGGTCAACTTTTACATTTTCTTCCTCACCGCTTTTTCCTCGTGTTCGACCCGTTTCTCTTCGACTTTCCTCACATGATTTTCCGGCGTATCCCTGACGTAAGGCTGGCAGAGCCAAGGAGGAAGAACGAGATTTTGAGTACCGCCTTCTGTCGTCTCTTCCCACCGTTTTAACCCTTCGTGGTACGGTTCGTACATGTCTTTCAATTCGTTTACTATAACCTTGAACTGCTCCATGGTGTTCGCTGCGCCCAGCCTTATCCTTACATGGTTGTTGGAAGGAATAGACAAACTGAAAGAAAAAGGACACGTAACTCGTGAAAATGTAATTTAATAAACTTACATGTGGTGAAACAATTTGAATAAGTGCCCCCTGACGTATGATAAGGGGCAAGGGTACATTTCCGCTAATTCCAGGTATTCTAAGGCGGGTTTCCAAGCTGGAGGATTTTCGTACATGAATATCGAGGGGTTGTACAAGTTCCCCTCTGCCGTCATCACTCCGACTGCTCCGGTTTCGTTTAAACACCTTGTAACGTCCTGCATACATTGTATATTGCCGTTAGAAATAACAGGTATTTTAACGACATCCCTACAATGTTATAATATAATTGACAGATGATTTACTGGTTGCAGAAACCTCGGGCTAAGCATAAATAATAAAGTTTATAAAATAACGTTTCATTAGATGTACGATTCAATTCTATTATTATTTTATTGAACATATTTTCAAGTCAAACAATGGCAAAATTAAGCGATAACAAATATGACCTTTTACAATACAATGTTCCAAATTCATAAAAAATGTTGCTAGGTGGACAATCAGATTTTTCGTTGTTTTCGAGGCAAAACATACTGAAAAACTATGTTTAATGAATTATTTACGTTAGCGTCCATTAAATTTGCCACTCAAGTGAATTATCATCCATTAAGACTAACAAATAATAAAGAAAAACAACATTTATTTTAATATTGTTATCACTTATAGAAAATTCTTTACATAACAAAAATTACTAACCACTATTTATAATAGAAAAGCTTAAGTTGTGAATTAGAGAAACAAAACTTAATAAAAGACTGTTATGCTCTAGTAACACTAAAAAACAATCAAAATTTTCCACTAGATAAATTGCTGTTTACCTGACTGCTTTGACGTAACTCCAATCGGCTAGACCCGTCAACGGACCTTTCTGTTCTCTAGTTCTACCGTGCACGGTTAATATTTTACAACCGGCTGATTCCAACATTTTCGCATACTCTACTGTTTTCTCTACAGTTTCAAACCTCCTCACCTTACAAGTAACAGGTACTTTTAAATTTTTACTTAAAGTACTTACTGAAAAAATAAAAATCAACGTGGTACTTGTACCTTAACTTAATAATTACCTATTTCATACAGCAAAGGCCACTCGTCTTGTAAAAATGAACCGTAGTGCCCCCTTTTCGCTATGGCTTGAGGGCAGCCTAGGTTTATATCGATAGCGCAGCAATCGTCCTGAGCCAACAAAGCTGCCTCCAGCATGACTTGTGGATCGTTGCCACAAAACTAAAATTTGTGGATACTATTAAATACTGCCATGTATGCTGTATTATTTGTTATACTTGCACAATGAGGGGTTTATCCTCTTTGCAAGAAGCCAAGGCTTCTTTTCTGTACTTGGGATCTTTGGAAAATATGGCACTGTGCAACATTGGTGTGTAACACAGCTGTGCTCCATATCTTCTACTCAATATCCTCCAAGGTAATTCACTGGCGTCTACCATAGGAGCTACGACTTTCACAGGTGAGCCCAAAGTATTTTTCCAAAAATCCATTGAAAATATATAATAAACGCGATTGCCTACTTAACCTACAAATTAATACAAATACAAAATTGTAAACAGAAACATAAAGGAACGGTCCAATGTAAGCGATTTTTGTTAAGTTAGTTACCAACTGAAATCGTCAACCGGAAAGGACTGATGTTATGACGTCATCCTATAATTAAAAATATACCTATTTTACTATAAAACCTAAGTAGTTGGAGTTACGTACTAAAATATAAAGTAAAAGTTTAACGCTTTACTTTTAAGATAAAATCGTGTGACCGAAATAAGGTAGATAACAGGCGTCGTAAGGAGAATTAGCATATACAAACAAGTGACCTCTATTGAATTCTCATCGAAAAAATTGAGCAATGCTATTTGCATTTTTAACTTTTGTTACGCAGTATAAAACTCAATTGTATATTACAAAATTGCGTAGAGAAAGTTGTCTGAAATAGTCGTGTCTGTTATTTTGTAATGGATTGTCTGTATTCAAACGGCACATTGCAGCGTGCATTCAGATCAGATTTATGATGTTTTATGCAAATGGCACTCCTAGCGTAATGGATACATTCAATTTACCTAGTTGGCCAGAAGGACAGCGTTTAGGCTTAGGCGATGCCGTAACAAAAACGAACACGCTACGAAATATAATTTTATTAACAATTTGAGTCACATTTATAAACATTAATAGTATATTTATATTAAATAACGGATGGGATAAAATACAATTAGGTATATAAAACAGGAATTTAATGTAAAATAAGCGTTGCTGGATTTTTTTGTTCCGTCCGACCACTATTTCTACATGGGTATTTAGAATTTTTTTAACTGTAAACTGTGCGGGTATGGTTTGCCTATTTTAGGTAGATTCTCACTTTCTAATGTCTTGTCCCCATATGTGGAAAAAGCAAACTAACAATTATGAAATCAAATATTATTATTGCAATTGAAATTTTGTTTAGAATCTGAAACAATGAGAATAACAAACACCATTTACATTACAACTATGAACTTCCTAAAATACATTAAAATTATTTATAGAAGGCAATTGTAGGTACTTGTTTAGTTCCAATTCACACTTTCGGATACCTACATTAAGATTCGATGTTGTGACATTGTTATAAAAAAATAGATACAAGCGACAATGGAAATGGTAATATAGAAAACAAGATATCTTCAAACATAAACAAATAAATAATAAATACGATGTATCATTTTCAGTTCGGAAATCGTATTATTTATTACCGACTAATTTAGCCCTAGTGCAAATAGCGCTTGTTCACCCTGTGCGCCACTGAAGACTCTCCCCGAAAAGCTTTTACATTCTCTAATGTCAGGCCTCGCCAACCTGTTTTGAACATATCCATCCTGAATGCTTCAAATTGAGGTACTTATTAAGGAAGTTTACAAACAAAATACGATTTTTTCATTGACATGCCGTCTGGTACTAGGCAGGCTTCGTCTTTTATTTTCATTTCAGTGTCACGCTAATAAAATTTAGCTACGTACATATTTTGTTTACATCGTGATGACCATGACCTGAAAAGACATCGAAAAAACCGGAACTTGTGGAAAACCTTGCCATGTTTATTTATGAACCTTTTCCTAGCTATTTGCGGCTACCAAAATTGAATATCAGAAGTGGGATTGAAATATAAATAGAAGTAGAATGTAATGTATATTTTTATATATTTAATACGGCAAAAAATATTCATTTATCACTAAAACACAAAGTAGTTAACTCTCATAGCTTCTGATTTTTATTACGCTCCTATATTCTCTAGTAATGAAATAAACCGCTGCATTACACACAATTCTCACCTTCGCAAATAAATGAATTGAATTAACTCTAGCGCTCTCTGAACATCAATATCCATTTACTTGCGTCAAAGTGCCTAATTATCACCTATAAAAACACTCAACTCAGTAATATATCCTTAATGTCGTCTATTGTCAGTAACTAATTAAATTTTGTAAAGTAAATAAAAGTTTGACTAATACTTCTGCACTTGCATTAGAAGTACATATTTTTTTGTAATTCCCCTCATTGATAGTCGAGTCAAATCACGTCAAGTGGACCCCCAATCCCCATTTTCCATTTGATCATGGAATTTGACTTCATATGTTTTAATCAAAGGTAGTTAAGAATCATCCCCTAAAACAGTTTTTCAAGATCTTCATTTTAACAGCATTTTTTTGCAATAAACATTTTCGGGATTATAAATTAAAAAATTAATTGTGTAAGTCCCGAAAATTTATTACAAAAAAATTGTTAACATGAAATGTTTGAAAAACGGTTTTAGGGTACGATTGTTGGAACTGACTACTTTTGATTAAAATATTTGAACTCAAATTCAATGTTTCCTTTCTTAAGTCACACAAATTATTAGGTTATTCTTTGTTTACCTTCTCTTTCAGACTCCACCATAGAAAGAACTACATGGATGTCAAATCGGGACTTCTTGCTGTTAATTCCTTTATAAATATATTATTTAAAAAAATGTCCTTTGTCTAGAATACAACGGGCTTATTATAAAACATATAAAAAATCTGTTTAGCAAATCTACGGAAAAAACATAAATATACACTGGTTCCATGGCAATCTTGACTATGTGCAGGGTCAGTAATAAAAAAACGAATATATAGGGTTATTCCATTAATAATCTCTGAAATGAAAATTTCAACTGCTTTTATATATACCTATATTATTTCTGAGATCCTAAAAAAATTTTCAATGTACATATTCGTTTATAAATCATATTTTACAGACATACCTAATAATTTGTTAAGAACAAAAATGGTAAAATCGGGTTTAACTAAGAGTTTTTCAAGTTGTTAGTTTGCCTTTTCCGGCCAAGAGGTATTTTTATCTACTCTTTATTGATACTTTATACGAGGTTTAAGTAGATTTTCATTTATAAGGTAGTGTTACCAAACGTTTCTTTAGTGTAGCAGTATTTCATCGATCTTTCCACAGATCAAGAAAAGACATAGATAAATAATTCAGGGTATTTGTTAGAATCTCAAATGATTCATGTTTATATTTACTATTCCCCGTGTTGTGATTGGTTCATTTAAGTTTCGCGCCACTTTTACGCTCAAATTTTGACATTTTCCAGAAAATTCGAGTTCGCCATTGTTGTGTTTCGTAGTGTAATCTAATGTTTTTGCGTTTTTAATGATTTCGTGCTTGTTAGTAAGATTTTTTCCAGTGAAAAAAGTGTTGAACAACGCCGAAGAAGTGCTATATTTGCAATATGTACCAAATGAAACAAAATCAACGATCGTTCCATAAATAACAATAATCATAGACGTAGCAATAAAACAAGCTGTTGGGGTTAAATTTAAATATTTCGCTTTGACAAAATTTAAGTGCCAAAAAGCATTAGTAAATCAGATAAACCAAGGCGTAAAACATTTAATAGATTTTTTTATATGTTACAGATTTCCGAAAAATCTTCTAATTAGAAGACAGTGGTTTAGAAGCTTAGGAATTCCATATACAGAAACAATATCTATATATATCTATATATGCTCTGACCATTTTTGTAATAAAATGCAGGATAATATTCTTAGGATAAAGCATATGTTAACAAAAAACATTTTATTTCATAATCAATAAATTTCTATTTGAGTAATATGGTTGTCTTTTTTCATTCATAACATTCATTCGATAGAGACAACCTAAAAAATAAACCAATTGACAGCTTTATTGGGGACAAACTTTAACTCCAGTAATATAGCCGTAACACGCAATGTAAAAATCTACATGTCTATATAAAATATATATTTAAACCTGTTCTAATTTTTAGTTTTTTATATAAATTCACACATATGTGTTTGTAATAGGAAGGGTTAATGGACCGACTCTATAAAAATGAATTATGATTTTAAAATATGGTCAATCTTTTAGTTTCCTATATACAAATTTCATAAATTCTATGTAAGAGTTGATACCAAATTTTACACCGTGTCATAAGCTATTAAAATTAAAACTAGGACCTACCCAAATGGAATTTAAATACTTTGTTTTGTTAAAATCTCGTAAAAATTATATTAATTAACAGCTTAAGAGTATGATGAAATGTATCATTCCTTTTGTATATAAATGAGAGTAAAATTGTGTCAGTAGATCATCTCAACCGTATTCCAGGAAGAAGTAAATATAGGGGACTGTGAAGTTCATAAGTAATAAAATAGGTTGAAGAAAAGTTAAATAATCTCATAGATACCTTAAGAAATAAAACACGCTTTCTTAACATACCTATTTACATCATATTTTCCCTAGTTTATCTGCGGAAAATAAAATTTACAATTATAATTATTAAACTTGTTATTTTAGTTGCAATCAGCCCCTATAAAATGATACGCCACTGCCCATGAGGGAATGCAAACACAACTTCCTCACCCTTCCGATGAACTATTTTGGCTTCAAGCCACATAGGTATAAATTATGTATCTATGTCTTTTCTTGATCTGTGGATCTTTCAACGCTTCAAGGAGAAACCTAGCTGAAAAGAATCAGATATCGAATTAGAAAGCCAGCTATCATGAACTAACAAACAAAGAAATCGCACGCACTAGAGGCAGCACCGTACGCCACACACCAATCTAAGCGACAGAACGAAAATTTCCAGCGACGCCTAGCGTAAGAATCCATAACTTGTGGGCACTCGCGTTTAAAATACGGATCCGCTACTGACAGGCTGCGTTTGGAACTGGACCCACATGCGGCGACGCGTTTAGAACGGCCTCGTGCACGACCCGCTGATGGCACTCACAGTGCAGTTCTGTCGGGACGGAGAAGTGGGATTGGACAAGCCGCTCTCTCGGATCGGGGACAACGCGGGCGTTTTTTGTCGGTGCGCCACGCTCCTTCTTCTCCTTCTGTAGAGAGGACGGCGGACGTTACCGCATCGTTGCTGCTGTTGCAGCGCCGCCAGTGCGTTGGCTAACTCGGTATCGCTGATGAGACGGCGTCGCGGGGGAGCGGGCAACGCGGGCAGAACGTTGGCGCGACGCGTCGCGTCCGGATAGCAGGGGACGGGCACCAGGTTGTTTACGGTGTGGATGGCGTCGGGGCAGCCGGTGTCCCCCGGTGAGGGCACCACTTGGTTGCTGCGGTGGACGGGTTGCGGAGACGGATGCGGGGATGGCTGGGACGATCGCCTCCTGTTCTGGCCCAGGTTACCTGAAAATGTAAAATTAATTTCTACAACTGGTCACATTATATGTATAGTTGTTACGATGTCAATTGGAACCTGTAAATCTTAAAGCGCAGGACCGTATGCACTTCTCCAGAAATTTCTTCTTATGCTTTGACCATTACGTGTCTCGTAATTTATATTCGAATATCAATTCGGCGAGTCCGGTATTGGTAAACTAGTCCGCCTGATGTAGAATTGACGGCGGCGCGCTGGTCATCAAAGCAAACCTGTATTGGTCCACTAGGTCGTAAATAACCTTTTTGTATGGTACCTACACGGGTTCACTTAGCTTTGCCGCATTGCCAGTGCCGTGCAAAGCATTGCTTGGCGGGGTATGTTTGTTGGTATAATACGTATTATTATTTGTTCGTATCGTAACCAGTAAAGGGTAATAGTTATTAAAATAAATGTTATATGTAATTATCTAGTAATTTAGCGTGGCTCTCTGGAGACTCTTTGAAGCGGATGATAACGAAATAACTCGGAAAAATCTCCAAATAGAGGAACCAGTCGAAAATATCGAAACAAACTCAGAGTTTAAAAACAAAGATTTACACTTAAAAAGTCAACGTATTATTGTTATATTAAATCATTTCTGAAAACATGCAACACGTTTATATATCAATATTACTTTAATGTTCATTTCGCAGTGTTTAGTGTTAAATATATATCGATTTCCTATGTAAACGCTGGGGGTGGGTTGGTATACACGATTCTGTACGCTGGCAATTATTGTTAAACGTGTAACTGGAGTAGATTTTATGATTAACGACCACATTACCGGAATTTGTAAAACTAGCCTTTACAGGAAATGTAGGAGTGGCTGCGTCGCGTAACATGCAGAAGCAGGGCAAATTCGTTAAAAGGGTTGTCTAGTGGCGTTCCTTTCCCACCAAAAAGCAAAATATTTCCAGTAATATCGCCTCGTGTTCCACAGAAATTATTAAACGTATTTATGCGAGTCGCACACGTATTTACTATTAATACCCACGAATCGTGGCATTTTTAGCATTTCTTGCCGTAGTTAATATATTTAACTGAATAATTTGAACACTAATACACATCAAATAATAGATTTCCAGTAATTAGCATAATTAGCACTTTTAGATCATTTATCTGTAACACGCAATACTTCGAAGTCGATTTCGAGAGATTATTTGTGTAAATGGGTGTGGACATAATTTAGCGAATTAGCGCACGTAGACATAACGCCAAAATTTGGTTTCTCTTCTACTTTAACATGAAGCAGTTATTTGTTGACTCTCTTTCCATATTGTTTCAATTATATTGTGTTTTTGTTCGTTGTAAATTTTAATGGAGTTCGCTTTTGACGGAAAACTCCATGTTGGGCGCCAAAATAAATTCTTTCAATATAACGCCACATACCTAAGAGCAAGAAGTTTGTCCGAGACATTTTGGCGCCCAACGTGGGGCTCACCATCAAAATTCTTTTCGGTTTTAGCCATAGAACAAAACTCACCCAATATCCTAAACAACATCCTAAGCTTGGCGCTGGACCAGTGACCGTGCGTCCTATGGGGCCGGCCTTCCAGCGCAGGCAAATTTTTGCTTTTCACTTTGTGCCTGCAGAGGGACATAAGACACCTCGGTTCCGACGGACTGTGAGGATCATCGGGACTGTCAGGCACCGACACGCAGCAGTTCCACTTCCTCCGGAGCTTCTTCGGCGGAGGCGGTGCTTTCGACTCCGGCGCCACCGAGTTGCTGGTTAACACGCAGAGCTGGCAGTCCTGGGGCGTGCTTGGCGGCGTGGGGGTGGGTTCCGCGGCCGAGGAGCAGTTGGAGAAGGTCTCCTCCAGGATGGTGCAGGTGAAGAGAGTCGTCCGCGACCTGTAATTTCAATAATAATAAATTTACTCTATTTTAATCGATATGTCTCATCTCATTTTATATTTAAAAAAATCTCTGTGTTCTGTACCTTTCCTCTCCACAATGGAGGTTCACCGGGCGGTGGCGTAGCGTCGAGTTGGCGTTGGCCGTCCCTCGTTCTTCTTCCTCTCTATTAGCAGCAGGTACGGGCGATTGCACTTGGCTCTGGCGTTGCTGCCGGATGTACTCGTAGGTGGTGAGACCCAGGAAGGAGATGTAGATGTGAAAGAAACAGAGATGAAGCAGCAAACCTGCGGTAACGGCGGCCAGTAGTCCCAAAGCCGCCACTACGGCCAGGAAGGCAGCATCGCTCGAAGGTAGCGAGGACGGCGGTATCGGGCCGGAGGAATTGGTCTCGGACGGTGGGTGGTCCTGAAAAATCAAAATGAATATTCCTTTGGATGGAAACGCAATACTTTAAATAAGTTTTTCGCCGATCGACATTAAAGGCGTAGTTTTAGTGGCCGCTGTCAGGCATAAAGTGTCACATTTACTGCCTATGCATTAGAATCATTTTTACTGTCGTTAAATTTGAAAATTAAAATTTGTTCTTTGACGAAAGTAATTTTATTCAATGTAGACACTTATAGTTAAATTAGTATTTTCAATAATAGATGGTCAATGAACTATTGAATCATCTAAAGTGGTTGAATTATTTAAAAAATAGATTTAATTTGGATTTAATGCTTTGGCTGCTGTAATAGACTCGGCTGCGCCTCGCCCATTGGATAACAGCCACGGCATTAAATCTTGTATTTTACTGCGTAGTTAAACAAATAACTAATTTTAATTTGTTAGACTATTTCATTTTACATTGTCTTATTGTATATGGACAATCTATTCATTTATTTTAATTTAATTTGCCCAACGGTGATGAATAAACTATGACATATACATACAAAAAAGAAAAAAACAGTCAAAATGATTTAAATAAAACGGCAAACAATATGGAATAAATTGAATAATGAACATTTTTTATTTATCCTGGAAACTTACGCCAATTAAGAACCACTCAGATAATTAGTGGAAGTAAAGTTAAAAACACGGCTTACTACGATTTCATTTTCACAGACATTCAATTGGAATTTCAGCCATTTCCATCACGTAACCTACAAGACATTCCACTCAGCGTTGATGAAAACGGAGCACGTCAATTTTGTTAATTAATAGACGCTGTAAACTGTTTAAATCAATAACTATTTATGTTAAGCGTATGCAAATGTCGCGACAAAAATGTAACGCCGAGCACAAGCTCCTGTCATATGAAAAGCAAACTGGGAAAGCTTTGGTCTACTTAACATATAAATCACGTAATTCGTTACGAGCGAGGGCGAGGACTTAAGTGATGGAAATTTGGCATGTTTCCTCATGAAAACATAAATAGCTGAGGAGTCGTTACTGTTGTTTTATAATTTTCTATCCGTAGTTTAATTCAACTCGGTTTTTATTTCACCTGCAACTACTGTTCCTTCGATCAAATCACTCCACTTAGTTTAAGAAGTCCAAATGAATTAATATGAGATCTCCCATCTTGGCAAACCCCTCTGCCAACTTTTTATGGAAGGGGACGACTTCTTGGGATATAAATTGTCCCAGGAACACCGAGAGCCAATAAAACTTTCCAAGTTGAGTTCGACAAAGTTCTGACCTGACCTAGAATTTGCTTATCGGGAAGCGTGTAAGACATTTGGCATAATAAGCTCCGTCTTGTACAAGAATACAAAAAATATACAAATGTTTTGTTCCAACTTGTCTAATGTCTAATAAAATCATAAGATATCGTAGTTGGCTGTGAAGATAAACAATAGAGAATCGGTAGCATTATTATAAGTTTTCTAGCATAGCCGACTGGGGTAATGCTTTATTTCTGTACTTAGTAATATATTCAAATCCGATAGGTAGGTGTGTATTCCTGGCAAGACCGTCGATTTTCCACAAAAATCGATTTTTCTTATTTCGTAATACCCAACAATGTCGACGCCTAAATACATACATTCAATAAGTCGAATGAAAAGCTATTTCAGGGGTCAGTCTTCCAGTTACTATAGCTACGCTGGCTCCACTTGACACAAATGCGTTTGCCCCATCTCGAATCCGCACCCCTTTGCCTCCTAGCGCAGGGGAAGGCTAATTCATAAGGTCGCGTATGTTTTTTCGGGTTATTACCCCAGGAGCATCGTTAGTTTGATTAATGACTGCCGTAGTCTGTTTTTATTTCTGCCAATAAAAGCTTCATTGCCTGCGAGAAGCTTAAACTTAATAATAAATGTTTATTGCTGTATTCTTAAAAGTCCTATTGTGAACTGATAATTAATTTATTTACCTTTGATTTGTGTGAAATTTTTTATAGAAGGGGTCTGCGATAGGCTGGGAAATCCCGAAGCTGGAGATACTGATGGCTACAGTAAGTCGATTGAGCCAAATATGCCTTATGCAAATGTTCCTGGTTTCAAAGATAGAGGGCGTTCAATATTTGAATTTTATTTGGAAATTTCTCAATAATAATAATAATTATTATTATTATAATTGTTGAAATATTTTTAAAATACCTACAAATCGTATCCCAAAATAATAGGCAGTGATTTCATCTTTAATCCGGCTCGCCAATTTTAGCAGTCAATTCAAAGACTGTAAATTCTTCGTATAAAATTGTGTGTGCCGTATTCTCCCAGAGCAGTCGACATTGCACAGTTTTCTAGACTATCATTGGTGTTTGGGATGTGACGTCAGTTGGGTTGCGTTTATTCGGTTCCAGGCAATTCTGCCGGCACAGGCAAATAGGTGTATGCGTGGAAGAAGTCCGCCTATTCCGCTAATTTAATTGTGATTTTAATTAATTTATTAGAGATTTTGGGTTTGTATTCTTAAAATGGAGAGTAATTCAAGCTCTACAGCGTGTTCTCGTAATGATAGGCGACCTCAACAACTCACAGAACTATTCGTTCAGTTGAGGTTGAAGAAGCTGTTTTGGATTCTGTCGCTGTATATCCTACAGTTAGTGTTAGGAATGTAGCGGACAGTTTCAGATTTCAAAATGCATCGTAAATAATATTCTTAATCTTAAAGAACAACTTCTCCATCCATACCATACGCAAAAAGGTCAAGGTTTAAGCATAGATGACTATCTTGTAAGAATACAATTTTGCACATGGCTCTTGGAAAAGGTTAACTAAGCTCATGATTTTTTTACCACCTCAATACTACACTAAGCCCAGAAGTTAAGGGATATTAAAAAAAATCCAAAATTTTGGGTGATTTTCAAAGAGCTGCAACTTTGAGGGAAATGCTCGTAGAGAGAATTAAAAAAAAGGAAATTAAAGCTTCAGATGTCTAGTTTTCAGATCTGCAGTTTAAAATAATTTTTTAGCGTTAGCAGTTTTTGAGTAATCATAAGAAAATCAACGGAAAAAAAATGTTTGTAAATTTTTGCTTTTTCTAAATTTTTTTTTTCATTTTTTTAGAATCAGGAACGTTTTTTTATAAAGAAAATATGGATTATTGCTAAAAAAATATTTTTAACTTAAAAAAATGAATAAAAAGTGAAAAATTACTTATTACATGGATTTTCAGCAAAACGACAAATTTAAACATTCCGGGCATTAGGAAAACAAAATCGCAGCGTTTTGAAATTATCAGGGTTTCTTTAGGACACTTTGAGGTTGAAAAGTTACAGTCGATATCCAAGTTATTCAAATATCCCTAATTATGCAATTTTTTACTTTTTTCTAACCAACACTTTGAAACTAACTTTGAAAAAAAATCAAAAACACATAATTACGACTTGTAGAGAATACTTTGCAGTTTCCAAAACCCTGCTTGGATTTTCTGTACGACCGAGTAATTGATTGCCAAAGGTAAACATTATTTTTGTTTTGATCGACGATAACTCGTACAAGGCTCCGGAACCACTCAAATTGAAGAGAATTAAATTATCTAAAAGAGCTTCTTGATGAAATTACCAAAACAAATATTTTTTTGAAGTCCGTAGGACTTTTTAAAAAAAGCAAAAATTTACAATTTTTTTTCCATTGATTTTCTTTCTCAAAAATTGCCGACACTAAAAAATTTTAAACTGAAGATCTGAAAACTAGACACCTGAAGCTTCAATTTCCTTTTTTTTCTTCTCTGTACGACTATTTCCCTCCAAGTTACAGCTCTTTGAAAATCACCCAAAATTTTAGGAATTTTTTAATATCCCTTAATTTTTGTGCCTAGTGTATTTTCCGACGAAGCAGGTTTTCGTAGGGACGGACCCATCTACACATTTATGCAGACGAAAACCTTCATGGTATAAGGCAAACCCGCCATCAAGTGCAGTTTCAAATGAATTTATGGGCAGGCATAATTGGACATCATTTAATAGGACCTTTTGAATTATCATCTTGGCTAAATGACCAGAGATATTTACAGTTTCTCCAAGAACAACTACCCAATTTATTAGAGGATCTTCCCTTACAAGCAGACATTAATAATATGTGGTTTATGCACGATGGTGCTCCACCTCATTTTAGTTTATGCAAATTAGGGAACACTTAAATAGGGTTTATCCAGATCGATGGATAGATAGGCCGATCAGAACCAGTATCCTGGCCGCCTAGATCACCAGATTTAAATCCTTCGGATTTCTACTTCTGGGGTGATTTAAAAATACGTGTTTGCGCAACCCCTGTGGCAAGTGAAAATTAACTGTGGCAAAGGATTTTCCGCCATAGCCAGGAAATAAAAAATAAATAATATTGAAATGTGTTTTTGTTTATACTCTGACAGTTTTCAAAATAATTGAAAAATTTCAAAATAAAATTCAAACACTGAATGCCCTGTATCTTTGAAAAAGACATATTTGACTCAATCGACTTATTTTGGCCAACAGTATCTCCAGCTTCGGATTTCCCAACCTTTCCCAGACACCCTGTATAACTGCTTAAAGAACCTCTTATTTTGGCCTTACTACTACTTTACAGAATTCCAAATCCTCACATTTATATGAAGTTAGCGGCAGAACATAGTTACGTCAAATTTAGAGCATACTTCTTATTCGTATCCGTACTCACCTTCTTGTCGCTGGCCGCGTCGGTGGAGGCCCCCCAGTAGGAGTGGTGGAGCGCCAGCTCCGCGACGGCGAGCGCCGCGACGAGCGCGGCGGCCACCACCGCCGTGGAGACGCACATGAGGAAGAGCGCGTAGTTGCGGCCCCCGACGCAGTGGTTCAGCCACTTGCAGTGGTGGTCGAAGCTGGCCACGCACTTGTTGCACGCGCTGCAATGCTTGGTGCGCGGGCCCGTCGTCAGGATGCGGCACAGGTGACACTCACCCGCCTCGATGACGTGCTGGTGCTTGGCCCTGCGAAGGAAGAAGCCACGCGACGTGTAATATAAACCATGAATTAAAAAAGGGCACGGGTTTGAGCTAGAAGTTCTAATAGCTATAGGGATACCGGCTAATTCCCTCTGCAGTTAACAAATCATGACAAAAATCCGTTTTTCTTTAATGATTCTGTATTTTTTTTATTCAATGTCTTGGTTGGATCGCATTTTGCGAAGAAAATGCGTAGATACTTGATTATAACTATTAGTATTGTTCTATATGAGTGACCACGCCCATCAATCATCAAATCGCGTGGCTTTGCCCCGTGCTGATATTCAGAATTTCATTGACAAGATATAACTGGGCTAAATCACGTCAATTTTCCACTTGATCATGGAATTTGAGTTCATATATTTCATATAATCACCAGGCATTGGAGTAAAGATGACATTTAAATATGACATATTTCGTAGGTTATATCTTACCCATAATTAAAATGCCTCTATGAACTTGTAGACGTTAGCGAAATACTGAAAACTAATCTCAACCAATCTAAAGAAAATAAAACTACAAAAGACAAAAAAAATAACTAAACTTAGATCGCTTGAGCATAATTTACAATCATAATTTTTAATATTATTTTTGCAATAATAATAATTCAAAGAAAATGTTAACTGGTCCCACTTGTAATAAATTCAAACTGGTAAGTGGTAATACCAATGTATGATAATATTTATTTATTTCTTTATTTATTTATTTGTTTAGACTAAGCTATCCAACAGGAACAAGTCCTAATTACAGAATAGTGAGAAGAATGAAAAAATATATATGCATATAAATATAAACAGGTCCTACAACAAAAATACATAGTATATAGGGCGACACAGTAAGCAAAACATGTATATATGAAAGATGTATCAGAAAATAAAATTAATTAAAACAAGAAAAATAAGATGTCACACGCAAATGAACATGTCCAGTATATCATGCATTTACAAATCAATATATGCATACTTGAATAGCAATGCACACATATATACATATTACAGTACAAAAAAATACAAACTAAGAATCTGGAAGTAAGGACAAACAAATTTTTTTGATATGTTAGAATTAAATATATGTATAAAAGTGTGCACTAGATCATAACTTCTACACATCTTGTAGAAAAGAGAATAATGTAAAATATTACTGTTGGCTGTTTTAAGTAGAACGTTTTAAACTCTTTGTTTTGATTTCTGAAGGTTTTAGGTATGATCAAATTTATTCTTGCCGATCGGATTCATAACTTACACAGTGTTATGTGGGTTTGAAATAGGAGTAGAATTTATCAAGGCACCACAGTGATATCAACTCACCCCATTTTACGATACATCAAGGATATAATGAATTACTTTAAATAAAAATATTATGGAATGCATATTGCGACAATCAAGTAGAGAATTGCCTTCAAATCTTCTAAGAAGCAATTCTTGAAAATATTCAATTAGAGGCATTAAAAACAATTTTTAAAGGCTTTTTGTCCTGTCATAATATGCGAATACCTACAATAGCTGTTTTACGGTGCGAATTTATTAACAAATTTATTCATAAAGTCGCTTCGTGAAGAAATTGCACAAATGTAATGCACCAAATCTGCTGTCAAATAACTTCATGAATTTATTCATCAACTTCTTGACGAATTATAGCATGTTCTAATTTTCGTCAATTTCTTCGTGAAGTTCGGAAGTACCAACCCAACAGATTTCCAGCCTCAGATCAGTAATGAGGTTATGTTACTGGAATATAGGTTAACTATGTTATTAGAATATGTAAATAATTGTGTGGCGTCGTGCTAGTTTTGTATTGTTTTTACTGATTTGTTGCTTACAAAAACTAATATTTATATAATATGTGTCAGAACGGTACCGCTGTTGTATCACTACAATTATGAGTGGCAAGATGACATTTTTGAAATGTATTTGCTTCTTTGATTCATATGTAAAAAAACTAGACAAAGTCTGTAGCAGTGTAAAACCACACTGTTTACCAATAAATTCGTGAATTAATTCATGAAGAAGTTCGTCAATTTATTCATCAATAAATTGTCAATGTAAAACAGCTATTATTTTCATTCAGTTCAGAAATACCAACCCAACAAATCTTCAGCTTCATGAGCCTAATGAGGTTATGTTATTGGCATATGTAATAAATAATTATGTGGTGTCGTACTACTTTTTTATTGTTTTTACTGATTTGTTGCTTATAAATACTAATATTTATAAATAGTGTCAAAACGGTGCTGTTGTTGTACCATTATGTATATGTGAAAAGGTATATGACATTTTTTTGAATGTGAAGTTTGAAATTTATTTGCTACTTTAATTTGTTGGTAGAACTGATTATGTATCAAAGAAATTCACGAAGTCTGTAGCAGTGTAAAACCAAACCATTTATGAATGAAGAACTTCGTGCATTTGTTATGAATAAATAATCAATGAAAACAGCTATAAGATGTACCTAACCCTGTACATGGCGACCCCATTAAAACGCGTCATAATTTATTCGCACAACGTGTACCAAAAAATAAAAGCAATTTAATCGAGATATGTTACAACGCTGAACCGGCCGGAGGAACATTTTTAGAGCCTAATTCCTACCTGTCTAGCTGCGGCACGGGTTCGGGCGGCTTCGAGCGAAGCGAGGCCTCGGCGGGATCCAGAAGCGCCGCCCCCAGGTGGGCGGCCAGATGCAGCAGCAGCAGCACCGAAAGGGTGGCGAGCACGGCGGGCTGCGCGTGCAGCGGCAACGCCGGCACCAGCACCAGGAAGGCGCCGCCGGTGAGGGCGGCCAGGACTAGCCAGCCGGACAGCTGGAGCGGGTGCAGCGGCAGCTGGAAGCCGTGCTGGCGGCGCAGCCTGCGGGCGGACGCATCACCCGCGCCGCTCAGCATGGCTGGAGCGGCTGGGCATCTTCTCCATGGCACCCGGCGGCGACGGACGGAAACGGACGGCGACGAGGGGTCCGGCGTGCGGAGCGGTCACGTGCGTACTGGCGGCGGCCGTGTGCCTCAGACGGGGGCGGTATCGACCGGCGCGCGGGGCGCGGCGCCACGTCGCCGGAAGGCCGTCTGTCAACTGGACCGGATTGTTAAAATTTGTCGACGTGTGCGCTTGTACTGCAGTTTAAGCTTTTTATGAAAATAACTTCAAGTAAATTTATAATTTAGAGCGGTTTTATAGTCGGCAACAGTGGCGGCTCGTGAAGGAGGACTCTGGGACTCCGCCCCCCCCCAGATATTTTCAAACTATAAACTTAAAATAATGTATTTATTTAAATCAATAAGAAATCTAAATAGCATGCATTCAATATCTCTTGGATGTTAGGTTGGTTGCATAAAGTGCATGTACTCCGTGAACGTAGCTCAGATTAATGCCATCTGCCATCTATGATCGTACCAAAGAGTTATGTTTAACCGCGCGCGCAATCCCCACTCCATCGCGGACCGTGAAATCTGAGTCCATCGTGCAAGCATATTTTTACATATGATTGGACAAATTGGCACGTGGAGGGGATAGGCGACGATAGGCTCGCGCGCTTGCGCGCTTTGTTTTTGGGACTCCATGAGGCGGTAACCCGTATCACTGAAGTGTGGTTATATGTGTTTTGTTTTTGCTTTGGCGCTTTTTAAGACATTATATTTTATAAGTTTAAGTTTAAAATGAGGGTTTGTGAAATAAAAAAAACTTGTTATTAGTAATTTAAGTTTAGAGGAAAAAGTCGAATTGAAAAATAACGGACGTCCAACGCCAGTGTTGAATTTAGTTGAGGTGCAGAAAGAGTGCAAAAATGGGCCGGCTTTCGCAAATTTGATAAAAACATTTATGATAAGACCCTATGGTTGTGTGGTTGTGACCAAACAAATAGATTTTTTTGTTTTGTATGTTTATTGTTTGGAGGAGGCGAAGAAAACTGGACGAAAACTGCAGTTTCTGACTTGAAACATTTAGAAATTAAAATTAAGAAACATGAAAATTCCCCTAAACACAAAAATAAGTTGGTGAGTTTTTTACTTTTAGGAAGAGTAAATATTGCTTCTTGTTTAAATAGTGCTTATGCAGAACAAATAAATAGTAAATAGTCATAACGAAACTGTTAAGAAAAATCGATTGCTTCTTTCAAAAATTTTAAATATCTTAAAACTATATGGTACATGTAACCTTTCTCTTTGTGGACATAATAAAAAAGTGACTCGGTAAATAAAGGGGTATTTTTAGAACTGATAGACTATAGTACAAAAATTGATCCCGTTTTAAATAAACATCTTAGTGATGCCCATGTTTTTAAAGGAACTTCAAAAACTATACAGAATGAACTATTATAGTAATCTACATAATTATATCCTAACTGGGTTGGTTGATCGATTATCCACTTCAGCCCCCACACGTTGGAATTTTATTTCTCGCATTGTATCTAAGTAGCTACTGTACACACTGACAGTATTCATTTTGGGATACTTGCAAAACACAATGACCTTCAAATTCCTTAAAAATTTTCGCCTGCGGCGCTAAACACGGAGCTGCCGCCCCCCACACCCCCCGCAGCTCTTATGATGTACGTCCTCTTTTCAAAATGCGCCCCCCCCCCCTGTATTCAAACCCACGGGCCGCCACTGGTCGGCAACCTAGAAACTACATTTCGCCATGTTTTGTTAACATAAGAACTATTTCCAATTTTCTTGCTTATACTCAACATAATGATACAGTACATTGGTTCTAGGTTTGCAACTTTAAATTTGGATCGTACGCCACACGTACTAGCCAGGTACTTGCCTCTGGTTATATAACTGCAAGTGGCCAGTCGGCGTTCGATCGCCTTTCTAACGTGAACGCTTCCAAACCTAGGCGATCTTCGGTACGACGTCGGCTCTCAGGAATCTGGCGATGTCCTCAAACGCCCCGATCTGCCATAGTTGCAGAGAATAGCTCTCGAGCTATTTTTATTGCACTGCAACAGTAACTTTCGTGCTGGCAGCACATAACGTAGTGATGCACCAATTATTTGTTGCACCAAAACTAGTAGAAGTTTAAGTTATTGTTCTAGTTTAAGGATTATTACTATTGTGGGTTATGTTATGCTAATTCGAATCGAAAAGTTGGTATATAGCAGTCGTCTTCAAATCAATACTGTCATCCAAAACACCGACGAAAAACTAAAAAAAAAAAGTCTGGACTTTAAGCTGCTTCCGGTGTGAGTTTTTCCGAAGAGCTGGACGAATTGACCGGCGTCGGGCTGCAGGCCTGGCACCGTGACGCTAGAGCACGCGGCATGACGATGCCGTATAATTCCGGAGCGCATTCTAGTCGCCGATGAAACGGAACAAAACTGCGACCGACTGCACCTGACTTTACCGTTACTCAACCTTTCCACGCTGACACTTGTAGAGTACGTTTTATCTACCTTATTACCCTGCTATTGCCATTATTTCGAATTAACAGGCGTAATTAGATATTCTCTTTGAGCCTCATTTACGTAACCAGCTCTATATTTACGCGAACGGCAACCGTAATGAGAAGCAGCTATAATGAATTAGGAAATTGGCTGAAATCGATACGCCAAATGACAACAAAGAGGGTATATTTGTAACCCAGTTGCATGATATTAGAGTTGCATATGTCCTAGTATATTTTTCGCTGATAAATTTTCGAAAACACACTTCTAACAATTTTTTCAGCGGCGGAGATACTGGAGGGTGGTGGTGGGGGGCTGTACCATTGAAAACCCTAGGATTTCTACGCCACTGAATATTAATCAGTGTATCGTAATTGTATTTCAAAGAATAAAAATGTTATTCCAAAGTATTTAGAGACGTTTGCCATTGAACCGATCATGTATTATAAATAAAAGAAATTTAAGCTTTTTTTTTGTTTCAAGTAGATATTAAAAGAGTTCTCATCTTGTTTACTTACTGACTGTCAATAATTCCAATGTTTGGTACTATTAATGTATATAACAACTATTAAATAACTTGATTTACATTTATTTGTATTATAACTGTGATTTTTTTTCATGAAAATTCCAAGTGGTTTTTCTATGGATGTAAATAAAGTAGCAAGTATTATTCCCAAAATAAATAGTAGCTTCGCTGAAGTCATGTGCTATTAGGAAATGCCCAAAGAAAAATTTGTGTCTCTCAAACTTAAAAACAAGTTTTTAGGCGCAATTAAACTGGTTATATTCACGTTGGAAATTTTTTTAACAAATCGACATTTTCTGACTAGAAGGAAAAGGTATTGGTGCAAGAAAAGTGTTGAGAAAATGCAGTCTGTTTGATTATAAAAGCCCCGAGCTATAAATATTACTAAACTTTCTTTTGTTAGGAAAAATTCTATTAGGATAACGTTGTCGATATAAATGGAAGTCGCTACACTGTTTTTTCTAAATTCATAATAAACCTGCGGTATATTAATAATATACTAATATTACTAATTCATTAAAATCATTCAATTTGTTATAAGTTGAAAGGTGACAACAATTACAAACAAACCGATATGTGACAGATAGCCGTAAGCAAAATTGTTTTTCCAGTCCCTTATTTGATATGATTTAGAAAGCGATCACCGTAAACTAAAGTCAAAGGCTGAAAGTTTTTCATTTTTTCTCTCTTTAGGCAAAGGCATACAAATTTCATATGGTTGACAAGTGAATAAAAAAGCCAATGAAAACTGCTAAAAAATTTATACAATCACATTTAAAAAGATATCGATGACGTCACCAGCCATCTAGTGTGACGAAAAAAAAAATTGTGCGTAAGTACAAAGAAAATAATATCCCATTAAAAATATATATAAAATATATATATAATACAGGGTGTCCAAAAATGGGTAACCGAATTATAGCTCGGGACCTCTATAATCAAACAGACTGTATACAATTTTCACTTTATTTTAAATTTGGAAGTTTTGAAAAGTCAAAAATCTTTAAATATCTCACGAATATTATATTGGAGCAACCTAATCATAAATATCGAAAAATCCGTTCATGAAAAAGTATTACAATGTAAATATTTCGGCATGTAGGTATCATCTTTCGTCCAAGTATGCATTTTTTAACTTGAACTTAGTTACGATAACAGCATTGCCGTAGACAGTTTTATTAGTATTTGCAAAAGCAAAAAGAAAATAATGCATATGCGTTTGGCTGTGGGCTTTACCAAAACGCCACCCTTTCATTTCTTCTGAATGAGTGAGTGAAATATCTGCAATATTTGTGATAAGTAAATATTTATGTCTACCGCATTCAAAGATTTGTGGCATTAAATATTAAATCTATAATAGGCCTCTAGGATTCGTAGATTTAGAAACCGCTTTTTTATTCTTTTCCAGTTCAATTTTGTATTAGTAAGAACTCTAGTAAGTGCATATATTAATTTTCAGTCTCAGAGCGTTTAAACCCTGTTTATTTGCAAAAAAAATAGTACTCACCTTTTTGAAGACAAATGAGAGTATTATAAAAAAACATCACTGAACTGAAATTTAAATTAAATTAGTGAAAAACATATAGTTTGCTTTCACGTCGTTTTATATTAATCTTTAAGTTAATTTCAACTTTTCAGCATCCTTTTTATAATGCGAAAGTGAACCTATTAATTTTTTTCAATAATCATTTCAAGTCGTCCTATATTATACCGATTATATTCAACAAAAACTGCAATAATTAATACAAAAAATAGCTAAAGCTTTTACGTTTATTGTTTATTGAACATAATTGTTAAATGGAAATAAAAAATAATAAAAATATCACGAAAGGAACATTTACCACTTGACACCTTTTTCGTCCGCCCAATAGTTCTATAAATTGTATATTTTTTTGCCAGCATATTGGCTGGGAATGAAACAGAACACTAAAAGATAAATATTTAAATAAAAGTTAAAACATAAGTGTGATGTAACCAAACCGTTTTACAATATTTTCATTTTAACAATTTATTTTGCAATAAACATTTCCGGGACATTAAACTAAAAAATTAATTGTGTAAAAATCATTATAGATATTTTAATGAAATTTTCAGGACTTATTGTGTAATATTTATATTTTAATAAAAAATAAAGTTAACTTATTATCATATATTTAAGTAACTTTCAAATAAACAAATGAAAATTTTAATCATTTCTCAATCAGATAATAAATTAAGGTATTTTTAGTTGCCTGCATCCGCTATACAGAAAATTTGAGTGCCCAGTATTAGTTTAAACAATATAAATTTTTATACTTTAAAATTTTTTTAACATTATATTTACAGGGTAACTATGCAATATTTTCGAGAAAAATGTCAAAATGTGGTCGAATAGATATCGTGATTTTTCTCAAAAACATTGCGTTTTACGAAAAAAACATCAAGTGACAAAAAAATTTCTAAATTCAATGGCTTTCTAGGGAACTAATAATTTTTAAGGAATTCAAATATGCGACCAAATTTTTTTGGTTCTAAAGTCAAGGGGACCCACGAAAAAGGGTCTTAAGGGGGTTCCTCGCCAAAAAGTGTAGCACAACAGGGTTCTGAGATATAAAAAAGACTATTCTTAGGGGCGGATTTCAGGGAGCTTTAACTCCAAAAGGGGGGTCCACTTGGCAAAAATAAAAAATAAGGCTCCCCTAAATTTGTCTTAAGAATCTATTACCAAATTTTGTTGCATTAATTTCGGGACACCCGTAACAAATATGTATATAAAAAATTATTTCTTTTGTTAATAAACAAATACAGCAAAAATAAAATGAATAAAAATAAATGTAAATTTTACAGTTTCTTGAAAACTTTATTGATACTAGTTTTATCATCTTCTGAAAAAAAAATAACCTATAAAACGTTTACAAAAATGTTTTGGTAATTTTTCAAGAATACAAAAAGAAACAAAAATAACCTAGATGTTCATTTTTAATTTCATTAATTCATTTACAGTTTGTACAAGTAGGTACTTAATAAACACCCTGTGGAAAGGAATGACCTGATAGGTCAAAAAACTGAAGATGGTGATTTAATACTTCTTTCAAAGCCAATGTCAAAATATACAACACTTTGTTAATGTCTCGCTAGGTACTCTTGATGATTTAAGTCTAGACATCTAGACCAGTTCTCAAAGTGGAACTACGTATATTTTTTTAATACTGGGTATTTTTGTTGTTGCATTAAAATTCACCAGTGGAAGAATGCATCTGCAATCCTCCCATAATTGAACTAGAACGGAGTTCCCAAATCGCACTGAACTACTTACAAGCGTATTTTTATTTTTGATACAAACTGACAACTTTTTTAATTTTTCGGTATTCCCCAATTAAATGTGATATTTCTAACGGCTCTGGCCCGTCTTAGAAACATTAATTGATTCATGTATGCATATTTGCAAAGGCATCTCTGCAAACACAATTATTAAATCATAACAAATAATATTTTTTATTTCGTAATGTCAGTAAATTGTTCGGATACAAATATTTTTTAGATCTGCGATTAACCTCAGTTTATCCCAAATATCCGTACAACGTGACTTTAATTGCAAGGAAAGAAATATGTTCCTCACTTACTTAACGACAGCCACCTCCTCAAACCCCAACAAAACGGTTTATTTCCAGAGCGAATTCCCTCCCACCCGTCTTGATTGTTTACCTCACCTCTAACGAGGGATTTTTATAAATAATCATTCCCATATAACATATTTAGTGGGAGTATAAAGAAATTCTCAGTTCAAAGATGCACACATTTTATACCCTACAAGTGTTGTGTGTGGTACCACTCTAAACCGTATTTAATAATATGTACTAAATACCGAAAAATATTTCAAACACAATGAACCCACTGAAAATATGTTTACTGAGAGTATACAGGCGAGTTTAACTTAATTGAATACATAGTTCCTCGGAAGAAGACTCTAGTCGCGCTCTTTTTCATGAACCATTTTGCAGTTATCTAAACTATGATAGCTTTATTGTTTCTAGAGCAATCCAAAACAGTACGATAAGGTTCAAAATTTGTTGTTTCGAATCAAATGATCATTGAGAACTGTTTCTAATGCACCGAACAAAGCTATTGTCAATGAAACTTTAACTGAACTGTCAAAATTTTGTTTATGTATTACTGCTTGTTTATTTATTTTTTATGCAGTATTTATTTCTTCCCACTAATTCAACATGATCTAATATAACTTAACCTAATCTAATTTTAACACAACCTAATTCAACGGTATCATAACCTAGCCTATATACAGTGTGTTTCACTTAGTCGGAACACCTCCGTATTTCGGATGGCGTTGGCCAATTTGCAAAATTCTTTTTTTATGTGATAGTACTCAAAAAGACCTAATTTTTTGATATTATATTTCTCTCTATTACATAAATCTTAATAAAAAAAATTAATGCCTTTTGTGGATCAAATAATCGGGACCTTCTTTTTTAACGTTAATCTAAACACAGATTTTTGTGAATTTTTTAAATAATAATATCTGGGATTCAGTACACGCACTTCCTCTTCATATAAGACAGAACCTCTACCTTCAACTAGATGGAGCACCTATTCATCATGCGGTAATAGTAAGTCATTGGTTGAATGAGAATTTCCGGAGAAAGTGGATAGGTCGCAACAGTCCGTTAGTTGAGTGGCCGTCAAGAGCTCCAGACTTGACGCTTCTTGATATCTTTTTATGGGGAACTTTGAAAAATGAATTGTATAAAGCAAGACCTCAGAAGATGAATGTAATAGAATTAGACAAGCATGTCGACAAATAACTCCACATAGAAATAGGTAGAATTTTTTTACGCGCTAGAGTAAATAAATTTAGGTATACATGTGGTTTGGTGGTGTACCCGATTGAATCAAGCGATGCAGTATACGCTCATCAGGGGTGTCGCGCTTATGAAAGAGCCGCCCAATCGTCAAGCACCATGCAACGTGATTCATTCATATCAGAAATCGCGAAAACCATTATTTCCAATAACACACATACACCTATATTCTCTCGACACCGTCAGAAGGGGGGGATAGGTATATACGATCCGCGAAAAATTAATGACTTACCTATACGCAAGACCCCGTTCGGCCAAAACTTTGCATATCGAGAGCGAGCGCGTCCAGGATTGTTTTTTCGCAACTTTTGACTAATAGAGGTGTTCACGCGACATGCACTCTCGCCTCTGAAATGGTGCTGGTGCTGGTCGCGATCATTTTCTTGGCGTTGTGCGGCGGTCTGGTGAAGAGTTTTCCAGCGAGGTTGGCCATGGAAGCGGGACCCGGAGAGCGCGTCTTCCAGAAGGGTCTGTCCTCGGACAGCGTCAACGAGGTGTACGACTCCTATTACGCCATCTCTGTAAGTGTTTGCTTCTGGTTGGGGGCGATGTAAGGGTTCGTGTTTTTCGGTTACAAAAAAAACGGCATTTTTTTTCAAAGACAACATACTTATTTTTAAATATATATATATTTTTTAATATTTATTCAATAAATAATATTCTTCAATAAGTAACGGACTTTTTTGCATAAATGCCTGATCAATAGTATTTATTGTTACTTATATTTCAATGATATATTATTTTTACGATTTATTCATATTTATTCAAGATTTTTTTTTTAATATTTCTAATAGCAATTATATATTTAAAAAAAATTATGCAGATATTTTATTGTAATGAAATTTTGATCGAACCATATTTTTTCCTATACATATTATAATTTTATAAATATATTTACAAAAAGATTCAATTTTTAATTCTGAATATTTTTTATAAATTTAATAAACTTTGAATAGAGTTTGTATAAATTATAATTATTATAGTGTTATCGTTGAGGGGTGGCTTTAAGTAATTTCCAAAATAAAAGGGGCGAAGTTTTTGTAAAATATTGTGTTTTCGAAAAATATCACAGACACGTAAATATCTCGAAAGGTATTTTGTGTGAATTAATGAACTGTCAAATTCACTAAAAAGTAAGGTGAAAATTTTAATTAATATAAAATTATATACAGGGTGTGCCCTTTAACACTCTCGCTGCCAATATCTCCGAAATGAAGAAATTTATTTCAGTTCCGGAAATTGGGATTGTTAGGTCCCTCGAATAGCTTCAAATTGTAGTTAGAACTGTTAGTTCAAATCTTTCTGTATAGATGGCGTGGCGATACTAAAAAATGTTTTGATCCCTGAAACATGGAAATGCAGTGCATCTCCAAGATTGTTCAATTTTGAGTAATTTTTGTAATATATACTTTTTCCCTATATTTACTTGTTTTCGAGATATGTCGACTTCAATATGCAATGTATGATGTAAGAAGAAAATCTATTATTTTATTTAAATCACACTGAGACAAAATATTCTTTTAAAATATTGTTATAATGGCTTTATTCACATCACATACTAACTAACAAACAATAAATTATAAAAAAAAACGAATGATCAACCTCACAAAAAAAATTGTACAATGGTAAATCTTATAAGGGGCAGAGACAAACCGTATTTTATCAAATGTTATTAAAAAATGCAGTCATAGGTGGATCATGTCATTTGTTTAAAATAAAACATGTATGACAGATGACACATATTAATTTTCCAATAATTACAGTTTTATCAGCTTGCGTCTTTCGATTTAACTATACTAGTTATAAGATTTACCATTATACTGTAGTTGGTCATTTGTTTTTTATAATTTATTGTTTGTTAGTTAGTATGTGGAGTGAATAAAGTCATTATAACAATATTTTAAAAGAATATTTTGTCTCGGTGTGATTTAGATAAAATAATAGATTTTCCTGTTACATCATACATTGCATATTGAAGTCGATGTCTCTAAAATAAGTAAATATTGGGAAAAACTTTATATTACACAAATTACTTAAAATTTAACTATCTTTCAGATGGGCTGCATTTCCACGTTCCAGGGATCAACAAATTTTTTAGTATCGTCACGCCATCTATACAGAAAGATTTAAACTAACAATTTTAACTACAATTTGAAGCTATTCGAGGGACCAAACAACCCCAGTTTCCGGAACTAAAATAAATTTCTTTATTTCGGAGATATTGGCAGCGGGAGTGTTAAATGGCACACCCTGTATATATTATGGAGATACTGAGTTACTAAAAACCCCAAAATGTCGGCGTCACTGAATAGTTTAGAAATTCCATCAGTTCATTTTGTTTCTAAATTTTACTTAAAAAATTGCCTGCTTCTCTTATTCCAAAAATTTGCCATTTTCGAGATATTACTTTTTTAACACAGTGAAATAAAACGAAATAATTCTGAAACTATTCAACTAAATAAAAAATGAGATGTTTTTATTGATTTTTCAGAAAATTTAATTTTTCAACATTGTTTCCACAAACGTGAAACACGAAATGAGGAGTTTTTCGCTTTATTTAATTCAATTCAAGGTAGCAAGCTTACTTAGGTTAAAACTGCCTAGTTTATCATATAAACTAAAACAGATTTTTTTTCTTTGAAATCCAGTTAGAAATTAAAACAATAACTTGATTTTCCAGAATGTTCTTATTTTTACTTTTATTTAATTAGTCGCCAGCCCAAATTTTATTAATTTGCGTTATACAACTTATCTTTCATATTTGATAAAAAAAATTTATTTCACGAAAGTTTTTATTATAAAGTTGCTACACCGCTCAATAAATAATTTAATGAGAGATGCACTGGCTGTACTGTTTAAATCTAATTATTTTTCAAAGCTAAAGCTTGGTTCACAACCAGCGCCAGCGTTGAGCGTTGCGTTAAACCCTACGACACACGCAGCGGACATTTTTGGGTGTCAATAAATAAATAAAGAGAAATAAAGTTATGTTTTCCAAAAATGGTAGATGGTTAATTTGTTTTTGGCAACCCTAAGTACTACTTGCTAGACACTAACCTGTAATGAATTCAATTCGGTCCTCGTACCTACCAGAAAATCCATAAAGGCTTTAAAATTAAACCTAATGTTCTTGAACTTGTTAATGTATTTTCTTTTAGTCTTAGCTCTGGAATGGAATGGGATTCCAGAACATTTCTATGACAATTTTTTTGTTTGTGACATTAAATTATTCGTCAGCATAATTTTTCTGCACCTTGCATCTAGCCAACTACTTAGATGTCATAATACAGATAGATAGCGTGAACACGGATCTTATGAACTGGATAATATCGATAAAAAGGTGCTTACCTGTAACATTAATCAAGTTAAAAAAATGTAGGGGAAACGTGAGAGAAAATAGAAATGCAATTAGCGTGCCTATGATACGTGCGAATTTCCTATTTTAAATTCGCATTTATATGTGATTTGTGCATTCTGAAGGCGTTAGTAAGAACTAATAATACATGAGGCATGTTAAGTCTACGAGGGTTGTTTGATGAGTTGTCGTATTATACTGTAGTTCAGCGCATATTCACGTATTCTTGAAATATAATTACGTTAGTAAACCTTAATACAGGTACTAGTTCCAATAGCTGAAGATGTAATTGAAGAGATCCGCAATATATCTTCTAAAACTGAATTTCAATAATGTATTACTTGTCTTCTCGCCCTCGTAACCGGCGGAATTTAAAATTCGTCAGTTTAACTTAAAAGTTTATTTACCCATTCGGCACGACATAATGAAACATTTATTAAGTTCACATATAAATAAATACAGGTGTCTGCTATAATATTCGTCCGATTTAATGTGACACGACGCCGCGTTTTTCCTAGGAGTTGTAATAAAGTTATTGAATAACGGGTTGTTATCTACACTCTACCTCTCCAAAGAGGTATTTCCACTCTACGGTGCTATAGGCGAGTCTACACCGGCACCAAACGACAACAGTCCTTGCAACACCTGATACAAATGATGTATCTATACTCCGCGGTAGAAATTATAGAGAGTGACTCATCGCTAGCTTTTGGACTAGTAAGGGGGATGAAGCGTGCCGGGAACGAAAATCCATTGGCGTGTCTGCGTAAAAGGCAACAAAATATAGAAAATATTGAAAAAAGATAATAAAACATAACATCTAATATTTTTTTACGGTTTGCTGTAACCGGCACTTTGATCCATTTTAATTATTACAGCATTTTAAAACGTCCCAGTTGTGTTTTTTAATTTATAAATTTTTTATAGCCATTGAATTAGACCCCTCGTCTACGTTTATGCTATGACGTTTCTCAAGACGGATAAATCAAGTCCGTTTCCACCCACTAAAAAAGCATTTCCCTATTCTAACAAGTGCAAAAGACAGAGATAGAATATAGATCGACGTTCAGTGTAATTCAGTCTATAGACGATTATAGATTCTATCGATGTGCGTAGCGAGCGGCACAAAGATAAATAATATTGAACCGTATAAAAATCATTTTATATTTTATACGCATTATGGTAATAGTGTTTTTATATTATGTCTGAGTCACTTTCTATAATTTCGACCGCGGAGTTTAGTATCTAGTCTAGTAAGTTACAAATCTTTGACCTGCCCTTGTTGTTCTCGGGATAGGCTTTGTGGGTCCACTATCGGAGCCCCTAGACCCGCCTTGAGGTTTATTTCGGTTCTTGTTTGTGTGAAATAGTCCTAGTACATTATATACCGATAAAAAATTGTTAAGATTAGTTTTTGACCCCCCCCCCAACAGCGAAATTGACGCCTGTATGAAAAATTCATTGTTCATCTGCATACCCACGGATTCGACAGCTGACTGCCTGAGCCGCGGCCAACCTCGATTATAATATGTTCTTTTTTCGTGCGGTTGTTCTACGGTTATACATCCCAGTGATTGACACAAATTCGTCGCCTACATGATGAATTGAAACTTTAGCGACTCTCTCGCGTTCCGAAAACAAGTCCACAATTATGCCACGCGCCCCCAGTCTCTGCCCCCGACGCGAAACACCAAAACACGGTTATTTATTGTAGCCGAGTGTAGTGGACGACCTTCACCCTTGACCCTACACCTGAAAAAAGCAGCATTCGCGGAACAAAGGGCACGTCTAGAGCTTCCTTGTCCTCCGAGGAGGTAAACGAACCTACCGAGCAGATAAGAAACAATGTGAAACATTGGGCCACGGTGAAGTAGTCACGCGTTTTCGTTGGAACCTTTGCGCGGCTTCTCACAGTCATTATAATATAAATGAACTTCCCTTTTCGCTGGGCTCACGCTCTCACATAGGGCGTTTTTTTTTATCGCGCGGGTTAATAATATCCGGGTCGAAGGACCAAAAAAACAGTTTAAAAAACATTAACTCTCTTTTTACTTTGTTTAACGACGTATTTTGTTTCAGAAAAAAAATGAGGAAAACGAGGAGACGAATGTTATAGCCCGGGTTCAACGTGTGGACCTCAACAAAATAAAATATAGCCACATCTACGACATCAACGGAGATACTTACATCCTAGTGAAAGCCTTCAGGCACAGAAATAAGCGATTCACAAGCTGTAAGTACACATTTTGAGGGATAAACATTTTTCACTTTTATAATTCTTCTGTATCTACAGGTCATTAAGCCAACCAATAGAAATTTTTTGACACACTTAAATGTTACAGCAAATTTCGTGTACTACCTTTTGAAAAATACTTTGTAAATGAAAACCCAAGTGATTTCCCCAGCAACGTCGTGGACAATTTGTTTTAAACAATAAATTAAATTTTTTTGTTTTTTTATAATATCTCGAAAAATAATGAAGAAATCTTCTTACTCTCAATAGGACTTTTGTAGAGAATGAAAAAACCTACAAAATGGTTCCTTGCGCGACCCGATCGATTAATTTTTTACAGAGAAAATCCGGAAAAACCTCTAAAATAGACCTTTTTTCAAAAATTCATAACTCCGTCAAATTTGAAGCTGGAAAAACAATCTTGCGGAAAATATCAGATAACAATATGTAGTTTAATCGTGCTTAAGATGGTTTCTGTTCGATGCATAGTTTTTGCACAATTGCATTGCCTCTTTTTACGCTCTACATTATTTAGTAGTACAAAATATTTATAACTGTGTCAGCAAATTTCTTTTAATCAGTAATTTTGTTTGAAACAGTAATTTTATTTTCTTCGCGTTGGCGATTAAATTTGAGTGAAATTAAAAATGATTAAAACAGGAAAATCGAGGTTACATTAAGGCAAACCATTCTATTTCACCGGTTGTTTGGTGTAATTTTTCACGACATTTTGTTAGTCAATTGCAGATTTGCAGTCTTGATACAATACTCAGACGTCACGTTTATAAGAATTTGTGGACACCCTGTATAAACATGCTTCCAAAAATTTTTGTTTGGGAAAATCTTACACCATTGAACAATAACTTGGTATTACTATAAATTAAATCACGCCTACTCTGAAATTATCATATTTATTTGAATCCATTAAATTCAATAAGCATTTATTCACCTGTTAATAAGTACAACCTTTGTTTTTGCCTCGTGTGAGTGAAGTTTCCCATAAATAGTACATATGGCGGTATTTGAGCAACGGGTATGTCGTAGAAACTTCATCAGTATTATTTATACCGTTTATGTTCTACACCCACAAATGTGCTAACAAACAAGCACCCTACGAAGTCTCCTAATTAACTACTTTACATAACTGCTTCTTATGTAAAAGATGTGGAACAATCCGTCTGACTTTACCCCATTGAAGCATTTTGATACAAATAATTTCCAATATAACGCCTAGGTGTCCCATTTTAACATATCCCACACATAGTAATTATATAACTATTTGGAGTGTTATAATTATCGATAAAGTTCGACGGTAAAGTAAAGGTCTTTTAGAGGATAACAGAGATGGAATATGTATATCTGTTCGAAGCTCTCCAAGCCATATCACAAAAGTAGTTTACGAGATAATGCGTTCGCCTGTTGGTTATAATAATAAAATATAGTGAAACCACAGACAATATAGCTTATCGCCACAGACTACGTGTTAAATGCTGGAAATTGGCAACCCGAAAAGTTTGCAGGCTTTTGTCAGCCGGCATCTAGCTATAAAATTTAGCGTGGTAACTCTTCTACTTGGTAATAGGCGGCAGTTCTAGCGGTGGCTTTGTTGCCAAATAATAATTGCCAAATAAATTTAATGCATTCAATTATGTAATTAAAGAGATATGGAACTAATCTTTTGTTTGGAAATCGCATTTGTGATAAATGCTAAATAAAATAAATCAAGTTAGAATTAAAACTATGAATTTACCTAATTAAACATTTATTTTATATCACCTTGGAATGGGAGAATACACTTGTGCCTCGACTTCCAATTTGGTACGATATTAACACCTGTTTAAAAAATTGCATTATACAGGTGAGTTATACGGCCTTTTTACTATATGACGTCACACACCTCTTGTTTCCAAAATTTATTTTCGACATACGGACTTCGGACCTTTTGCATTCAACGCAGAACGGACAATCAGATCCAGGAGTGTGGGGGCGATTTTTCAATTTTTTTTTCGATTTAACGCACCGTTTTCGAGTTATAAGACCTTTTTTACTGTATCACCTCACACACCTCTTGTTTCCGAAATTTATTTTCCATATAAGGACTTCGGACTTTTTGCATTCAACGCTGAAGGGTCAAACAGGTCCAGGTGTGTCGGGAGATTTTTTCGATTATTTTTTCGATTCAACACACCGTTTCCGAGTTATAAACACTTTTTTATTCTAGGATGTCACACACCGTTGGTCCCAATTTTTATTTTTAGACATGCGGGCGTCGGACGTTTTTCACTCGATCACCAATCAGAACCATGGGAGATTTTTTGATATTTCGAGTATTTCCGAGGTACAAGCAAATACTGTTTTTTTTTTTCATATATTGTGACACCCACTCTGCCTCACTCACCAAATGCTCTACTCAGAACCAAAGGGTTTTTTTTTGTTTATATTTCCAGCCATTTCCGAGTTACGAGCAAAAACTGTTTTTTTTTTCTCATATGTTGTGACGTCATAGCACAATGACGAAGGTTAAAATGGCCACGCGCTCTATCCCACGCTCCCTGCTGGGGAAGCCCCAGAGACTCCTGAAGACAGCAGAGAGGGAGACAGAGAGAGAGAGAGAGAGAAAAGCCCCCTATGAGCACAATGTCACTCTATCGCTTACAATAACTCTATCACACTATCACAATCACATAAAAACGACAGAAACGAAACATGGGATTTATCATTTTCAGAATAACCCATTTTAATTTAAAAAATTAAAAATGAATTAAAATGGGTTATTCTGATGAAAAATAAAACATAATTAAACTGTATTATTCAAATAACAGTAATGTGCAAAAGTTCTTCAGGAATTATTTTGGAGGACGAATCCCGTCAACGAAATCTGTAAAAAATATTATTAGAAACCTTAAGTGCCCAGAAAACAGCCCCGATCTCGGTAATTTAGACATATTTTTATGGGGACACTTCAAATAAATATATTACTAAAGACCTCAAAATTTACAAGTATTGGAAGAAAAAATACAAGACGAAATGTTTGATAATTCTGAATTTGTTTTTAAATCAATAAATATTAAATTAAAGCATATTTTCAACTGATCATCACAATTACTTGCATGTTGAAAATTTGTAAAAATTGTAGGTATTTTAATGTTATTTTGTTTTTAGGTATTCTCCTTGTTGTTGTAAAGGTTAGTTATAAAAATCGTTGTTTGCTATTTCAATAAGGATGAATTTTAATTTTTTTAATGATTTTTTTTTACTTTAAACATATATTTTATGCCAGCTAATTTTGATGTCAAAAGAATCAAAGGAAAAGTCGTACATTCGTATTTAAAGTATTTCCTATATTTAATTATTAAACCTATAAGTGGATTTCAAAATACAAAGAAAAATCCTGTACCTACATTCCGCGACGTACCAATAACCCACCCTGTATTTTAAATAAATTTATCATCATCATATAATACAAAAATTATATTACAAGCTGTTTAAAATATCATTACGAATTTTGTTTATTTGGAAATATATTTTCTGCAGTATTTCAATACCAAAAAATGAAAACAGTAGCTATAATTAACCAAATTATGATTAAATAACCGCTGCAGAATATCCGATCGCCTAAGTTGATTACATAGGTACCTATTCGTTCATTATTTACAACATTTTTATCAATACCTACATTTAAGTAAATACAGTAACGCAAAAAACAGGCATTGATAAAAAAGTAAATAAATCCGTAAGTACACGTGACAACATTGCCAATTTATATGTTGCTGCGATACACGTAGGAATGCGCGCCGCTGCATTTGATTCTTCCTAAAATTCAGCTGGTGGTGTACTCTATCGGCAATTCGGAAATTTAAAACTGCTGGCCTATTCCAGTAGCGGTCTGGGGCGATAGCTATTTTGTCTGTGGTGAAACATTACACCAATCGAAAAACTCCCAGTTTTTTTTTCTTCACTTGCTAAATTGTAATCTTTGTTCCTTCTATCTCTTCTCATCCCCTTTGAATAACACTTTTCTGCGGCAGACATAAAAATTAGAGATGAAAGAGCCTTTTATTTTTTTTTCTTGTTACTATTCAACAAATCAATTGCAGTAAACCAACATTCCCAATAACAATCCGTCTAACGACTGTTTTCTTTGTTTACGCGCATATAAACATATCTGTAAGCCTCATGTAACAATCTGTTGACAGCGTTTAACGAGCTGTTGACTATTTTCAAACCCATAAATAGGTAAATACGTGCTTAGAATGGCACTAATGATAATAATCTACATAAAAAAGATCAAAAGGCGCAATCGGTATCGATTCGGGGATTTTTTTGAGTTGTTTCTTTTTCCTTCACATCTTGAAAATTGCCAAAAATATTAGTCGGCTTCGAGACATTGTCCGATTCACGGTTACGGCCGACAACTTCATCTTACATAAGTCTAGTCTAGTATTTGGGTAATAAATTCTGTGTCCCAAAAATGTCGGGGTATATTTCATCAGTATAGCGCATTTTCAGTTCAATCAGGTACACCGTCTCATTATAATAGTCAGTTGGGGATAAATCTTGTCTAATAATGTCTACATATTTCGCTTTTGCTGAATAAACTGAATAGACTAAAGTTACCATGGTTTTTCGGATCGTTATCTAGTCACCTATGAATCTGGTCGCCATCAATTGCAAACTTCCATTGCACTTCCTTAGCCTTAGCTAAGAGTCCTTGGTCTCCCCTCGTTATTCTCGATCTAGGCTCTGTGGGGGCCGACGAGGTTCAGAACTCCTGTTGTACGAGATCTTAAATAATGCACTGTTAAAAAAATAGTAATAACTGTCGCCAACACCCACTTAATATCGACAATCTGTTTCAGATCACACGCTATGTCCGTTTAAAATCTGCAACATGGGCCGCAAGAGAACGAGGACTAGAAGATACATTGAGCCGATAAGACCAGTGGGAGATAATGATGAAACGTAAGCAAGCCGCAAGCCGTCAACTTGTCTGTCGAATGTTTTTTTTTATTAGTCAGGTTTCGATTTTTTTATTTTTTTTATTTTCGTAGGCAACTCATTTTGTTTACGGTTGATGAAAGATTATTTATTTACTTCCGATTTGTTTTATATGCGGAACAGTTTGATAGATGTGGTATTTTATTTTTAATGTATTTGTCGGAAAAATAACGGCATAAATAACAAATACTAATAGTAACTCTCTTATCAAGTTAGCCAATTGAAAATATTAGAAACAAATGGATCTTGTGAAATATCCAGCCATCATAGTGGCTGTGAAACTGATTAGTTTTTAAATGAAGTAGCAAAAATGGTACCAGTCCAGTGCCAGTGAATGTACAGCAAAAAATAAGAGCATTGAAGTAAAAATACCTTATATGAAAGTTGCACCTCTGAGGCGATATACCCTCTATACCTCTACCCGATATAAGGAGGGGAAATAAATTCACATTTTAATTTTTTTCTTTAACATGGGGAATGCTAGACACGAAACGGTATGAGCATCCTACTATTAAAGAGACAACTTTTCAATATTTTTTCGATCATTGGCGTATTTTATAAAGGAGTGAAACAGTCTACCCCATTGCAATATTTTATTAGAAATTTTTTATATTTTTATATTATTTTTTATATTTATTTAAAAATATTTATTGGGAAGACTGATTTATTGCGCAACTTTTTTACCTCTTGTAATTTTTCGATAAAACCGATAGTTTTCTAGTAAGATAAATTAGATGCATCATCGTTCACTGAAGGCGTAATTGAGAAAATTTGTAAAAATAAAGTAGGCGGATGTCATAACAAATAAATTGTTATTTATCATATTAATAAATTGACACTTTCTGTCAATAAGCTGGTAATTTAATAATAACATTAAGAATAATTTGCTATTAATTAATGAAAAATGTTTGATATCTTATGACTATGTATTAGGTAAAGTTATTTATCTGAAATAAAATTTAATACAAACGAAAAACAAGAAATGCAACAATATTATAAATATTATTTGCCATAATTATTCTAATAAATTAATCAATTGGTAGTAATTATTGGTTGACAGAAAGTGTCAATTTATTAATATGATAAATAACAATTTATTTGTTATGACAAATTTTTTACAAATTTTCGCAATTACCCCTTTACTGAACGATGACACATCTTTTTACTAGAAAACTATCGATTCTATCGAAAAATTACAAGAGGTAAAAAAGTTGCGCAATAAATCAATCTTCCCAATAAATATTTTTAAATAAATGATTTGCTTCATATAAAAAATTTCTAATAAAATATTGCAATGGGGTTGAGTGTTTCACTCTTTTATAAAATACGCCAATGATCGAACAAATATTGAAAAGTTGTCTCATTTTTAGTAGGATGCTCATATCAAGTTTCATGTCTCTAGCATTCCTCATGTTAAAGAAAAAAATTTGAATGTGAATTTCAATCCCCTCCTTTAAGAGGGTATATCGCCTCAGGGGTGCAACTTTCATAGAAAGTATTTTTACTTCAATACTCTTATTTTTTGGCTCTACATTCACTGGGTACCATTTTTGCTACTTCATTTAAAAACACCCTGTATAATCTATAAAACTATTTATGCGTCAACTACGAACAAGAATGACTAATAATCTAGGAACATTTCTTGGTTAACCAAAAGGAGAACTGCAAAGAAAAATGTTAAGTTTAAGTCGGCCCTCAACATATGTAATTAATTTATATTTTCGGTCTGTTGAATGCTTTAGTGACATCTATTGGCCAAATAAAATACAAGCCCTGAAAATTTCTCAATATATTATATCTGCAGGTCAGATACGTATGTTTAAATATTGTGAAATTTCTTTTATTGTGTTAAAATTGAATAAGAGCCTTTTAAAAATATATTAGGACTTAATTCTTTCAGAATATTATTTAGATTTCTTAACAGATTAATCATGAATTAATCTGTCAAAGAATTCAATGTACCATTTATCAATAATCGGTAATCGGAGTCACTATTTTTCATAGTACTAAGCACAGATTACTAAAAGTTTTAGTAGTATCGCATTGGATTTATACACTACCATAGGGTGTTAATTGCATGCCAGCATTCTAGTAGGTATTTAAATTATAATTTTAAATGAAAAACACTGCCACAAGGTGCCAAAGTTTAGTTATTTTAGATATTTTAATTTACCTTATTTTCATAACAATTGGCTAGATTTTGGTCGAGCGAGTTATTTTTATTTGTTTCACGATTATTTGACCTGAAACTTTTTTATCAAAATAGATTTAAGTTGGTCTTTTAATGCCGATCGAAAAATATTTGGAAATATGGGCATGCAATGAAAGTATGGCTTTAAGATAGAACGATATTTAATATATATCATTTTTTACTTTTATATTTTTAGGAGTTATGGCTCAAAAAATCATGTTTCCTATAATGTGCATCTATGTATAACATTATTTTAATTATTTTTTATATTTTCTCATTTAAATCACATGACTGTATTTTCGCTTATTTTTTTTGTATAAGTCTGATATGTAAAGTGAATATTTGTTTTTAATTAATGTTTGTACCTAGCATATGCTCATTTTATAATTTTATATTTCAAAAAATTAATAAAGGTATTGTACATTTTATAATATACATATTTTGAATGCTTAGGCTAAGAAAAATATTGGACTGATTTTATTAATGTTTTAGTGATCAATATGTGGTGATTGTAATATAATTAATCTTATTATTACTATTATTTTAAGAAAATAAGTTCTAAGCGTTACAAAAGATATATTGTACAGTTATTGTATATGTATGTTATATTTATTAAGTTTTCTTTTTCGTATGCAGATTAATAAATATTTTTAAATAAAATTGCTCATTCCGCCAGTTCTTTCATGTTGTAAGTGTAAGAAATCTCTCTTAGAAAAAAGTTTAACACCAGTCATTGTTTGAAGAAATCGAATTATTTTTAAATAAATTGAAAACTGGATAAAATAATTTATTCACAAATACAAGATAAAACGATTCACAAAGTACTTTCTGATAATACCATTAGCTATACAGGACAAGAGGCTCCCTCTAATTGTTTACAATGCCCACAGTTTTAGTGGAAGTTAGGTCGTCCGTGGCCAGGGGGCAGCGCTGTCGAATTATAATACCCTTCTTTATATCGTTGATCAATAGATGGATAGATGGCGACACTAATATAAAAATCCCCGTCATCTTTGTTTGGGTCAAGGATTTCACGGGAGTCGCCATCTAGTATTTTCCATTCCAACTTCGGCAAGCAGAGAGTAATGTCATTGTTATTTACATTACGAATTACGCTATTATCACAGAATAAAGGACGGAAAGCGAAAGATGAGACGGTTTCATTAGTGTTAGATAAATCAGAAATATTTTACTTCAATTCTGAAACTGACATTTACCACAGCCTGTAAAATATCTATCACTGTTTGTGCATTCACAGCACTCGACAAAGCCGACGTGATTTAACTGGTTATAATTCTGTTAACTGCTAGGATGGCGTATGCGAAAGTTTCTTGTATTTTATGCAACCAAATATACATGCTTTCAAGTGAACATGTAGGTATGTCGTGTTGCCTAGGAAGTACAGATATGACCAGACAAGACGTGTTGGGGTAGATCTTTTTAAATGAAAAGAAAATTGTACTTTATAGTTTTATTGATAAGCACCGATAAAAAGCACATTTACAAACACTTAAAAAAGATGAAAATATATATTATATAAAAAGACAATCGAAGGATAAATATGTGGAACAGAACGCCCTGCACCCTTCCTTAAACTTACAACGGTGAATTAAACATTTTATATATTAACAACAATTTCATATACTTTTGCTTTCCTTTTCAATAATAATTATTATTAAGGCCACTAAAGCTAATCCAGAGTATGTATTAAATAGGTATACAATATTAAATACATTTACATATTCAATTTTTTTTTGTTTTCATTAATCGGAAAAACCCCGGTAATGACCTGAGTGAACGTTATAGTGGACTTTGACCCTAGCCGATTGCGACAAGAGTCCTTAAGACGTACTTAATGTCGCTGGAAACGTCGTCCTGCAAATATACAAAAATACAACACTGTATACCAACCAAAGATCCTTTTACTAACTAATGGCAGTCTGATGAAAAGCTAGTATATAATTTTAGTGTGAAGGCATACATATTTTAATTCTATCGAGTATGGTTATGGTGCGCAGAGTGGATGTGCGGGAATTAGTCGAGGATGGCCAAAAGGACCCTCTTGTAATCGCCGGAGGTATCCCCCTAAAAAGGATAGGACGGTCAGTACAGTTCATGCGACAAATTTACACTACTGTTCAGATTTCCTGTTCGTCGGCAACTAAATCGATATTTCTACAATTTTTTAATATTATAGTGAATAACGGCACTTTCGTTACATTTCATTTGTATTGTTCAAATCTATTTTCAAATTAAAAAAATTTTTCTAAAAGTTTTATGAAAACAGTGACTAGTCTTTGCCAAGAATGATAATAGAATAGCAAGAATACAAGATATTTCTTTAAATGACCACATTATTTAACAATTTGTTTTTTTTAATGGTTTTAATCTACCAATGAAAAATTTCATTTAAAATTTAAATTACTATTAACTGGAATAGGCAGGAAGAGGTATTTAAACAAAGAAAACCATTTCCTGCAATGAACATGGATTTATAATGCGACATTTTTAAAATATGTATCTACAACTTTATTTAGAATTTTTGTGAGGGGGTAAAGCCATTTTAGAATTTTGAAAAAATAGATTTTTGGATAAATGGTTTCAACGTTTTATGTTTTACATGGGGCAAAAATTGGGCACACGAGTTTTTTTCAAGGTGGAGGAATGCTACAGGAGCACTTTTATGTACAATAAAGCCATTTTGTTCCTGATGCTATCTTGTATCGATTTTTCCTTGAAAATTCCCGAAAATCACCTTTTTTCCAACCTCTAGAGTGGTGTTGAGGCTACTTATACTTGTTTATATAGAAAATTTGGAAATGGAAAACGAGAAATGCCAAAATTACTAAAGAAAAATAAAATAATGAAACCTTATTTCATCAACTTAGTGCCAACGTACAACATAATCTGCAAAGGTGCGCTAAAATTATTATATACGAGAGCTATTCAAACTTAAGTTAATAAGACTTAATTTTAATATAAAATAAATGCTTTTTTTACAATATAACATTTTATTTGCAGTATCGCTATTCAATTGACGATTTTTTCAAATATGCTTTGTATTTGTTCCGGTACAGGCTTAAAAAATAAAAATATATCCAAATACAATTAAAAGATATTCCTGATTTTTAATTTAATTGTTTCCACTTGTATCAACACAGTAAATGAGAAAATATTAGCTTGTTCTGTCATAATGAACAAACATAAAAGTATTGTGTATTACAACAGTCATAACTTTTATCTCAACGTCTATTTTTAAACTTGATGCAACATATAAAAATATTCCCAACAAATTTTCAAGAAAATGTACATGATTCATTTAATGAAACATTTAAACTTTCCATGACATTAAAACAAAATAAAGTACATCGTTATTAATAATGCAGCCTTATTTAAACTTCTATCATTGAAAATTTGAGATATCCAAATGGAAGAGTACTAAAAATTTTAATGGGGACATTTCTATGCCTGATATTTAGTGAATAGCATTATTTTGACGAGGGTTTTAGGAAATTTAAGCAAGTTAGAAACAATATCTCTTCACTGTACCAGTTATACAAGTTTTCTCCAGGGTATAAGATAGTTTACAAGCTGACAATACATTCAGAATAGGGGAAAAAAAGCATATTTTTACATCTTATGTTTACTGTTACGTTTCCTGAACTTTACACACCTGTTAAATATATAGAAAGCCGCGTACAGTACTACAAATATAATTAGACCCCACAAAATACTTTTGTAAAACTATTAACACATGAATTAATCACAATTATTATGCGCCTTTTGCAAAATTCTCGACAAGACTTCAATATTATTAAAGGGAACCTTGTATTTCAACATTTTTATAGTTTAGATGGATTTTCTTGTTATATCTATCTATTTGTCTTGCTAAAAGTGCAATTTCTTGTCTATAAAACTCCAGTGAGATATAGAACGGGCGAGATAAAAAAATTATTAAAGTGTGGTACATTGAAATTATTGAAAGAATTGCATCCAGTTTAGATAAATGTAAAACATTTGGGCAACATTTATTTATTTAATAAGATAAAAGTATTTACTTACAGATTAAGAATTTTCCCATTTATTATTGTTAAACGGTTCATAACACTTTAATAATATAAAGATATATAAAATCCCACAATTTAAAGCCCAAAATGAGTGAAATGCTGTGCTGCTCGTGATAAAATGAACGAAAAAATATTTATTCAGATGTTTGAATAGCTTTCGTGTAACCAGTGACCCATGCATATACAGGATGTCTGATTAAAATAAACACCCCGCACAGCCCAGAAAACCTTCCCAGTTTCCGATTAGTGGAAGATATTTGAAATATTTTACATTAACTTCGTTAATAAACTCCGAAAAAAAGTTAGATCGTTGAAAATTTGTTAGTAGAAGAAATCACTCAAACGATTACTTTAACATAGAATTAATGAGGTCTAGACTAGATGTTGTTAATTATGGAATATAAATAACTCGAATTTAGTTTCCAGGCTGATCAAGATTGCATTACAAATGTACTGATCCACAAGGTTATACGAATAATTTAAATATAAGTTGAAACAGTTAAAACAAGTAGGCAGAAAGGTTGACATCATCGTCCAAGAATTTACCATATCGGTGGCAGTAAGATAATCCTTAACGTGCTATAAATAAATTAATATGATAGGTACACTTATTTCCATAAGCATAAACGGGTTTTTTATTTTATATCATTAGTTAATATCCTTCTTTATTTATTTATCAACGGACTTCATGATTTTTTAATTTCAATACAATAAAGATTAATAAAAATAAAATTATTATTAACACTACAATTTTCTCCAATTTGTGAGAAGGGTAATAATGAAGGAATCACAATTAAATATTAGAAGAGTGACTAAATAAAGTAATAATAATAATAATAATAATAATATTCAAACGTTAGGAAAAATTTATTTTTTCTAATTTCAAAAATTGTGAATTATTAATCAAATATTTTCCATACTCATGGAGGATTTAGGTCACCTTTTCACCAATAACCAATCAACCAACCAACACCGACATCTCCACAAGCAAAATGAACATGATAAAGCTCCATTCCCCGAAAACGCAACGGCCAAAATACTTACAGAGATCCAGCTCTCCAAAGTCTTCCCGTATTTGTCCAAAAAGGCTTGTTTGATATCAGCGAGATCGATTTCAGACCTGGATACCACGATGCGGATTAAAGTCTTATCGTTTGTTCCCAATCCAGCCATTGAGTCGTGGAGGCGTTCAGCGAAGTAGCCTACTTTGCTCTTCACACATTTCACTAAAAAAAAAAATTACAAATCGTAACAGATCACCCTTATATCTCGATAATATTTACCGATTCCCAAGAGGCCTTTTTCGATGGTGCCGGAGAACTCCTTCTTGATGGAGGACTCGATGTCCTTTCCGGTCAGCCTCTCGTACTCGGAGAAGGTGGCCCTCAGTTGCTGGTAACTCCTGGTGATGAGGATGGAGTTGAAAATTGACTCTTCGGTGCCCCACTTCGACTCGCCGGCTTCGATCAGCGCCTCAGCGTCAACCAATGCTTGTTGTTCGTTGACGCCCTGGTTCTCGTCACGGTTAGCCTGGAAAAGTGAGGTAAAAAATGAGTCTCGGAGAGGTGGTGGACTGTGTAGATATTCATAAGATTGTTGTCGGGGTACTTACTTGAACAAGGGAAACACACAGTCTTTTGAAGTGGCCGGATGTGTCGCCTTTTAAGTCTTTTTCTAAGGGTTTGCCATACACTGAAGAGAAAAAAAAAATGTAACAACGAAATACTTTAAAGATACGAAACACAGGTTTCTTTCACGGCTGAATGCCTGACTTGAAGTGACTATTTCCGGGATAGGATCATCAAAGTATAACACAAATCAGCAACAACATACACTTTTTTATAAACAGGTTATAAAGGGACGAAAGGAGTAGATTCTTCACGGTTCTGTGAATTTTTATACGTATTTCTTAGAGAAATTGTTGCTTTGCTTCTAGAATTATAAATTAACAAGGAAACGCAGAATATTTGCCAAAGAATACAAATTTTTGATCAAATCAAATATGATATTCGTACCATGACGCATGCGTGAAGGAAGTAAAATTTATGAAATTTGATTAAATTTTGTACGTCCCTGTGATAGTTCCAGGAGTGTCCAAACTACTTGAATCATTTTATTATGATTAAATGATATCTTTGCCACCAGGTGGCGAAGAGGCTAAAACGTAATTATTACTACACTCCTACAAACATGGGAATTAGGGTAATAGATGTAGCGATATCTCGCCTGACCGCTTTAATTTCTAATTTATTAGTCATGCCATGAATAGCATTCCTCGTGAGTCACCTAATGAATTTACGGTTTTTAGAAATTCGCAACCGGCAGCGACGACTCGCAATACCTTTTACTTTCGTAACTTGGGCACTCGACGGATCAATTAAAAATCCTGATGAAAGTTAGAATGCTGCTAGTGCCACAAACTGGACTGACGCTTTATTAATTAAATTCAGTCATAATAGTCTCACAACGACTTCCAATTAGTTTCTGATGGATTTTTTATCTTCGAGTCCGATGTTTGCGTAAAAATTAACAATATTTAATAGTTCATAAATCAATTTATGAGAAAATTTGATATTAATGGAAATATTCGAACAATTCATTACCATTTTCATTAAAAATGCAAATGTCGTGTACAAAATAGAGAATCAATACTTTACTCCCACAGGCCGATAACTTTGCGGTGGATTTCTCGTAATTTTACAGTTGGGCTTGGAAATAACCAGGATAAGGCGAGGCCAAAATAGATGGTGATTGCACTGTTTACACCTCGGCTTACACGTAAAACTATCATGCCGGTTTATAGCTAACGAAATATTTGACGTGAACGTAGACGAGGTGTATCGTGGCTAGAACCGAGGATGCCGTAAATTTGTATACAAATGGTTTTAAAAAATACACATCTTCTAAAACATAGTGTAATGTATGTAATTTTAATTGCTGATATGAATTCAATCAGCAGAGCAGCCAAAGAAAATGCATTTACTAAATTAAAATTTAGCTAAAATGCCAATGTTATATCGGCCTTAGTAAAAGATTCCAAACATCCAAACAGTGTGAACGTACCAATACACATATTCGTAATCGGAAATTTTTTTCTTACTTCATATTATTTACCGGTATTTTGTGACATTGTGTGACTTGTGCTTATCTCTAGTACCATAAATATCATATCTGAAGAATTGAAAAATAAAAATAAATTAATTATATCACTCCGACTTGACAAACATGTCAGCAAACAACATCATTAGCTCCATTTACAGAACAATAATCACCGATCATTCTAGCCGAAATCATTTACAATTTAAAATTACTAAAAAAAGTAATACGTTTAGATCCTTCGCTAGCTGTCGGAGATTGCTTTATTTATAACAAAAACATATATTTTCTAGTGTCATGTCACTGAACATTGTGAAATAGCCAATTTAGAAATTTAGAAAGAGAACAGTAAAAAAATTAAAGCAGAAAAATTTCCAAAAAGAAGCATCTTGAAGCTTGAAGATTTTAGTTTTGAAATCTTGAGATGAAATCTTTTTTTGATCATCGCTCTGGGCGCAATAAAAATAAATAATGCAAGGCAAAAATTTTTAAATTTTTAACCTCAAAAATTACTTTGTTCACCGGCAAACCTTGATTTTCATAAAAAAATATAAATAAAATTACGAAACACATTAATTAAAGACAGGGTATTACAATTTTTAAAAATTCATAGTTTCAATTTAAACAAATGAATATTTAGGACAGCCTTTTTTTTAGTACTTACTCTGTTCGTAGAACTGGGCGATGGTCCTAATACCATAATTGGACAGCGTGCAGAGGATCTCGATGATGGCCTCCTCGTCCGTTCCCAACCCGGCCACGGCGTCGTGGAGTTCTTTGGCGTAGAACTGGGGCAACGGGGTCATCAGGGCCACGATGACATCCTCGAATTTGCCCCCCAACTCGCTCTTCAGCTCGGATATCAGATCTTTGCCGTACGAGGTTTTGAATGTCTCCGCGATCTCCAACCGCTGGACGATGCCCCTGCGGGCCAAGACGTCGATGATGGCCTTCTCATCGGCGCCGAAGCCCTTCATGGCCTTCTTTAGGGTGGCCGCATCGGACACGGGGTCGAAGGGGTCCGCGGGGTAGACCGTAGGGGTACACTGGGGGAATAAAGGTTGAAACGTGAAGGTTTCTGGACATATGTTAAAGCTGCGTTAAAGATGCTCAGGAAGTACAAATATTGGTAACCAAGACAAATTTTAAATAAATCGGAGAAGGCGTTTCTTTAGAAAAACTAATTCTGTGACTTTGACGCTCTCTAGCGGCTAAATGAAGCACCTTTGGATTGATGTAAGTTTGTTTACCTAACTTCTTATTTTGACCCAAGAATTGCCGGTTGTTCCATGTACCTACACGAAATTTTGGGACACCCTGTATATTTGTTGTATTATTAAATTTAAGCAGCAAAATTTGATTCGTCGAAGTCAAAGTATTCAACTTCAAAGTCAACTCACGGATCATGCAAGACGACAAAATAACTGCGTACATAAGTTAAAAGTATGCAAATAAATCATAAAAGGATAATCCAAGGCAAACATAGTATTAGAAATTTGACTGCCATAATTTTAACAGGCGATAGTGTACATCAAAATAAACAAAAAAACATCATATGACGTGGGTCCTAGAACCAACGATTTTCGAGTAAAAATAACAAATCTCCAATTTCATCTGTAAAAATTCAGTTAATTAAGTAATGTCGCCATAACTTTGAGCATTAAATGACCATAAAATGCAGTGTTTACCTCTTCTTTCTATTTATTTATGTTTAGTTTTAATAAAACAATTTTTTCATTAATCAATAAAATCGATAAAATAGATATCGCGCAATGTGACAACAGTGCAGAGTGAGTAGGGTGTGTGCCTGCCGGAAATACAGGTGTTTATGCCACCAAGTGGAAACAGAAAATGATTTGCGGATATTTTCCAGCGAGTGCGCGAAAATTGGATTCGAAAGTGTCGTGCGTGCGTGGAAAGTGCCGGTGGACATTTTGAACATTGCTGTAATAATGTTATGTTTGTTAGGTATTTCAAAATGACCCTGGATTTTGATTTTCGGTAAGTAGGTACTTTTAATTAATTTTTTTGTACACAAGTTATGATTATTTCAGCGTGAGTCTCTTCAGAAGTTTTTATTAGGTACTTGTTATAGTTTAAATTATGTTACTAGTTTAAACAATTAAAAATTACCAAAATTTAAACACATCTTAATATTAAAAAATTCATTAATCCTACCATTTAAAAACAGTTGTCTTTTCTAAACTCATTAATTTTCATAATACCTAGTTGCTTATATTTGGATTTTTTGTCATCACAAAAAACAAGCTGGTGCAATGAGCTATTCATGTGTTCGCACTGTTGCCACATTGTGAAGAAATTCCTTGATATACCTAATAACAATAATTCAACTTATTTTAAAAATTGTTTGTACTACCTAACTTTTTTGTTCATTTATACTTTATCTTATACTGAAGTTACGGCAGTCAAACCTCTAACACCTGTATTTTCTCGATATTTTCTGATAATAATGATGTCAAATTATTCGCCCTGGCCAACTACCTAGGTACTAAGTGTATTATAATTATACCATCTTGCGAGATTGATAGGCTATTATTACAACAAAACAATAAACAATGTAATTTTGGCAGCGAATGCGAAATAACAAAGGGAACTTTCATGTTTCCATTCTCAACTTTAATTAAAGTTCCCAGTAGCGCATCGATAAAGAGAGAGAGGGGTAGCAGGTAATACTTAAAATAGGAACTTGTTTTGAAATTGTTACAAATGTTTTATTAACACTTATCCTTTTCTTACATAAAAATTCTAGCAAGTGTTTCAAAATATGTTTTAAAGTCCAGTAATTAAGTAAAAATTGAAAACGACCTTCGTAATGCGAAATCCAACAATATCTTATCTGTTTTTTTTTTATTATACAGGGTGATCCACAAATGGTGACCAAAAATGAAACTACGTATTCTTTGGTGATTTTTAAGGGGAGTCTTTCCTATAAAGTTTTTGTCTAGGACGCTTCGTTAAAAAGATACAGGGTGTTAAACTTCAAAAAATATTTTAAATTTTTTTAAATAATTTAAAAACTAGCAAGTGAAATAATTTGTAATTGACTATATGTATTTATGTAAACATTGTCCAAAATCTGAGGGCTTTTCCTAAAATTTACATGCTCCAGTGGCGGAGATACCGGGTATCGGCGGCATATTTTTACATGTGCCCAATTTCAAATTATTCCACTTACTAGTTTTTAAATTATTTATAAAAAAATAAAAAACCCTGTATGTTTTTAACGAAGAGTCCTAGATAAAAACTTTACGGGAAAGACTCCCCTTAAAATTCACCAAAGAGTACGAGGTGTCATTTTTGGTCGCCATTTGTGAATCACCCTGTATTTACAACGGATTTATTTTATTTACATTTTACCTGCCTATAAAAAAACTGAGCGCGCGCCTCTGCCCGGTTACGAAAACTCGGAATGAGGTTTCGACACAACATATTATTCTCGTTACGTCATAATTGCAGAATAACAAAACTCGTCGTAAACGTTTTCGGTCGAATCAAGACACCGTTTAAAATCAAACCAAGGGAATATGGGTTACGATTGCCACATTTTTCCATTTCGACGACTGACGAGGCCATTGCAATAGTATTCGGGCCGGCGGCGTTAGAGTAATATTCATAAACTGTTACGATAATGATGTCATGTTTTGTTTACCGTCACCCGGCAACGCTTCGAAAATGTTAAAACATCTGAAGGCCGAGGTTGAAGGGCGGATGACTCAGATTAGACGCGCTATTTATATCGATTGTTATCACTCGCAATTAGAGGAAAAGTAATAATTGTCTTTTAACAGCTTGTATCGCCAAAAATTAAATAGGTACCTACGTAAAGGTCAAAATTATTTCTAGACAAACGTACTTAAAAAACTTTAACTGCAATTCTTCATTTCTTCATTTCCAAACCGAGTTGGCTATGGCTCGAGTCGTGATTGTGAGATACAAATGACAAATTAATTTACGCAAGATAAAAAAGAGTAATCGATTCGCGACAGCCGTTTTTTTGTTCATTACTTCGATGGAGCCAAGCCATTCCAGTCCGGGTGTTCATCGAGGTGCCCGTAGGTCTGTCGCGGATGTAGATATAGTAACACCATGGCAACTAGATCGATAACTAGAACTAGAAAACTTAACTCTTTATTTTCTATTGGTTTGTATCAGAGACATGGGCTTAGCCAGGGGGGAGCAGGGGTGTGCACGACCCACCCCAGAAAGCCCGGTGCCCACCCCAAAAAAAAAGATCTAATATTACCGTCTATCATATCGGCATATCGGTAAGTCGTTGAATGCGTGACTTTTTTTAATGAAATCAAAACGTGTTCAGATTTTCTAAAATTTTATTCGGCAAGTTGCTGATTGCGAAAGCTTTTTTAGAAGCTCCATAGAGGTTGCAGCCCTGATGGGCACACCCCAGGCAAAAATTCTAGCTACGCCCATGATCAGAGATTAGATTAGAGACAACAAAGAGTAATTTTAATTTTTTTTGCAACTGAAAGTTAAAACATTTTGTTTATCTATGCAGAACAAATAAAAAATGTCGCCTTTGACCTAGATACTGACAATGCCACGATCATTCCCACGCAGAGCTATTTTAAAAAATTGGAAGTTGTAAATTTTATTTAAAAGTGCACGTACTCTCAATTACTCGTTTTAAAAAAAATATTTTATAGGGCACATTTTAAGACATTTTAAATGCTAGAAACAGATTTTGTACTACCTTTGACTAATAAACTAAGTTAATAAAAATATATGTATTTGAGATACGCCCTACCTAGTAAACAATTTCTTTTAAGTTAAGTAGCGATAAGCTAAAATAATCAAATACAGCATATATTCTCATAAATCGATATAGTGTGCTAATTTCGCCTACCCACAACTTCCTGAAGTTTAGGAAAACCGCAGTCAATTAAAAAGAAAAGCGATAAGTAAGATAAAAATAAATTCTTACCTTGAAAGGGTAATACTGCTGGTTGCTCATGTTTGTGTTAGATCCTTGGGACTAGAAAACGAAACGGAAATCAATCAAACGACACTAAAGTCTAAAATAATTAATGTTAAAGCAGGTACTTGTGTTTCTGCGATCACTTAAAACCAACTGAGCCAAAGACGTGAATAATGCAGATATAATAGGCGAAGCCGCGAATGACATCATCATTTTATATACATATTACCTTGGCTGTTTATGAATAACAATTCTAGAGAACAAGAACAATCACACTGCTATTATTAAAATCTAGTGATAAGTGCATTACTCATTAAGAAGAGACAAAATTAGTCTCGTCTTGGGGGTATTTATAGCTGTTAATAAATCGGTACATACAAGAAATTAACCGGTTCTAAATTTATCGGCAGTTTGGAAATCTAACAGCAAGAAATGAGCTCCGTTAAATGTGGCCGAATACACATATTTACGATATACATACAAAAAATGTTACAAAAAGAAAAATCGATATGAATTGAAACATTGTAGCACAATTACTACCTAATTAATATTCTTTCTCAAAGTGACGAGCCGGGTATGTCGGAAGCGTGCATTAATCAAAGATATTATTACAAGGGTGAATCACGAGAGGAGAAAAACGGTAAAATACTCACCAATTAGGCGGTATGCGAAGAAAATTCGTAGCAAAGGGACGGCTAGTCACACCCACTATGGTTTCCAACAATTCTAACTCGAGTAGCGAGGAGAGGAATAGTGTGGTCGCGGCAGGCGGTGAAACTCTCGTCGGGTATGCGCTGTCGGCGAATACCGGCTCCGTAAAAAAAAAACAATTGAGTGTCGAGGCCGCCGGAGGTTGCGCCTGCCGATCTAGTACACTTTGGGTGATGGAAAATTTTTTCGTGTGCACCTGATCTTTTTTTTTTTTAATAAACATAGGGGAAACTCCATGTTTGTTTACAACTTTTATAATCAGTCAAGTAGATAATGAGACATCTAATTAATTACAATTGTTAAGTACCTCTCTGACCTATATCCTGTAATAAATTAAAAGATGGGGCAGATATTTATATATCGTACTTCCCGTACTTATTTTTGATAACAGATTCTTGTTACAAGACATATATATTAATAGAATCATAGAATCTAATAAATTAATATATGTTTTATATCTTTTTAGATTTAAAGATTTGTTTGCAACTTATATCACATTGAAAATATAAGGAGAAGTTGCAAGGAAATTATAATTTAACAAAGGGAAAGCTTTTCTGTGATTGTATGGATTAAACGTGATTGGTTTACTTTGAACGTGACACGTAGGCAGCCAATTTAATTTGACACACATCATAGGCAACTTTGACACATGTTTGTGTAAATCAAACGGAATTTGTTAATTGTGGGCGTGTCATTGTGTCGCTACGACTCTTAGGTATATAATATCCATTGAACAGTAACATAAATCAGAGACGGCTTGTGAAAATTGAAAATTACTGCAGTTATATTTTTATAATGAAGCTTGCTATATACCATTCGGGTGAACAACGATTAACGAATGGGTCGACATCTGTTATTTTAATTTAGAATTACTTTAATGGGAATCTCCCGGTTTTATATTGATTTTGAATATGAAATATATATAAATGGCCATGGGCGTGGCCATGGGGGGCCACTGCAAGTTTCAAAAATTGCATTTTTCGAAAATTGTCATTAATAGTTGACTTTTGCATGATGTTTATTAAGCGTCAAAATAATAGTTTTTTGTCTAAAGGGTCTATATAGTTTTTTGTTTAACTAGGCAGTACAGTACAAGATTTAATGCCGCGGCTGGTATTTCCAAGCCATTAAATCTACTTTACTGTCAAGTAAAAATTTTTTCGCCGATAAATTTTAATTTTATCACAACAGCAAACAATTTTTTAGGTTAACTTCGCCGTTTATGCGCCACAGGAAAACATTATCTTTCTTGGAATTTTTTTTCCAATATCACCAAATTTTTTGTTTCCAGGTGGTATTTTTTTCTTTCTTCTACCTATTGATTGGACTATAAAGCTATATATGTAATGCATCAGTTTTATATATTTTATAATTTTCGTAGAATTTCTTTATTTTTTTAGTTATTTATATTTTTTCTTATGTTTTTCTTGTTTTATTAGAAATATTTCTTAAAAAAAATTATTCACTGTACCTATTTCTACCTATTATTTATATTTCTCCCATCTTCTCTCTAATCTTGCCCTCCCCTAGCCCATTGGCTATCCATTTTACCACGTTTAGGCCCGGTACTTTGAGTCTCGGTTAAAGCTTGATTAACTGATCAGACGATTAGACTAGACATACACTGATTTATTTTATAAATTATAATTACAGTCTAATCGCCTGATAAGTTAATCAAACCTTAACCAAGACTCAAAGTACCAGGCCTTAGTCACAGAAGATAAAACAATTCTTCTGCGCCTTAGTGTAAAACAGTTTAATAAAAACTGGCTCTCGATACCCTTCCCTTAGGAAAATTCCTGGCTACGCCCATGTAAATGGCGGTTAATTTTAAATATGGAGAGCAATTCAAAAGCATATTATTCTTTTGGTTAACTAATTTCTGTGCCCAGCATTTCTTAAAGTAAACTATATCGTTAATTCTTAACATCACTTTTGTCCCCAATACTGTTGTTAAATTCGATTTGGTTTACTTTTATCCAACAATATGAGGGAATTTTGTGGAGGGAATTTTAAAATGTTTTTTAAAGTGATTATTTTTTCAAATCCCACTTATATCTATCATGTATTAAGAAATTTAAAATAGCAGCAGTATTTTGCCCTAAAACCTCGAAAGTGGCCACAAAAACGTATTTTTTCGTAATTAACAGACGATACTTTGCACTTTTTCTGCATAAATATTTCCAATTAACAAATTGTTAACATAGTTACTTATAATAAACTTCCCACACACCTTATTTTTGTTGCTAATCGTGAAATAATGATTCATATTTTTGTTTACCGTCTGTTAAAACAAAAGTAAATTTAAATTACTATGCGCTTTTTATTATCGGGGAAAAACCTTGTTTTCTAAGGTATTATTGATATTAAAAATCACTATTTTGAGATGTTTATATAAAACAAATCAGAGTATATATAAATTTTAACCCAAAAATTTCCCAGTTAGATTTTAAAAAATTTTCAATTTGTGAAAACGTGTAAATTGTATATTGGTTTCCGTTTTTTAGTAACCACCATTTACCCAATTTTTTGTCAGTATCTTCTACTGCTCGACATTAAATGGAAATAAACATTTAAACAACAACAAAATTTAAAATACGTTTTTAAAAAATTATTTGGAATTTTTTTTGTTTTAATACTTATCAAAAGCTTCAGCGAAATGTGTAAAGACTGTATGAACTTGGTCATTTATAAAGTCTTCATAAATTATTACAAGCCACGTGACCAATAACTTTGTTTGGAACAAATCATTGATATTGGTAACGTAAAGATTTAGGATTTATTTAGTGTAATGTTGGTTGCCTAAGATATTAATTTATTTAGACTGAATTTTTATGTAATCTATTTAATGTTTTTTGCACCAAAATTATAAGAAATGGGAAAAATATTATATTTATTTTTTTTTTACCATTCACTAATTAGTCCAACCAAATTACACTTGGAGAAAAAAAAAATCTTACCTGGACTTTTATAAGTGGAAATGGCAAAGGGGTTTATAATAAACCTAAAAAAAATAAATGCATGAGCAGGGGTGACGGAGGGTTGATTTGATTTGGGGGGTTGAAAAGTTGTGAAAAATTGTATCATTGGGATTTCTGGTGAAAGTTGACGTCAAACAAAAAAGTATCCAATGCAAAAGTTGTATATCAAGCAAAAATCTACAACTTTTGTAGAGATCACTTCAGAATTTCCGCGAAAATTGCGAAAAACAGTTTTTTTTAATTTTCCCTTTTTTTATTTCTTATTTCCCCAAAAATAACTTAATTTTGACAAAACTTGGTAAAATTATACTTTTTTGTGTATGTATAATGACAACTTTTTTTAGATAAAAAATCAAGAAGTTTACGAGATAAGTATTCTTGTTTTCCGGTCTGAAACACTATTTTTTCAAAGAAAAATTCTACTTAGGAAAATCATCATACAGAGTTTTGCCACTGATCATTTTTTTCGTTTTGACATACTATTTGGTGAAATAAAAAAAATCTGAAATCACAGTTCAAAAATGCAAAAAAAAATTAAAAATGACTTGCAACAATGAATTTTTCAGTAATTGTTGATAATTTCTTTAAATTAAAAAAATTGTTTCAGACCAGAAAAAAATGAATATCCCAGAAACCTAGATTTTTTTATCTAAAAAAAAAATTGTGATTATTTAAGAAGATATTTTTGCAGAAATGAGAAATAAAAAACGAAAAAGCAGAAAAAACTTGCTTTTCGCATTTTTCTCAGAAATTTTGAGGTTATCTTAAAAAGTGATCTCTACAAAAGTTGTAGATTTTTGCAGGATGTACAACTTTTGTATTGGATACTTTTTTGTTTGACGTCAACTTTTGCCAGAAATCCCCACGATACAATTTTTCACAATTTCTCAACCCTCCGCCACCCCTGTTCAAGCATTTATTTTTTTTTTCGTTTATTATAAATCCCTTTACCATTTCCACTTATAAAAGTCCAGATAACAATTTTCTTTTTTTTTCCCCTTTAAGTTAGTTATTTCAATCGGTCTAGTCTAAATGTATCCTTCCGATCTACAGGCCAATGCCAACTTCATTAAATTTAAATTTTTTTTTAATTATATATTTCTTTTTTAATTTTTTTTAATTTTAATTTAATTTTATTTTTTATATTTTTCTTTTATTATTATTTACCAAAATATTAATATTGCTGAAAAGGTGACTGAAAGAAAACACTCCGTTGTTCCTCAATGTTTATATTGTCCACGTACTATATGATGCAAGTTTTTTTTTATAATATAAAACCTGAACAATTACAGTAAGTTAACCAACTCTGTTAAAAAAAAATGCCAATACAAATAACTTAATCCTCCAAAAAGAAATACTGCCCCGCCCGTTTCTGTTCCACGTCCTTGACCGATTCCAGTTTGTTGATCCTCGGCCTGAAATTGTTAGGATCTCTCCTGAACGTGATACCTAAAAGCTCCAAAAATCTATTCATTCCGGCCAGGAGCGTCTGCGGACAATGTGCGGTCGTCTTAACCGAGGGCTGACCTTCGAACACGATCACCCGGTCCGCCAGATACGTCGCCATTATAAAATCGTGCTCCACCACGAAACCCGTCTTCTTCGCGTGCAGAATAAACCTGAAACCAAATTAACGCTCTTACCTTTCTACGGTCGACGTCGTCTTAGAATTCATACCTTTTAATAACCTTAGCGGCAACCAAACGTTGCTCGGAATCCAGGTAGGCGCTGGGCTCGTCGATAAGGTAAACGTCCGCGGGTTTTCCCAAGCAGAGGGTCATCGCTACCCTCTGCAACTCTCCTCCTGACAAGTTCTGCACCTCCTGGTCTATTATGTCTTCGATCTTCAGCGGCTTCATCACGTCGGCTATGAACTGGGGGTGAACGTAAGCGTCTCGGATCTTCTCGTGAAGCAACTGGCGCACCAAGCCCTGAGATTTCGGACTAATCTTCTGCGGCTTGTAGCTTATGTGGAGTTGAGGTAGGTCACCTTCAAAAATGCGAAAGTTATATGGGGCCTTCGTGAATGATTACAAACCTGAATACTAATCCGACATTATTATTTTTTTAATAACATAATGGCAAAATATCTCACCGTTTCTTTTTATTACATTTATTTTATTTTTCAGTTTATCAGGTTCCAAGAACGTTTTTGTAAAAATATTTTATGCGGTGTTCTATCCACTTACCCGAGCCACTATCCGCTTCCAAATTCCCTGCCAGCATCCTAATAAAAGTCGTCTTGCCGGTACCATTCTCGCCGAGCAATACCAAAATCTCGGAATCAGAGAATTGACCCTTAACGACGTGTAACTGGAAATTGCCCATAGTCTTAGACATAGCGGGATACTCATAATGGTTCATACGTTTCACTTCCTCTTCCGTAGCCGATTCTGCCACCTTAAATATAAGAGATTCGTCTCGGAACCGCAGATTTTCCGTTGGGACAAAACCGTCCAAAAATATATTGATACCTGAAAGATTCATGTATTTCAAAAGGTCAGTTTGTGTAGTTATTTTCATGAATACCTTCACGAACCGAGAAGGGCATAGTGACAACACCGTACGCACCAGGGACGCCGTATAAGCAACAAATGAAATCGGAAAGGTAATCTAAGACACTCAAGTCGTGTTCCACCACTATTATGAACCTGTAACACAAAATTTAAATATTACGAAACAATTTTTTTATATTATAATTATTTAACGAAGGGACCTTACTTGCTGGGATGCAAGAGCGATCGTATAGTTGTAGCAGCATTAAGGCGTTGCTTCACGTCCAAATAGGAAGACGGCTCATCGAACATAAAAATATCTCCATCCTGAATACACACCATGGCACAGGCGAAGCGTTGCAGTTCCCCACCAGACAACGCTGCGATTTCTCTTTCTTTAATATGTTTTAAATCTGAAATTTAAAGGCTATTTTAAGAGATCCTGCGCAAAGGACTTCGATCGTACCCAGCATTTCACATATGTCATCCTGATTTTTAAGCTCGTCCTTCTTATCAAGGAGTTGCCCCACGGTGCCTTTCACGGCTTTCGGAATTTGATCAACGTATTGCGGTTTGATTAAAGCTTTAAGATCATCTTCCAGAATTTTGGTAAAATAATTTTGTAATTCACTTCCTCTGAAGTGGTTAAGAATTTCTGTCCAATCTGGAGGATCCTAAAAATTACATATAAAAAAAATTCAGCATGACCCACTGATTTTCTCACCGTATATCTTCCTAGATTCGGCTTCTGTTTCCCTGCCAAAATTTTGAGAGCTGTCGATTTTCCTATACCATTGGTCCCAACAAGTCCCAGTACTTCCCCTGGACGTGGAATAGGAAGCCTGTGCAATTTAAATGAGTTCTTGCCATAACGATGAGTAGTTTCCTTTTGCAAATTGCTTGGCAAATTAATAATGTTTATAGCCTCAAAGGGACATTTCTGAAACAATCATAATCAGCTCAAAGCACTATACATAGTTACCAATACATACTTTAACGCAAATACCACATCCAATACACAATTCTTCAGAAATAGCTGCTATCTTACTACTGGCTGTAACTTCGATACACAGCTTGCCCATTCGAACCACGGGACATGATTTTTTACATTCCTGCCTGCACCTTTTAGGTTTACACTTGTCTGCATTTACAATTGCAATACGTGTGAGCCTATCAGACTCCTCCATTCCTTTTCGTTTCGACATGTTTCCTTCAAAATTGAAAACAATATGTTAACTTTCCATCGACATAAATTAACCTCAAATTCACATAGTCTTTAAATTAAATGAGAGCTCATAAACTCAAAGTATTAAAACTTAAACAAATAATTTTTAATAGAAAGTATTTACCTGATTTTTAATTAATTTCAATAAAAGATACCACTAAATCGACACGCACGGTCTCACTGACCGGCCATGAGGAAAGGAACGTGAAGGTAGTTACAAACTGCTGTCAAGTTTTTTTTAGTTCAAACGTCAATATTTGTGGTGTAGGTTTACCATCATAGATCAGTTTATAAGATAGGCTAATGTACAAATGAACTACTCAGTATGAATTTCAGCCACTTTTCAGCTAACAGGGGCGCGATTCTCCACTTTATCCGAAACTTATCGTATACGAAGCAACTCGTACAGTAAAATTCGTATACAAGCAAATGTTGACATTCCTGAACAGCATTCGAATTTATGTTTCGGTGATGTCAACATTTTTCGTACGAAGGTTTGACAACATAGCTAAAATCCAATGTCGCCAGCAAAAAAATGCTAAATAATACCAGTAGAAACAGTTGGTACGCACCTTTTGTGATTTAGTTAACCTCAAGGTTTGAGTGTTTTTGTTTTTCATTCAGAAAATATGCAAGTGTATACAGTTAATACTGGCAAACGCCTTGGAAATATCACCCAAGAACAAAAAACTTTGATGGTTGACTTTTTAAAGTCCCACCCAGAATTACTAAAAGGCAAATTTTCTAAAACATTTACTAAGGCAGACGGCCAAAATCTATGGAATCTGCTTGCAGTGTCATTAAATGCACTACCAGGAGCAAAAAAGGAATATAATTCTTGCAGCAACTAAGTCGGGGTTAATTCTATTAACACCTACAAATTGTTCATCTACGACTGGCTCATTATAATCATAAATTCCCAGATCATCCTCTTCGTTGCCTTCATTTTCTTCTCCAAATTCAATTGGCCTCAGATTATTATCTACACATATGTTGTGAAGAATGCAACAGGCATTAATAATTTTAGAAGATCTTTGAGGAGAGTAATGTAGAGTTCGGTGTTTTAATAGACATCTAAATCGTAGTTTTAANACAGTTAATACTGGCAAACGCCTTGGAAATATCACCCAAGAACAAAAAACTTTGATGGTTGACTTTTTAAAGTCCCACCCAGAATTACTAAAAGGCAAATTTTCTAAAACATTTACTAAGGCAGATGGCCAAAATCTATGGAATCTGCTTGCAGTGTCATTAAATGCACTACCAGGAGCAAAAAAGGAATGGATGCAGTGGAGAAAAGTAAGACATAAATCGTATAGTTTTTTTTGAAAATATGCACTGACTATTTATATATTCACATGCACATTCGACGTGAAAACGGACCTGCATGTAAAACGTATAAATTGGTATTTACAAGAGATATTTAATGAAAATTTGTTGTAGACATGGCATGATTTGCGTGCAAATACTAAAAGTAAGAAATCGTCAGTTGTCAAACACAGAAATGCGACCGGTGGTGGTGAACAAACCAAAGAATCTTTGACTCCATTGGAGGAAGAAATAACTGACATGATCGGTCCTACATTAATTGAAGGACATGCCGATATATTGGAATCTTCAACTGACTTCACATATGGTTCAAATACAGAGGAGGATACACAAATTTTTACAATTCAGTTAGACAATAATGAGTCGCACATAATGTTTCCTAGTAATGAAGTACCGAATAATAGTATGCATAATAAAGAAAACAGTTGTATGGAAACTAAAGTCTTGAAAGTGTTTAACAATGTGAACTGCAGTTATGGAAGTGGAAGTAATAACAATCAAGTTTCTCTAGCAAAAGATTTAGCTTCCGAAATGGCAACAGGTTCAACTCCAGTGTCACATAAGACCTTAAAACGAAAATCTACATCGACACCATTGGATGTTAAACATCGCAGCAGACGAACTCAGAGACTTGATAATACAATATGTGCTACAGAAGAACTCGCTAAACAGAACAAACAACAAATTGACATCAAGGAAGCATACTACACACAGAAACTTAGCATGAAGAAAGCATACTACAAACAGAAGCTGGAATTGTTGCAACAAGATATTGATGTGAAGCAAGAAATAAGTCAATCACTGCAAATCCTTACCGAAAATATTTTATAATTACAACCATAATATGGTTATGTTTTGCACTGAATTGTAATCGTTCGTTTCTTTTGTTATTGTCTATTGTGTCGAGTTGAGTTACCTGATGAGAGTTACGTGATGAATTGCTTATAGTACTTTGTTATGTACTGAATTTCTTACATTCTTTTGAATTATTTATTTTATTATTTTGTTTTTGGTCACTGGATATGTCCAGTAACCAGTATGTTCTTAATAAACAAAAAATAATTTACAACAAATTTATTTTTATTACATAAGCACAAAAAATTTACAAACAACATAAAAAAGTTAATTTACTACATAATTCATATTCAACATTCATACAGCAAAGTGATTTCTTATTACTTGTTGTTGTAACCTTCTTGCAGCAACTAAGTCGGGGTTAATTCTATTAACACCTACAAATTGTTCATCTACGACAGGATCATTATAATCATAAATTCCCAGATCATCCTCTTCGTTGCCTTCATTTTCTTCTCCAAATTCAATTGGCCTCAGATTATTATCTACACATATGTTGTGAAGAATGCAACAGGCATTAATAATTTTAGAAGATCTTTGAGGAGAGTAATGTAGAGTTCGGTGTTTTAATAGACATCTAAATCGTAGTTTTAATACGCCATTACACCGTTCTATAATGGATCTAGTGCTCATCTGCCGTTCATTGTATGCAGCTTCTGGAGTATTTGGTAAAACATTAAGTAGTGGTGTTAACATCCATGGACGAAGTGCGTAACCAGAATCACCTAAACAACAGAAAAAATTATTAGTTTTTTTGTCACTGTAAATTTCACTCAAAAAGATACCTAACAAATAGTACCATCTATGACCATTTCGATACAAATTTTCAACAATAGGTAACACGTTGCTATTATTCCAAATAAAATTATCATGTGAACTGCCAGGGTACCTTGCACATACATTTATAATTTTCAAATTTGGGTCGCATATCTATTTAAAGAAAATCAATACTCGGTTAAACAATAATAGGCATGGTTACTAAATACTAGTTATCTTACCAACTGCACATTTATTGAATGGTATCCCTTGCGGTTTACGTAAATAGCCTCTGGGTATACAGGATCATTTATTTTCGGTGGGTAAATGGCCACATGGGTACAATCAATGCAGCCTATTACCCCTGGAAAATTATTTTGTAAGTAAAATCTAAAAAAAAAAAAGGTTGAATACTTATGTACTTATGTCTTTATATTGATAACACATACTCATTTCGTAATCCATTCAGTTTATTAAAATTCCACGGAAATCTTATAAATCGATTGAATACTTCAGGTCTGTTTAAGGCATCAGTAACTTCTGCAACACAACGACTTACTGAAGACTGGCTTACACCCAAATGTAAGTTTAGACCAATATCAGTCTGATAACTGCCACTAGCAAAGAATCGTAAGGCTGTTAAAATCTGGAAAAAAATGTTTATACATTAATATGACATTGTTCTGTATATACTTACCACGCTAGATATAATCACTTTTCTTGTCACGTTCAAAGATGATATTCTACTTGGTGGTGTAATGAACGGTTCCAAAGTTTCTATCAAATCTTCAGTCATGTTTTTATTAAGTCTAAACAATTTAATAAATTGTCTATCTGTTAAAGAATCAAAAGGATTCACAAAATCATGAAACTGCCTTTGACCTTCTTCAAGTAACTCTGCTTCTTCCAATGCAGCTATAGCAGCCAAATTAATTTGATTACCCAAAGCCATTTTTATCATAAAAGCGAGCTTATTAATTTTTCATTACTTCGTACTTACAAAACGTTACAAATTGAGGTTATAAATACTTTGATTCGTCTACGAAACTAAAAATTCGCCCGCCAAAGGCAGACGATGTTATTTTCGTATGCGAATATTTGTTTACAAGTTCAAGAATCTTATTTTAGCTATTCGAACGAAAATGATCCATTTGTCGTATACGAAAAAACTCGAGAATCGCACTCCAGGTCAAGGTTTCTAAAGAGGCTTTGAATAGAAACAGTAATATTTTGTAAGGTCTATGGTAGCGATTAACAACGAGCCTCATCCACATTCCACTATTATGCTACTGCTCAAGTGAATTTGATTTTTCAGATATTCTATGACTGCAATGGCATATAATTTTGGCAATGGAGATTTTGTGTTAACATTAAAACTAGTGATGGGAGATTTCGAGTGAAAAATCGAGTGGTACTCGATTATTGAGATCACTCGAGATATCTCGAGATGTTTACTCCCACCACTCGAGTGATTATTAGCCTACGGTTGCTCCCCAAAATGTTAGTGCATACTGCAAATAGTCACTGATTGCGTAACCTTTTTTTTTAGAATAAAACGAAAAAGTGGTTAGGTTTTGAAGTGCATGAGCTTTTTTTTTTAGCTACGCTTATAAGTAATATATGACTAATACAAACATATTTGTGCGCCGCTGGGATGAAAACGACCAATATCTCGTATCTCGAGTGATCACTCGATTATTAGAAGTTCTCGATTACCGATAACTCGATTATAAAAATTAGTCGATTATGCCCATCACTAATTAAAACAACGTTGGCTGGAAATTCGGTAAGTTATGGTTCTATGAGAATAGGAAGTATGGCCATGTTCGGAATTTACGGCAACAGCTTACTTGGTAAAAATCTAGAATTTTACGAGTTTATAATTGATGCGATGTGGCCACAAACTAATTTCAAAAGCTCAAGATCTTCCTCGCGATATTTGGCTCAAAATATTACAAATAAACGCTGTTAATTACTTATTTCCGTTTTGATTTTAGAGATCATGGGAACGCGCTCTTATTTTTTGGGACTATATAAATTTTTCATCAGTTACTAACTAGCTAAAAAAATAATTCCCTATATATTCTAACCTAACTGTCATCGGCATCGCCTGTATTTCCATTTTTGGTGTTTCCAATTAGAAAAATCATATTTTCAAGATGTCTAAAGTAGATATGGAATTAAAAAAGGTTTGTCGGTTGAATTTCATAGGCAAAATTTTATTTTATCTATGCGTTTTATTAGGCTTTTACGGAATTGCAAGAAAAACAATTAGAAACAACACAGAAGTTACGGTTAGCCGACATGCAAATTGAAAATTTGAAGAGAAGTAAGCAACATGCTACTATCACAGAGAGGTAGAATGACAGAGGATTTTTTTTATCGTAGCAATAATTTTAATTTTTTTAGAGAAATTAATGCACTGGATGAAGGTACAAAAACTTATGAATCCGTAGGCCGTATGTTTCTGCTAACTCCTGTGGAGAACGTTAAAGAGAACTTGAAGGCCAAACAGAACACTGCAGAAGAAAAAATCAAAGTACTAGAGAACAGTAAGACGTACCTTGAAAATTCTTTAAAGGAGGCCGCTGATAGTTTAAGAGAATTGGTTCAAACCAAGAAGGAATCTTAAAACACTTTTGATTGTTTTTTATATTTATTTATTCAAGTATCATATAAACTTTTGTATTAACAGTTTTGTCGATATTAGCTATCTTTAAATAAACTATCCTGAAATTCAAACTGTTTCTTGAAGGCATGATTCGAAGAGAAGTGGTTCCGGCTTTGGACGCTCCTCTACATTAAGAGGCTTATGCAGTAACTTGAATATACCTGTTCCTATAGGAGCCGCCATACCCATAATAATATTCTCCGAAACGCCGCTAATCTTGTCCGTCTGGCCGTAATACGCAGCGTCGAATAGGTGATCCGCAGTTTTCTCAAACTAATAAAATGTTAATATATAACTTTAAAAATTTGAGGTAGATATCCTTACCGAGGCCAAATTTAGCACGGACTGCTTCATCTTGGAGAGTCCCTGCCGCGTGATGCCTAGAACTTCGCCTGTGTGCGTCATCTGCGCTGCTAGTAACATGATATGCCGGTAATCCACACTCATGCCGTGATTTTCCATGACCATTTTGATTTCTGACATAATCGTTTCCCTTGAAAAATAAATAGCATAGTTATGGCAATCAAACAAAAAAAATGTGATCTAATAATATTTCGTACCTAGCAGCTTCGATTCCTAAAGTATGGTACACCTCTATGATATTATTTGAAACAGTTTTTCTCCCGTCGATTCCGTACGTAGCCATAACTTCCCTTAAATTGTCTCCTTCGACGCAAAGGCTGTATATAGCTTTCCCGCCTTTGTCCTCTCTAGCTATCACAGCCCTGTTTACGGTCGGTAACCCCTGAAATAACGAAACGTTAACAAATATAGAGATTCACTTTTAACTCGTATACCTTCACAACGACGTTCGGGATTTGGTCCTTTAGTTCGCTCAGGGCAAAATTCAGCCTCCTCGAGTGTTTGCTTCTATTCGGATGGACGGTTATGATCGTGTCGCTTTCCACTCTGACATCGCCAGGTTTTAACTTAAGCCTTGAGGTGCAGATACTGGAAAAGAGTACAAATTTTCTCCAAACGTGTTTTTAATACCGATTACCAAGTTTTACCTGTAGCGTATGGTTTCCGCGTTGACTTCAAGTTTAAGTAACTTGATCCTCTCAAAGTTTAGCTGGATGAGGAGGAAAGCTTCGTTTTTGGTGTACACGTCGTCGATAAAAGTGGAAATCTGAAACGAAATTAACATTAAGAGATAGTGTCATGGATATAATTCTAACATAATATTTATTATAAGTAGGTCGAAATCTAAGTTGTTTATAATTTGTAATCGAGTACAGAAGTATTATAAGCTAGTTTGAAATTCAGTGTGTTATTTTGGCGAAGTGTAAACTACTTTTTCTTTCAGTGTTAAACATGTCGATTTCGTTTTAATTGTTAGTGTTGCGAGAAACAATTACTCCGAGGGCTATATGCTCCTACCGGAATTGAATTATACTCGCAACACCTAGTGCAACAGCTAGGGTCGTTCGTCAGTTTAACTCACCAGGCACAGACTGGTTTCAGACTTATTAGTCCTCATCAGTGTGTCATAGGTGAGACAACCGACGATCGAACCAGCTGTTTTGCGTTGTATCGTCACGACAAGGAAATACATTATACGCGGGAGCGCAAATGGCTCCATCTGTCGTGCTATATTGCAGGTACTTGTTGCACGACTGCCACCCAATGCCGGTAGGGGCATATAGCCCTCGGAGTAGTTGTTTCTCGCAACACTGACAATTAAAACATTGTCTTCGCCCTTTATGGGTGTAAAAAAGTATTTGTGGGGAATTTTATTGCACTACTTTATTCAAAATAAATCTGCAGCTGAAGCAAACGAAATTTTTGTTGAGGAAAAGTAGTGGCTGGCGATGGACGATACTTTCAGTATGTTATTTATTAATTTTTTTAAATAAAGCATTAATTTTCACACAAAAACAGCGACAACTCATTCAATATCGCGATAATTACGACCTTTCCATTACTATTTAATATTTATCCGAAACATAAATATGACATTTCTGATGACTTTTAACCTACCTCCCCTAAAGTCGTTCTCTCAATCCTCCCCTTCACTTGTCGAGCAAACCACGGATCTTCTGAATTCGTCAAACTTGCCCTAATGATGGGTGTACTGATCGACTTGCTGGCATTGATGATTTCTTTGATCCTGAAATAAGAGAAAAAACAGTGACCCATGTATTTTTTACAAAGACTGAGACCAAAACTATATTTTCGTAATACAACGAGTAATAAATTGTTTTTAATTAAACTTCTAAATCGTACGCTAGTCGATATTCACCTGGGCACTCCCTGCGTGATGTTCATACTCGCGACTCCGGCAAAATGGAAAGTTTTCAAGGTCATCTGCGTGCCGGGCTCTCCGATACTCTGAGCCGCTAGCGCTCCAACTGCCGTACCCGGCTCGATGATGGATCTCGTATACTTCTGGCCGCACGTTTCGAGGAAAGTCACCAGCTGGCTGCAAGTGAGACGTTCTATTTCCTTCACCACGCTGCTGCTTCCGAACCTGTTCAGGACCCTCTCCACCCTGTCCGCTAAGGAATACATGTAGTCCCTAACGATAAAATATTGTATTGATAAAACGAGAAACAGACGGTCGGGTTTTGTTCGACTTACTTTATCTCTTTTTTGAAAGCTTCGCTACATTCGTCGAGAGCGTTCGTTGCTAGGAAGGCCTGCGTCGCCCTCCTGATTTGGTCTCCGTCCAAGGAAATTTCTCCCCGATACGGACATTTAGCGCGTACGTGCTCCAGGACCCTGTCGAAATCTACCGGACAGTCTTTACCTGCAAATTAAACATATCCAGCGCTAGTACAATATAAGGCAGACGTCTACGCAAAATTTCAACTGAATATTAAAAAAACTTAAAAATACCTTCCATGTAAGTCGGGTCCAAACTGTCGCATCCATAATTAATTTGGACTATATCGCCTTCCGCGTTTCTCACTGACCCGTCGTAATGAACCACCAAGTCCTCCAGCGACTGAAATAAAAAGAGATGATTGTCTATTTTGTTAACCGGCACGAGTAAAATACTCTGATACATTTCGAGGAAGGTTACCTTTACTAATCTCCTCTGCATGTACCCGGTCTCAGCGGTTTTCACCGCCGTGTCTACCAAGCCCTCTCTGCCTCCCATAGTGTGGAAAAAGAATTCCGTTGGGGTTAGCCCGGTGTAGAAACTGTTTTCTACGAAACCTTTCGCTTCTGGCGTCTTTGCTGTAAAAACGAACACATGAATACTTTTATACGTTCAGTGGAAGTCGTTTAGTTTACAGTGGTGTTTGAAGTGGGGCAAAGATCTATCGTCGAACCCATCCGGTACTCTTTTACCATTCAAGGCCTGCTGTCCTACGCACGCTATCATCTGGGAGATGTTGATGAAGGAACCTGCAATATTTTGGTAAAATCGTAAATATACAAAGCCAATAAAGTCTACGAGGTAAAGAAATACCTTTTGAGCCAGATAGGGCCATGATCAGAGGGCTGTTGGTAGGGTGCAGTTCCGCGACGCAGGCTTGACCGGCGTGCTCCCTGATAACGGATAATTCCTTCAAAATGACAGCCTCCAGAGACTCCTCAACTGTGCAACCGGGCTGAGTCTGTAATTTACCCTCCGCCATCTGCTTGATGTATTCCTGACACTTAGCGTACCTGAAAAAATAGATATCCGGCATAACGGTGAAAGAATTAAAGCGTGAACATAAATACCCTTCGGATAATAATTTGTTTTTTCTTCGTATAAGATTTTCGCCAGGTGTTACGTCCCCGATTCCAATGGAAAAACCGGTGTTCATCAAATAATTCGAGGTTAACCTTGCTAAAAAGAATATTTTAATTATGGGTGTCACGAATTGTATTTGCCAAACCAAACTTTATCTGGTTGGCAAATCTTAATTTAAATTAGAACCGCAACTGATCACATTGCTTACCCAGCCTCCACATAGATTTAATAGCGAACTCCTGTCCGAAATCCCTCAATATCACATAAAATATGTTGCCGCCCTTTCCGCCGCTTCCCAAATGGCCCTTGTCGAGCGTACCGGCCAACAATTCGGAATTCCTGATCAAGACATAGGAATCTTTGACGCACAACTCTCTGTTTTTCGTGTAAGCTTTGCCTTTCGCCTCTAAATTTGCCTTAACAGGACATTTGCTGTTGGGACGGAAAATCAGGCTGCATATTTGCTTACCCGACCATAAACGTTTGGGCTGCAACGAATAATTTTAATCAGAAGTCTTGATTTACATTCAAACTGTATAAGTCACCTTTATTATGCATGGGGGAGGTAAATCTATATTCATATGGGCATCGTTACCTGCCAGAAGCGTAGCGGCGAGTTGAGACGCATGTGTGAAATCCATAAACGTGTCTTTCTTAGACAACAGGTATCCACCCGTCAAGAAATCTTGAGTCGCGGCTATCAGCAGTTCGCCGTTTCTAGGAGTCACTAAGTTGCTTTTGTTCTGAAAGGATACAGATTGAAATATACAAAGTTAAACGCACAAATTAAAAAATATTACCCCCATCAGTATCAAGGCTTCCGCCTTGGCTTCCTCCGTTTGCGGTAGATGTAGATTCATCTCGTCTCCGTCGAAATCGGCGTTGTACGGATTACAGACACACTCGTTGAATCGGAATGTTCTGTGCTGGTGGATTTTCGCTCTGTGCGCCATAATGGACAACTTGTGAAGGCTAGGCTGTCGATTAAACAGAACTACATCGTTGTCGTGTAAGTGTCTCTCAACGATATCGCCCAACTAAAAAACATTTATTCCTTTCTATTGTGTTGTCGATGTACGGCTAAAAATATAAATTTACCTTCAGTTCCTGGGCCAGCTTTTCACGATTCCCATATTTGAGGAATTTTTTAAATGCGGAACCTTTCTGCTGAACATAATTCGCCCCGGGCCAATTCTCGGGTCCGTTAATGATGAGTTTCTTCATGATCTGAATATTTGCCTGGATAACTCTCTCTGGAAAAGTTAAAATCTTGGCGATGTGCATAGGTACCCCAACTTGGTCGATTTCTAAGTTTGGGTCTGGAGATATCACTGTACGAGACGAGAAATCGACACGTTTTCCAGACAAGTTTCCTCGGAACCTTCCCTGTTTTCCTTTTAAACGCTGTACCAGACCCCGTCCGGGTTTCTTAGGCTACAAAATTTATTCCTTTAAAAATGTACCGATAAAATTAAGGTACGTCTTTTTTACCATCATGGCGAGAGGGACTCCAGACAGTTCACTATTAATATAAAGTGCAGTTTGTAACTGGAGGAAATCCCAGCCCTCTTGGTACATGTTAACAGATGCCCCGGACTGCTTATGCTTTTTTATGACGTCATTTATAAAAATGATTTCCGACTGCTTCATTGTTAAGTCATCTTCATTGCTGAAATGGTTTATGTTTGGATAAGTGGTAATAAAACGTAAAACATGTCAACGTGTACAAGGCATTTGATCAAATTTTAATTCTATGTCGTATATTAACACAGAAAGTTTCAATAAACATCAACTCACGTTCCAGCTTTTAGATCGGACACCACAGATGGCCTTACTGATACAGGCGGTACCAGCATCCTGGTAAAAATTAAATCCTTGGGCTGTGACCTGCAAGAAGTTGCCTCATACAGATAAAATCGTTTCATATTAATATACAAATTATATCTTACCTTTTTGGATCCATGGCGAGAAGGGGTATATCGTTCTCTGGAATTCTCTCAAACAACTTCAACACATCAATAGGAGTCAGAATCTGAGACACTGTATTACCCGATAAGGCCGACTGTATGTCTGGGTTGCTTTCAATAGCCTCATTAAACTCATGTTTTTGCTCCTCCAGCAAAGCTTCTTTATCTTTCCCTCTGTTTTTTTCATGGACTATTTTTAAAACAGAATTTCCACCACCTCCCTTTGCCGACGTCATTTTCTTTACAAAACCGTTGACTTCTTTACAATAAGGGCATTTAGTGAGTTTCTTGCACTTATCGACAATTTTCTTTCTAATCGCCTTCTTCGTCATGTAGCTCAGATTGGGATTTGATAAACGGATTCTAAAGAGATGTTTGTCTTCTTCTTCTAGTAAAACATGACCACATTTCTTACAGATGGTTTGGAGGATGCTTATTATACTTCTAAAATAACCAACATGGAAGACCGGCAGTTCTAAGTCGATGTAGCCAAAGTGTCCAACACATTCGTTAATGTTTTTGCCGCAAGTTTGACAAGGAGATTCTTTTGAATTTGTTCCCTAAATATGCAAAATATTATAAAACTAAATAAAATATTAAGGAAACCTTACCAATCTTTTGTCTAGAACTCCATACGGTATTGGAGTTCTCTGAATGTCCTGATTATATAAATTTTTTGCAACAACATGAATGTGCGATTGCTGTTGCATGCTCTCGGCGCTTTCTATTCCAAAACTGACATGGGAGCTATAAATAAAAAAATATAAGATTTTAATTCAAAACACGATGTGATAATACCTACATTTTTCTCGCCACATCAGCCTCTCGATACTGTTCCTTAGGCATATTGCACAAGATAATGCAAACCACTATTTACTTAATATTAACATATATATTGTCCTTAAATATGAAACCTAAAATTTTAAATTACAATTTAAATTAATTCTGGAAAATGTTATTTTTTCATTTACTATCAGAATCCTTGATTCACCACAACACAACTAACCTAAGAACTAAAGTGAAAGTGAGGTTAGGTATGCTTCTTCTTCTACTTTCAAATGTCATACTTTCTACCTATTCATTAAATTGTACTGTATTCTTTTCGCCTACTGCCTAAGGAGCTTTCTATTTGGTTGAACCGGTGAATTTTAGAATGTTATTTGATTTATAACGGTCAGAATTAGGTTTGTTAGTTTATCCACTATATTATCGCACTAAAAACCAATTAAAGAGATTGTAGTCCTTCTACGTTGGCCATAGGCTGACGTCCAGATTTTTTGTAGGTTTGCGACTTAAGTCCTAGAATTTTTTCTAAAATAATTAAGGTCAGTGGTTAGCTGGCTAAATACCCGCCTGGGTGAAGGTCAAAAGAAGAAGAAGAGTACGTATGTTATGATTTTTGTTTTTGTTCTTGTACATGGTATGTGATGATATTTGAGATAGAGATTGAAATATTGATTTCGCTCGACAGAAAGGATAAAACTGAAAAAGTTTTTAGGTAACCATTAATCGTTAATATAAAAACAGATGTGGTTTCTGTTAAAATAGCTCCACAAACTAATTATTGAAAATGGTTATGGAATCGAAAACAACTAGCAAAACAAGCTGTCTAAAAGCCCTATTGCTTCGTGCTTGGAGAGAAAGATGGACTGATTTACAATGGGGCATAAACATTAAAACAGTATTACCCCGAGGCGTAAGTGGGGACGTGTATAATTTAGCCGATTGCATCCTGCAACAGGCAGTAGTGGGTGCCGGTGCAAACCAATTAGTCTTAAGTTACTTGCGACATTCTTTAAGTGCTCAGCTAGTATCTCACGCCGCTGTATTACAAAGACTCAGCAAATACAGTCAACTGAGCAAGGTACACTGTGTTTTTAGTTTATTAGAATTTTTAGAAGGAATGTTGCCTGGAGTTACGTGTTGTGGAAAGCCAGAAGAAACGGTACTTGCCACGGCAGTGTTATCGGTTGCTTTGTGGCTACTAAACATATTACAGCAGTGTCAGTCCACTCCTTCGTTGATTCAAAAAGCTATCGAGTTGTTACGAGTGTTACTTACCGATGACTTTTATGTATCGATGATGTGCTTAGCACGCTATAATGATACAGGTAATGTAAATATAAATATTTATGTTTGCATGTCCTGAGGATGCCTTTTTTAGATCTATTTAATGAAACTAGTAGAAAATGCATGGAAATCGAAGCTACTCTAACAGAAACTGAAGAATTACACAAATATGTTCGAAAACTCGGCAGTATAGGCATAAACATGCTATGTTTGCCGGTGAACAGTGAAAAATGGCCAGGTTCTCTGATCCAGTGTTGGCTGGAAGTGAAACTTATAGGAAATCCTGGAAGTTCCACATCAGTCCTCGCAGAACAACTTCAAGTATTTCAAAGACTGAAGGGGTTCAGCGACGCTAGACTTTACGCAGAATTGATGCGTGGCAGTCTCTTAGCTCTATATAACGTCAGCCAAACCTCTCACGAGAGTCAGTGGGGCGCTTTTGCCTTCCTAAAGGTGCCACATATTCTACTAGAATTAGCTGGAAAGTCTGATAACATGAGCGTGGTGAATGCTGTAGAGCTGATGCTGCAACATAGTCCCCTATTGGACGCTATGGATGCTAATAGTTCCTGCTCCAGTCTGAAGTGTCTATTGGACGAACTTGCTAAGATAAGGCTTTTAAACGAGCTGCAGGTCAAGCATTTGCTTGAGAAAAGGAAAGCTCCACCTCCTGTGAAGTTAGATACCGCTCCCGCCTCGACTGGGATACCCAAGGCTATTATTTTTGCCGAATCCACCATAGCCGGTATCTTGAAGACACTTTCTACTGATTACCACAAAATCCAGGTAAATTGAACATATAGAATAGGAATGGTATAAAATTCTGAGGTATTTTTAATTAAAAATATAAATGTATTGCTTTTATAGGACGCTTTACTTGGCATGTTACACCAAGTTCTGACGGGTAAAAGCTTCGAGTTGATTCTAGCCGTCGCCACGGTCCAGGGGCAACTTCGCACCCTGGTCAGCAGGCTTATACGCTTCAACGAATGTTCCAAATCCGGTGGAGACAAGGCCAGGTCTCAACTCTTCGACATTACGTTTCTCATGCTCGTAGCTATAGTTCAAAATTACGGGGCCTCTGCAGTTTTGGATCCCGACGGCGATACTTTATTTGAACAGTGGGTGCGCTCCTGCATGGTGGAGAGACAGAGACCCAAAGCCCCGGAACAGTTACTGCGACTCGGAGATCCAGCTATTATAGAGTCCCTCTTGCAACAATTCAATGCGGGCGAGGCGGATTTCAAACCAGGAGTGAAATGGCAGGACGTTCTCTTCAACATTGCCGGCGTAATGCACGAGGTCTTGGTAGCCTGGGAACACGGGGCTTTAGTCGCGTCGGACGTGAAACGGATCTTAGACGCGGTCAGAGGGAAAATGTGTTGCCTTCCCCTTGCCGCTGCGGCGTGGCTGTGCGCCTACATGCGGACGGCCCCGCAAGACACTCTACTGAAGCCTATCAATATGGTCCAACAGCTGCTGGCCACTTCGGTGACGGAAGACGACAGTTTGAGGGACAGATGGCAGCTGACTTGCGAGATTATAAGGAAAATGCAACGGGACGTTCAATTACCTTTGCCGACGAAAAGCACACATCATTTGGTGTCCCGGCAACCGGCTACGGAGCAGCTGCACTCGGCTTGGAGCAAGGGAATACTTCGCGGGTGGTTAGATCACACATCGGCGAGAACTCTGCATTGTCTCTTGGATACGGCCGGGCCTAGATGGCTAGTTTCCGCCGTTATACAGGAACTCTTGAAACTGAAGTACAAGGATCAGTTGCAGAGGGGCGTGGACCTGGCGCTGGCTATTTTCCATGTTGATATTAGGGGGTGCACTTTGCAGCTGCTGTCCCACGTTTTGCCCCAGTTACTTTATAATGATCTGCAGGCTGATTCACTGATGGAACCGCAGCTGCCTGCTTTGGCAAATCTTACCAGTTACTGCGTTTACACCGCGTGGGATGCGCTTCCGGAGGTTAGTGCTAACAGTTTTTTATGTTCTTGTAGGTTGTTTGATAAAATATTTATATTTTTTACTGATTTCCTACAAATCCAATTATAAATACACTGGAATAACTAGAGTGTTGCACGCATGCGACAAGAAAGGGAATGCCTAAACTGGAAACTGAAGTGTCGAGAAATGCAACTATGTGGTATACATAAGCATTTGATTTTACTTTCAGGATGCCGATGCCGAACCTGTGGCTAAGGTTCCTCGTCTTTGCGATTCGATGGAGGAGATGAAACCGCTAGAAAAGCTGATTTCCTCGTTGCGCCAGCTCCTGAACATGTTCGAAGGGGGTATACAGGAGGGTTCTATCACTCAGCAAACATATTTCGCTTTCTATCTTGTCAAGTCTCTCGTCGAAGTGAAAATTAACTCTGCCAACATGGTACTAGCAGCGATACCACCCGCTCTCATATCGGATTTACTGAAAACCCTGCCGGAATTGTTCAGTTACCCCCTTCTGTTGCACCTGCACGATGTGTATACCACTTCCGGAAGGATCAACATGGCGAAAGATTTGTGCGTTTTGAGGAATTATCGCCTCAAGAACGCGCCTAGTATTGATAATAATAATTCAGTTTAGTGGATTATATAGTTTGTAGGATTTTATTTATTAAAATGTTAACAAATATCTTTAAATATTTTTGGATTTACTTCAGTGGTAAAAATCACTCTGTATACTACGACTTAATTTTTTTTGTTGATTGTATTAATAAATAAATGATAAAAATAATTTTTTTTTTAATAAACATTTCTGTAACCTTGAAATTATGGCTAGAGTTTGACATTTATGTGTACAGCCAGTTTTGTTTTCTCAAATTCCATCGTCGAAAATTGATTTCTTTTCAACCTTTTTTCATTTTTTTTTTTTTTCATATCCTACTGGACCATTGAGAATGACGGTATTCATTGTTGTTAAATCTCATTTTTCTGGTTGATATACGTGTTTTTTTGAAAATATACAGTAATATAAGGAACAAACATACATACATATTACTATTATATTATATTACATCTCACGCTGAAAATAAAAATTAGGTCAAATAAAAATACCCAATTCGGCAGCTGTAAGAACCAATATCTTTTAAGCATCACAGAGGAAATCAGTAAAAAAAATTTTCATGGACGATCGATATTCTCAAATATTTTTGAGACTCGGAAAAATCTGAAAATATTCAGCTGAACTGTAACGGTTCTGACCAATCTGAAACTGTTTAATTCCACTCTGCTCCTCCAGTTTTTGGAGATTTTCGATTTTATCCTTGAGAAATTTGTAATTTGTAGTTCAAACTAAGTCCACTTTATAGCAAATCTGTGTTAGAATGGGGAAAAATCTGTTATTTGTGCATTAATTCATATTTAAACGAAATCTATAAAATGTATTACTGGTTGTCTATTGTCAACGGATGCAGAAATTAGGCAACCAAACTTACAATATGACAAAAAAGCGGATTATTTTAATTTAATCAACCACCTCCGCATCGTCTCAGATTGGCGATATCAATAAAGCAACCGCTCAGCAGTTGTTGGTTATGGAGTTGCTTCTGCTCCTTTGTACGACCCCTGCGGTCCTCATCACTGCCCAGGCCCGAATCCATTCCGTTTTTCACATTCTTCCTATTCATCAATCTTACTTTACCGCTTACATTTGTGACCTACTAATTATTTCCATTCGGTCGTTGAAATGTAGGAAAATACCGTTCTGTAAGCACTCTCACTTCATAATGAATCAACTCTACAATCTGTCGCAACTTAATTATTTCGGTTAATTAAATAAATTCCATCCAAAACCATTTAAAACACGTAAGATAATAGTTTATATTGAGAAGTATCTAACATTTTGTATGTACATAGAAATACATCATTCCAGTTTCCAAATAATTTTTCGATCAGTGAAGTTGTTAGTGGAAGTGGAACGCTCACCTGTGTAGATTGACCAATCAAGTTGAAGTAAATTGTTCCAAATTTTCGTGTCGCCATCTATCGCCCATAAATGACACTGAACGGCTGAAGAATTTACAGTAGATAGCAAACTGTAACAGCTTACTTCACTGCTGAATTAATTGATCTTCTAATGTATAGATGGCGCGGCCAATTTTTCCAGTAAATTAAACCGTTGAGTGAGAAATACCATTTCTCACTTTTCTTTTTAATAGGTAACTTGCAGAAAAAACAAATATCTCAGCGTGCTCAACGGCCCCTGGTGTATACGGAACCGCCTCTAGAAATAATCTTTTGAAAATTTTCATGGACTATCTCCATTGATTTTCTCAAAAAGTTTTAGGACTCTGAAAAAAATCCGGTAGAAAATAATGATCCTGACCAATCCAAAACTGCATTCAATTCTTCTCTAACGCCACCAGTTTTGGAGATTTTCTATAATTTTTCTCGACGGAAGTGTTAGGCAACCAAACATACAATGGTGACAATAATCCGTATAACTTTACAAATATTGATGATTGCAAATGTTAGGCAACCAAACTTACAATATGACAATCGTAAACTACTGTATTATTATTTTATTCCAAGAAAAAAGTTAAGACAAAACCGCTCTTAGATGAGCACATTAATTTTTTGAAACTTTTCATGGTCCGTCAATTTTTTTAAAAATTTTTAAGTTTCAGAAAAATATGAAAAAATTTCGGAGAATTACTAACCAATCCAAAACTGCATTCTAGCTCATTCATTTTTTGGAAACTTGATTTATCAAAAAATAAAAAATTGGTCAGAATCTAATATCGCCTATTTTATGATTCAAATTTCGTGCCACAAATTTTCTAAGTTTTAATTATTACAAGATTCAGCTTTCAATGCGAATATTTTGTATTGTTTTACTTTTCTGCACCTCAGTGTATAACAGAATCTCTAAGTAATTCCACCCATCTTCTTTCCGCAGGATCTCTTATATAGAAGAGGTGTACCGCAACAGGAACCAGTTTGCGGTGCTCGTATCAGTGGTGGCTTGATGTGTTCCGCATGGGCATCGAAATTTTCTCGTTCACCACCAAGGACGTCTATGACGAGATGCAGTAGACTGAGTGAAGAGGGACTCTGATGCCGGGGTGGCAGAGGCCAACAGGGACGCCAGGATCTGGGAAGAAGCGGAAAAATCCTTGGACATCAAATATGTGACCGCTACGAAAATCGAGAACAACTCCAGGATGTTCAAGCTACAATAAGCTAATTTCAATCAAGAAACCAACACTGCCGTAAGTTTACTGTCACTAATTTCAACTATAACGTTTTTTTAATTACACTATAATCTTTTTTTGTTTTCGTCTTGACTCAGGGGCACAGTGGTGAATAATTATCAATTTCTTAATTTTTTTTAATATTAATATTCCGCAATCTCCCTAACAAAGGTGTAATTTGAACTGAGCAGCAACCTATAGTGATAATTTTTGACATACATATATATTTTGGAGAAATGTAAAATATTTATTTTATTAATATCTAATATTATGTAATTTCTTGCATTTCAACGGATTTTTCTCAAAATTTTTCAATTTGCCTTGGTTAATTATTTGTTTTCTCGTTCTACAAGCCGCAACTAGCAATACACCAGCTACGATTTCTGTGAATTACTTAAATTGTTTTCAATTCGATACGAAACTACTTATATATTCAATGTAGTAAATCCAACAGCATCAGAAGCCGTTTTTTTTTTTCACAAAGCACAAACACAGACAACATTTTTGTCACAAATTACTTGTCTTAAAAAACTGAAATGAGCATAGCTCTTTGTATTTTGAAAATTTTAAAAATCACTCCTACTTAGGGGTTGAAAAAATGCCAAAAATTAAGAATTTGAATATTACCAATTGATATAAAAACTATTAGCATGTGGATTATTATCTTATAATGCTAATAGTTTTTATATTTATTGGTAATATTCAGTTCTTCATTTTGGGTGTCTTTTCAACCCCTAAATAGGGGTGATTTTTGAAAATTTTCAAAAATCTATGCTCATCTTAATTTTTTACGATGAGTAATTTGAGACCAAAAACATATTTTTATCTATTTTCTTTAGTTCTCTGCGAATTGTGAAAAAACGGGCGATTTTTGTAGTCACTCTTTTCTCAGCCAAAATACTATACAAATATTATTTACTAAACTAGGCGTTACATATATAAATTAATACTGCACCTCTCGAAAGTGTTAACTATTTCGAAACGGTTATTTTCTTGTATTAAAGGAGAATGGAAATAATTATTGTCATTTTCTGTGGATCTGTTATTTTTAGTGTAGAAAATGGTTCAAATTTTTATTATTATATCATACCTACATCATAAATGATTTAGTTTAAGGGGGGAAACCACGTTAGGAGGTTCAAAAAAATTTATTGCATTAATTGCGAACACCCATCGGTCACGCTCAGCTGCACAGCAACTACATCGGAGCTTTTGTTCAGGTAATCTAGTCACTTATTGAGCAAGAAAAGAACAGATGCAAACTTTACAAGAATGATGTGCCCGTCGCGGCCTATGAGGTCCTCCGCGGTCCTCATACGCTTATCATAATGTTGGTAGTGACCGTTCAAAGTAAATTTTTTAAGTTAGGGCAAAAAATATTTCCTACCTTTGCCTTTTTCTTGGTGTGCTTAACGCAGTGCGGTCCTGGTTTGCAGAGAGGCCCGTGGGAGAAACCCTTCAATGGCGGCCTGTGGATATTCCTCAAGGGCGCCAAGTCCATGTGGGTCTGTACGAATCGCATCCTAATTTCTACAACCGTGTGGAATGGTGGACGAGTTGGTGCGGCCCACTATAAACCTCAGAGTCGTTTCGGAGGTGCAGAAATACCTACGAAAAGAAAATTTTTCAATTATTTTTTATCCTATTTTTATCAAACTTTCAACTTGAACTCAGAATTTCAAATTCAAATCCAAAATTCGCAATTTCAAGAGCAAATTCAATCTTTGATTAAGAAATTTCGAGTTCAATTTTTTTAGTTAAAATTTCCAATCAATGCCCTAAATTTCGAGTGTGAACATAAAATGTAAGAAAAAAATTAGATACAATACAAAATTTAAAATTTAGAAATAAATACTAATGCTATAACGAAATATATATAAAAAAAATCTTCTGTGTACTACAGCATAGTGCAAAAAAAATGTATGCCATTTTGTACTTACATATACGTTTGAAATGTTGAACGGATCCCGATCTGGAGATTTCGGAGGGGGAGGCATAATGTCTTCTTGTAGAACGCTGCTTTATCCAACAATATCTTGGATTTCTTCACAGTTAAGGTGCAGAATTTTCACCTTCACAGGTGTGGCTTGTCCTATAAAATAAATTATAAGTAATTTATTTTCTGTACAAGTATACACTTTCGCTTACAGTTGCGCCTTCGACTTCATGCCGGGCAAGGGGCCGTTCACTACCAGCGGCATCCGTACCATTCCCCCTACTTTTTTGGGTTGACTGAAGACCTGCGCTGTTCGATTGCCATTGCTCCGCATCAAGTTGACTGTGTTTATTTTGGAGTTTAATTTCTGCAACACCTGGGTTAGAGAAACAACAAAGCTGCAGTTTAAGTTGCATTTTAAGCACCATATCATCACCTTTGACAAATTTTGATTTTGCAATGAACCGACATATTTATAGTGAAAAATTCAGATGGTACTTTTTTCGATATAGAAGAGCTTTTCTGACGCAAGAGAAAAAACAACAAAAACAACATTTACCATTGAGACACAGTAAATCAATCACGATTAGTATCGTTTATCTAGGATCACGATTGCATCGAAATCCACACATCGTATCAATAAGATATTTACCTTGTTGTTTGACGTCTTTTCCGTCCTGACGACGTTGTCCTCCCAGTGCGTGCCAGGAGTCCTCTGGTACATCTTTGTCTTCTGTGGTATCATCGAGATTATTGTTTTCTTTATTCTCTTCTGCTGGCCTCTGGCAACTAAAATAAAAAAAAATATATAAAAATGTAGGAATGGGAATATTGTAGGATGTTTACTTTCAACAAATTGTATATTCTCATTGACAATGCCTACTGCCTAATGCCTACGACTACCACAAAACATAAACATATCATATAGTGCCATTAGTGCCTACTGCCTACAGTGCCTACAGCCTATAGTGCCAACCTCATAATCACATAAACACTAAATGGAACGATAAGGCGCCAAATTTGAATGACCGAAAATGACTCCTACAATATCAATTTTAAAAGCTTTATATGTATTTAAAAATTTATAAGTAGGTATTTAAGCTCTCAAACTATCCAATGTTTGTCAAGTATACGAAAAAATGTTATAGCTTCATTTTTTGTTTGCTTGTAATCAATTTCAAAATGTAACTTAATTTTTATAGATATCATTTAGTGCCCTTCATATGATTTCCATAAAAAGTAAAATAAATAAAAAATGATTACTAATCTAATAGATGTGAAATATTTTTAAATCATAATCATCACATCACATAAATCACATAATCAAGTTTTTAATAATAAGTGTTTCCTATTTTTTAAAGTACCTACTGTGGGAAAACAAATGTATGTTTCTAAAGGTCGAAAGGTTTCCTTCCTATAGAAATTCACTCCCATACATTGTTACACTTCTGTAAACGTAAAAAAAATAAATATACAAATTAGTTACTACCATTTCTTCTTTTACTTTGAATCCGTTGTCAAAAAATTAAAGTGCTCATATAAAGGCGGTTTTGTCTCAACTTTTTCTTGTAATATAATAATAATAAAGTAGTTTACGAATGTCATATTAAAAGTTTATAAAGTTATACGGTTTATTGCATAAAACATAGTCTATATTTTCTATGGATTATTGTCACCATTGTATTGTATGTTTGGTTGCCTAACATTTCCGTCGAGAAAAATAATCGAAAATCTTCAAAACTGGTGACGCTAGAGAAGAATTGAATACAGCTTTGGATTGATTAGGGCCGTTAATTTCTACTGGATTTTTTTTGATTTTCTGAGTCCTAAAACTTTTTTAAAAAATCAATAATATTTTCAAAAGATTTGTAGCGCCATCTATACATTAAAAGATCAATTAATTCACCAGTGAAGTAGGCTGTTACAGTTGGCTATCTACTTTAAGTTCTTCAACAGTGCAGTGTCATTTCTGAGCGATAGATGGCTGTATGAAAATTTGGAACAATTTAATGCAACTTGATTGGTCAATCCATACAAGTGAGTGTTCCACTTCCACTTGACTGATCGAAAAATTAATTGGAAACTGGAAATGTTGGAATTACATTGTATTTCTATGTATTGTACATACAAAATGTTTGATACTTGTCAATATAAACTATTATCTTACGTGTTTTAAATGGTTTTGGATGGAATTTATTTAATTAACAGAAATGATTAAGTTGTGACAGTGTAGTTGATTCATTATGAAGTGAGAGTGCTTACAGAACGGTATTTTCCTACATTTCAACGACCGAATGGAAATAATTAGTAGGTCACAAATGTAAGCGGTAAAGTAAGATTGATGAATAGGAAGAATGTGAAAAACGGAATGGATTCGGGCCTGGGCAGTGATGAGGACCGCAGGGGTCGTACAAAGGAGCAGAAGCAACTCCATAACCAACAACTGCTGAGCGGTTGCTTTATTGATGCCGCCAGTCTATCAGACGATGCGGAGGTGGTTGACCAGCGGAGGAACGATGAACGCCGACAAGGAGCCCTTCTATTCCAAACTTCTGTGCCACATTTTTCTATGCTACAGATGTCTAGTTCCAGCGAAGCCCGCAGTTTCTCAACCTCAGCTGGCAACTTGACCAACTACCCCGACACCAGTACCCCCTACAACTCCATCATCCAACTGGACTTGGACGAACCTGAAACTTCTAGGAAATCACCTCTGGGCTTCTACGTTGATCTTAGCGATGTCGCCGAGGCCCCCAAAACCCCACCGTCGGCATCTGCTACGAAAAATATTTTCTCCATGGTTATTGATTTCGAGGCCCCCAAGAAAGACAAGCCAACCAAATTGAGCTCCTCTTTTACGACTTTTAGAAAGAGCAAGCCTTTGAATAAAACTAATTTAGTAGGCAAGTGCCACGGTAGCGGTAGCCTTTCGTCGAGCATCAGTTCTATAAATTCCAACTCGGTAGCTGGCACAAGCAGGCAGTCAGAGGAACAAGAAGTAAGACGAAGCAGCAAGGAGCACATAAGCATTGAAGTTCTCAGCGCTTCTCTCGTCAAAAACCTCTCCATATCGTCTAGTAGCAGTGAAAATATTGGTTTGGAGAAGAGCAGTGACGATCTAGAGCGGGATTCTGCTAAAGAATCGGTTGAAGAAGAGCACATAGATCATGACAATGACTCTGAGAAAATTGAAGATGACAATAGTAGGAACCTCTCGGAGAACAATTTGGTAGATAATGAGAAGGGTCATGCTGAAGAGGTTGGGGATAAAGTGAATAAGCCACAGGTGAGCTAATTGTCTGTAATTAATGTTTACTTATGTGATAAACTTGAATAACATTTCTTTTTATCATGGGAAAAGATAGGGTGTCAGATTGTTCATTCTTCTGTATCTAAAGATAAAATTAATGGAATAATATTATTTACTTAATAATTAATCTCATTCTTTTTTATTCTCATATCGTGAAATAAGCAATTATCTGTAGATTATGTTGACAAACCTGAATAAATAATTATTGGATTTGATTAGAGAGGAATTACAAAAATGGTGGATCAACTCTATTTTTAGAAACTACTTTTTTATTATTTATATTTATTATTAATCGAGGAAGCAGCTAGCTTTGCTGAAAAATCAATTTTTTAAATGTCGAAACTACTTGTCTCCCATTTATATTATTACTTTTTTAAACTAGTGTTTATTTTTAACAGGTTTTATATGTTCTTAAAGATGCGATGTAAAACTATTATTAAAATAAATTTGAAATCAAAGTATTGATTCATTTATATAAAATATAAATATAAAAAATAATATAAAAGAGAAAACACATCTACATAACATTTGTTATTTTTTAAAAACCTCATTTTGTTGCTACAAACACCCGACAATTACTGATGCCAGAAATGTTCAAATTTCTTGTATAATCTAACAGATGGTATATTTTTTATAACTTTTTGCTGTCAATGAAAGGCAAGAAAGGTGAAAGTAGATAATCCTTGCTTAATTCAGTATTCATGTAGAAATTTGCCTGATTATATTTTGGAGTTATTAGCTGTTGATATATTCAGTTTTTTAAACAATATACCAATATAAAAAATACTGTATTGTAATAGTTACAAGGTCGAAACAAATTTGTTTTGTTTTTATCATGTCTGTTATATCAACATCGGCTATTATTGTACCTATATCTTGTTTTAAAGGTTCTCTAAAATAATGTTATCGTTGATGTTTTGTAAATATTTTATGAGCAGGTAGTATTTTGAAATGATTTTCATGTAATATTTTTAAACGGGAAAGGTCATTCAATAGACTTGAAACAAGTAAGATTTGTTAATGATCTTTGTTCAGTCTTTAAAAAAAACCGCAAATTCGAAGTTGTAGTTTTGATATTCATTGTATACCAAACTCGGAAAAAAACGTTCGACGAAAAAAAAATTAAAAAAAATAACTGCGGTTAATACCGAATTTTCACCATAAATTTTGAACCTTAATTTATTTCTAAACATCCACCACGTGTGTGGACGAGATTGACCGTGACCAAAAATAAGTTCAATGCAACCCACTCCCACTCATGTTATAAATATTCATTTTACTACAATCATCTAAAATTTCTTGGGTCACCATTTAGGTAATTTAAAAATAGATATTGTAAACGGTTTCTACAACACTCTTGGTGCTTTCACAAACTTCACCTCGGTTTTTTTCCTGCAAATAAATTGGATAACCAGTATCAATATAGATTGGAAAGCTGTTCGGGACTTTCTAAACACATCTATCTTTTATTTGCACATATATTTACCTACTTATCTTTAAGTATTTAATGAAAAATTATTGTTAGGTATATGTAGATAATTGCAGTACTTTTGGAACTTAGCGGAAAGTCTAGATAAAACTGATCTTGTAATAAAACTCATATCGGATTTTTCACTGATAAGATCATTATTTTTGTAACTTACTTTTCTCATCACGAGTATATCTTGTTAATTTGCAAAAATTTAAACAGCTTAAAAATAACATGCGCAATGCAAACGTTTTTTGTTCACTTAAATTCGCAGCAATTATTGGTTATTTATTTTGCCAATTTAATCGCGTAGAAATTATAAATAGATTAGTTAAATCACTTAGGAAACGATGAAGGTGATTAATGATATTCGGGCAAAGTCCGAAATGCAAACCGATGCCCAACTTTGGGCTGGCAGAGTACATATTTTTTTAACAGTCGTACGTCGATGTGATGCGTACGTATACAAAGATTAATACTAAATTAGCGATAGTTTTTTTTTATCCAGAAATGGGCAAAACGCTCGGAGTAGATCGATGAGCAAAAAAAAGTGAAAGCATACGTTTTAACCCGGGTGAAGAATGAGGGCGTTCTTTATTTTGATTGAAATTGCTTTTCTTACGTTACTTTGTTTTTTATTAATAAGCTGTCGTAAAAATTGGTAGTTTAAAAACACAAATAACGTGGATTCTGACGTAAAAATATTTAGAAACAAAATATTCCTGTAATTAAAATTCTAATTTAAAATAGGCGCTGTTTTTGTATAAGTTCTATAAATATTCCTGAATTACAAATTAGTAATAAAATAAGTTACCAAACATGTCGCTAATTTTCAATGTATTCAGGAGCATCTGTTTATAACCTACAAACGGGTTTGTATTTTTATCAGTAGTGATTCGAATTTTATGTGCAGGTTAGTTAAAAAAAACGACATTACGTTGCAGTTTACATTATTTGGTAATTTGATAAACACACCCATGTCAGGAAATACCTGTGGAAATGCATTTCATACGGTCGGTCATGGCCAGTCCAGTAATTAACTCATCATTATACAGGGTGTCCCACCAGAAACTGCGTCGATCGATATCTAGGAAAGTATGGTATCCCAACAAATTAAAACATTTAATACTAGGTCTTTCATTTTTGCTGTTACATTTTGATAACTTCAAACCGCTATAACTTTGTTAACTTAAATTTTTTTCGTTGAAATTTCACAACTTTCTAAGCTACCATAAATTGTTAAATAAATAAATTAATAAGTGAAACTTACCTATCTTGTAAAATAAAGTTCAAGCTTTAAAATGAGATGTGCGTCTCAATCCGTCCGATAGAACCAGAGATATGGTAAAATTGATGCGCGCGGAGACGGAAAACGTAAGATATTTGCACTAAATTTGCGATAACTTTGCTTAAAGTTAATCTTTTTTAATTTTCAAAAAAGTATATGTTGATTATGAGAAAACGTAACTTTTAACGCATAAAAAATTGTACTAGCTATAAAAATAAACTTTTTAGAGCCATTTAAACATTTAATTTGTTAATAACAATTAAATTGACCACTTTCAGGCTTTGCGACCAAGTTTTTTGGATTCAGGAGGTCAAAATACTTTAGAATAAGTTGCTTGCAGCCGTGGCACTCTGATTGGCCACGGAACCCTATCCCTATCTGGCTCCTAGACTACAGCAAATCAGTGGCTTTAGACCTATGACCCGTTACAACTTTTTAAACTTTAACGACCTAAAGAACACGCCTCAAAATATGACGTTGTTATATTACTGTTGCTTGAATCCGGCTTTAAATGCGGCAAAAATGTTGAATTTATCTAAAGGCTTTTTATTTAAAACGTACCTAATAATCTATTTCAAGCCGTTTTTCTCGGCGATGACGAAGTAACATTATTTTTAAATTTAAACAGGCATCTGAGATCATACCAATCAATCGAACCTTGAATCTATGCGTGAAAAAAATTGATTGGTCAGGTGTATGTGTGAGGGGACAATCACCTGGAGCAAAAAGAGCAACGGCGCGAATCTGGCATAGTTCGGATCGAAATCCTTCAAACTCTTCTACGCGATCTTTTTCAAGGAGGTGAGTAATGCCTAGGTTATCTGGAGACTCGTACTCGCGATGAATTTTTATAAAACTAATTATGGGATGTTTAAAATTGACGCCTATGCAATTAGCGTCATTGCCGTAAATAAATGCCTACGTGGAACGAGATTCCTGAGATTGCGGCGTGGAAAATCTTAAAGAAATCATCATTAGAAACATTGTCAACGAATTTACGCTTCGTTTGTTTTCTATCAATTATTTCACCGAAAACGGGCCCTTACGCTTTTATTTATTGCTTGGTGACGATCGGTACCTGTCAGTATTACAGCAATAAACAGCGCTTATTTGCATATACATAATATGTGGTTGTCGATAGAACAATCATTATGTATTCTATTGACGAATTCATACTATAGATAGTAATCTATGTACGAAACAGTATTCTTGCCTGTAAGAATGGCATTTGTAACATATTACGATATCAGTAGTTATCTTTGTCTAAGCATTCCTGAGTCATTGCTATTACAACTTTTTATGTTGCATTTATCACTTGTATCGTTTGAGGATTTGGAAAACTGACGTAATTTTTATCATGGGAGGCTATAAAGTGAAACAACGATTGCAGATTTATCTGAACCAATTGTTTTTTATTTATTTGTGAAACATGTCAGGGATTCTTAAAAGAGTGGATTGTCGTGTCTTTCTATTTTTATTTTTGATAATACAAAACATGAAGGAAATTTATTTTTATTTATAAATCATCGTGTACTATTGTTCAAGTAGATTAGGATTGTGTAGCTGCCTACCTACTAAACCTCTGGCTAACGTCTTTGCAAGTGCAAGCAAGGTTCACAAACATGTTAAAAAGTCGCCCCAACCTATTACGTTAAAGAAAAACTGTAAATTAAATTCAATAAAGAAGATTTATAATTATATACAGTTGAAAACGAGTTGAGTTTTTTGCTTATACGAGTATGTACAGACAGGCGCTTAGCTAGGTGGCGCAGGGGTGGGCACGGCCCCTCCTGGAAAGCTCTTCCAAGGAAAAAAAAACGATCCAATAATATCATCTTTTTAAAATTGCCGCCCTATATAATAAATACATTTTAATCTAATTATATTTCAGCAATACTAGACAAACGCAAACTTGGTAAATCAAACTTCACGGTTTTTGTGAATATATGAAATACCTACATTTGTGTTTAAAAGTGTTAAATTCGATTATTTCTGTGGTTTCTAATAAAAAAAATGTTTCAAAATCGTAGTTATTCCGAGAACACTGAACTTACTGTATGTTATTAAAAATATATGGTTGGAAATAATTTATATTTTTTCTTTTTTTTTACGTTTCTGTTATACAGAGTGATCTAAAAAAAATACGCATCCCATCAAGTACAATTTTTGCGCAGCTGTCGATCATTTCGTCGTGCCCATTTCATTTAACAATCGCCCTGTACACGAATTGAACCATGTAATAATCGAAAAAAATACTATTACGGAATTCGACGTTAAAACTAAACGTTTTAGCAACAGCTTGCGGTTTCCTAGTTCCTGTCTGTCCGAACGAAACGCTCGTAGTCATAATTCGGTAATTTCCATTCATGATTGAAAAGTGTTGATGATTCGCGATCTGTCACCGGTAGTAAAGTTGCGAATATCTGAAAAAAATAGCCGAAACCGATGAATTCCGGAGGTGCCATCCTATTTGTAACCGTGAAGATATCCGCGTCATTTTCATAAGGAAAAGGAGACTGCATTGTGATCGGTGTTCGGTGGCCACATAACAATAGACTGAGCCCGAGGAGAATACTAAAATATTTTGTTTGTTTTTAATTGTTCCTTAGTTCGAGCATGTAATCGGTCGAAGATGAACGTCGAGCTATGCCTAGAGGTCTGTATGGTTGTTGGTGATGGGATACGTGCTCGAGTTTTTTTTTTTGTTTATTGTGCTGTGAAAAAATGCGCCACCCCAAGACGTTTACGTTTCCGCTAAAGAATAAATCATACAGCATATCATTTTAATAAGTCAAGATCAACTGAATATTAAATTGGACGATATAATTTCCTATACAGGATGTCTGGAAACGAACGGGCTTTATTATTTAAATCAAGTTCATTGTAATTTTGCTTCCTTAAAAAGTTACGGGTCTTTTCACTTTTCTTTTATTTAACCTTTTTTCTCCCGTTTAGGGAGGATCTTGAAGTAAATGAAGATGAACCTAGAACATAGACGTTGCTATGTTCGGATGCGACAGCTGGGCGCAGGGGTGGTTCGATCGGAGTAATTTTGGTGTCGTTGTGTAGGTCGGATCTTTCTACGTCGAACAAAAGGGATCCGAGCATTCCGCGATTAGTGGGTGGCAATACTTTCAGTGATATACATTTTAATAGTGATTTTAGTTAAGATTGCACCTTCCTTGCCTTCTCGCTCGTTCGCGAAAGCTCACAACGCGCCGTAATTGCGGGAATATTTGAATATGAACTATATTGTTGGTTCATTTTGATTTTTTAGTTTAATAATTTGCAAATTTTGCAGCACCCTTTGAAGCCGCCCAGGCTTTATATTTTCGTGTAAAAAAGCTATCTTTGAAGTATGGACTCTTCACTAGAGGACATCCTGTATAAAAATTGAGCTATTCAGTACAAGTTACAAAGTACGACTGTCAAAAAACGATACCTAACAATTATCTTTTTCCAATTTTTTTAATAGTCTATATAGATTAAGCAGGTATAAAATACATATAAATAATTCCACTTAAAATAAATACCGACTTGATTACTGTAAATATTTTTTGCTTTCGCTTGACAGTTTATTTGCTCAATGTAGTTTGTCATTTAGAATATTTAGAGGTTGGTACATGATATCCTTTTGTTTGACAAACATAAACACCGTGTAAAAATATCAATTCTTCAGATGTAAATATTAAAACCGACAATGTAGTATGATAAATGCGGACTTTGCGCTACCCCAAGGTGATGTCCTTGGAGCTATCCAACCTTTATTAAATATTAATGACGATGTGAAAGAATTTTTAGTTCATCATTTGATTGGTGCGACTTTTATTATTAAAATAATTTTAATTGATTGATAGTTTAAGGTAAATAGCGCTTGAATAAATTGAAACTTAAAAACGTTTTTCAAAATATCTGTGAACAAAAACAGAGTAGCAAACAAATTTTGTCCAATGTTATGTAAATATGCTTTTTATTATATTTTTATTTAAATGAATTAACTTAATTGACTTGTAGCATTGGAAATTTCTTAATTTTTGTTGAAAAACACCTTACCTTGTTTCAACAAGTTTACAACAGTTTTGAATTTTAATGAATTGTCGGAGTCAAATTAATTGTAATTATTCATTGCCTGGGCTGGCCACAACTGATAAGAACCCTGTTATCAACCAATTAGCAGCACAATCCAGTGAACAAGACTTTACATTAGTAAATTTCCATGTTTGTTTCATGACATATTTATGCAACGTCAAGTTTTATACGGCGATATCAATATTTACGTCCTAAAAAAACTCTATTGCCATCCTTAACAGTAGTGTTTAGCGTACCGTTGTGTTTCGAGGTATATTTATTAGCCCGTCGCACTAACAATGACCCTTGTGTTACAGCCGTGTCCTCAGTTTGTGAAACTCTCCGATCTGGAATGTCAGAAGCCGAGAGTGGAAATAAACTTCACTCCCCGGATGAGCAGGTCCATCCCGGAGAGCTCGTGGGTGGAGAGCCCCCTGTTGATGTCCCACTCGGTAGGGTACCGCAGCGCACCCCATCCCCTGGAGCCTGAAACTAGCGAGACCAATTCCGATTCGGAAAGCGTTTCGAATGCGTCCGGTTCTCAACAGAAGAACCTGGCCAGGAAGTTGGGTACCGATCTGTTGCGGATGTTCCTCGAGGAAATCGGACCGGACGTGACTGTGGAGGTGGAGGGGCACAAGCTGAAAGCCCACAAGTGCATCCTGGCATCTAGGTGTCAGTATTTCGCGGCCCTGTTAAGTGGAAATTGGTTGGAAAAGTCTGGGAACGTGATTTCCTTGCAGGTAACAATTAATTCCATTTTTTAAAGGTGAATTGTCATGAAACGTTATTTTCTTTAACAATTGAGCATCAGTATCAATTAATGATTATAAACAAGCAATAGATTAGCAATAATAGCAGACAATGCCAAGTCAAGGTTATCATTGTAAAATAATTGAGCGATGTGTATAATAAATTGTATAATATATTTTTTCACTGACGTATATTCTTATATAACTGTTGTTTGAGTGTCATCTCTGGCTTCGGAAAACATACTTTTATTATGCAGTTAATTATCTCATATTTACCCATTCTCGCTATTGTTTTACGCTTTTTGTTTGTGTGCAAGTCACCAGACTATTTTTCCACGAACTAACTGGATTTTTATGATGTATTATGATACGTGATATGATTTTAATTTGAAATTTAAGGAGATTGCACTGAATTTAATGCCAAACAATGTTATGACTATAACCAACTTGTATTTAGTTTGCAAAATTAAAGTGATCGATGGTGGTTCTTAAATTAAATTATACACCCTGTACAGTTATTTATCTCGGGTTTGTTTCTTCTCATTATTGTTTACATTGTTTTGAATGTAAATAATTAGTTGAACATTAGTAGCGACCTTCTTATCTTTGAACTGTACATTTGTATAAACTAATATTTTTTATTAATGCTGTTTACAAAATATTGGCCTTATTCTGAAATATAAACAAAAACGATACAGAAAAGGGTTTTGAAGAGTCAATTTAACAATTTTTGTTGTGTTGTTTCACTTTTTAATATTAAACAAAAGAGATATTAGACAATATATTCTGAATATGTCCAATTAAGCAAATAAATGATATAATTTGCAAGAATACTAGTTTTTTTTATGGTTTTTTCTTTTATGTCACCTTGTAATAAACTATACTAAATTAGTAACAATTTGCCTTGAGAAATATTAAGATTTTAATTGAAGTCAATCAAGGGAAAACATTCCTGTCAATCAAACAACATGAAGCCTGGCAATTAATTTTTTTATTGAATATTGTATACTTTTTAACGATTTTGCTTTAAAGAGATATATTGAAAACAAATTAGTCACCTTTAAGTAAATGGAACAACTGTTTTGTCTTTTATAAATTGTATCTACGTTTCGAACAAGAATATAATTAATAAAAAAATAAATCAAATTAAATACAAGACCGATGGTAAAAGATTGGACAGTTAGAAATGTGACACAGAAAAAAAAAGGAATTTTCTTGATTATTTATAACGATAGGTTAAAGTTCCAATGCCCTTCGTACGCGTTCGACACAGGATTGAATTTTGCTTAAATTTAAACTGTTCACGGTTTAATTTTGTTGTTTTATTTTCAATTAATTTAATATGTCTAGCATCGATTGCTGATTTGATCTGATCTGCTTTACCAGGGCTTCACATACGAATCCGTGTATTTCTCCTTGTGCCACATATACAGCGGCGCTGCCCACGTGCCCGACTCCATTAGCCTCGTAGAGTTGGCCTCTCTGGCCGACATGCTGGGTCTGGAGGGCCTGAAGGAAGTCGTCGAGCACGCCCTGAAGCAGCGCCACTGCCACAACTTCCACAAACCCTGCGCGGGCTGCTGCACCGGCGTACTAGAAGTACTACCCCTGTCCGCGGCTTACGGCCTGGACGACTTATACCAGAAATGCCTCCAGTGGATCACCCAGCACTTCGTCAGGGTATGGCCTAGCAGGGCGTTTGCCAGCCTACCCAGGGAACTGAGGGAGAAATGCTATCAGCAACACGTCGTTCACATGAACCCGGACAAGGTCCTGGAGGCGATTCTGGCATGCGACAAGATCCTGGCCACGTTGCCGGCCATGCGATGGGCCGAGCCCGTCAGCCAGCTGGTGCTGCAGCTCACCGATGCCTGCCACCTCTACCACAGGCAGCACTTCTCTGCCGTCCTGGGTTCACAGTATGTACTCGGCCTAGACGCGGGCCTCGGATTCGGGATCTGCCAGATTGAGGATCAGATGTTGTTGGCGGCTAAAACGCTGGGTGTGGACCAGGCTTGCCGGAGTTATTCGAGGTGCTGCAAAATGCTGGATCAGCACTGGAGTAGGCCATTTGCCGACCTGCTGAACAAGGTGAAGCTGCAGCTGGAGCAGTGCCTGGTGGGACAAGCGGATAGGTTGATCAGGAGTAATGCTTGGTTAAGGCTTGATACGCCATTGAGGTGAGTTGGAGGGTCGCAAGAAATATTTTCAAAAGTGTTTTAAAAAGACTAACATACAGTGTCCCATTACAACTACATTCTAATTTTTTAGTTTTTGTTGGATTTAATATTTATTTGTCGGTTATTCCACCGACAAGTGACCTTGTGGATGTAATTTATTGCTGGACACTGTAGTCTGCAGAGTAGTTGTTTTTCAAAATTTCATTAGTTAGATACGCTATCTTTTCATCAAAAATATTTGTGATTAACCATTTTATCATGTGCTAGTAGTCCCCATTACAGCATTACAGTTTTAAGTTTGGTCACTTAGGTCTCACGTCCGATTTTTGGGATTTCCTATATGTGCATTTTCATTTTCAGGACACGAATAAAGGAGCTGACGCCCGGCATCGAACCCTCTAGCCGCCTCCCCCGCGCCGCCCCCTTGAGAACCAAAAAAACCCTTACGTCCAAACAGAACGCAAACAGTCCCATGATAAGCTCCTCGGACTCGTCGAGGAACTCAAGCCCCGGTATGAACCAGCACGGACGACTACACAATTCCAACGGCAGCCCGTCCCTGCGGCGTAGCCTATTATTAGCCGCGAAAGCCCCGCAGGTGCCCCCAAGTCCATCCGTACACCGACGCAGCACCTTAACGCAACCAACCGCAGCTAGCGCGGCCAAGTCCACTCCATCCAAAACGAAAGCCGCACCACGTAACCCTCCTCCCAAACCGGCTGCCATTAATCGTCCTCCAATGCAATCCGCATCACAGAAGCAGACTCCTAAAAGGTCCGCCACTGTTTCCAGGAATACCAGCGTGGGCAAGAGAGAAGCCCCGTTGTCGCTCCCGCGGAGGCCGGACAGTCGTTCCAGTTCGCCATTGAAAAGCGACAGCAGGACTAGTTCCCCGAGGAAGCTGGACAGCAGGGTGACGTCTCCGATTAAGGGGAACATAAGGAGCCCGTCGCCTATGAAGGACAGTAGGAGCAGTTCCCCTCGTAAGGTAAGGCCGGGCAACAGCGAGGCGAAATCGGCGCCGGTACCGACCATGCAGAGGTCGAGCACGTTCTTGAAGGACGAGCCCACCGTCCTGGGTAAGGTTATCTAAGCATTCCCCTAGTCCGCATTCCTAGTCAGGTTAGTTTTTATTTTGATCTCGTGTCACGATATTTTTAGTCTTTGTGATAAATGTTTTCGTTTTTAAAGCTTCACATGAACAAGAGGTGTACATACACACAAGGTTTTATTCTGTTATTATTATTATTTTTTTAAATTGTTATTAGGCGTAAGAGGAAAGTTTATTGTCACTTAGTATTTATTTCCCGCACTTTTAAGGAGTGGACGGTGTTGCGGTCGCGATTAGTTGCCATATTCGTCCGTGTAAATATGGTCCCAAATTAGTCCAAATGACGAATATTCATTCTCCAATAGCGAGAAATCCGGAGCGAGCGAGTAGTCTTTTAATTTACTCTAAAAGCTACACAAGAAAAAAATAAAAAATTTACATTTAAAATTAACCAATTGATTTATTGAAGGAAACTATCCGATTGTTTCGCTGATCCTGACTTGTTTTATAATGTATGTAGTTGGTAGCTTAAAGTTCTGTTTCCTTCAAGCAAGTTTGATAAAACAATTAACAGTCCGTACGATATTTGCTGAGATAGACCTCCAAGAAGATTTCTGTTTCACTTTCTTGGACGTAACCGCATTCGATAGCCGAGGTAGAAAGACATTGGCGGAAAACAACGCCGTGACAAATGCCGTGATAAATTGTTACAGTTGTTCCATATCAGAACTTTATTGGCTTATTCTCTTCTTGGAATTCTATCTCAACAAATATCGTACGGACTGTGAATTTGTCTAAAATTGTCCTTAATAGTGGACCAATTAATAATAAATTGGGAAGCCGAGTAAAAAAGTTCTCTCGATGAAATACCCTTATTGAAACGTTTAAAAGCACTCACGAAAAATAAATATTGTGAAAACGCCTATGAAATCAAAAAGGTTAGTTACAAATTTTAAATGTGATGATAAATATTTATATTATATGTATGCGTAGGTTAAGCGACGAGACTAATTTCAAATTATTTAAAATGTTACGAAATTGCGTGGATTAAAACCATTCCTATTTAAATAAAATTACTAAATCGTTGAAAGTAAACTGTACTCTTTTTTTTGTCACGACTGAAGTTTATTTGACTCACGTTTTTTCACCGTTATTTGTTTTCAGAAAAAATTTGATGAGCAAGTATTTTATTGTCTATATGTATTTTATGGGTCGATTTTGCGCACACCTGTAATCTTCTATAAGTTTACAGTAACTCCTATATCATAATTTTTTACGACCGAACTCTTTTTGCGAGGTTTGGAAAAGAAAATAGTTTCGACAATATATTTATTTGGAAAGCGAATTTATTAATTTACGGAATCGGAATATAAATCTACCAGAACATGTGCAGGAGCCTATTTAATAATGTGAGAGTGATTTTGATTTAAACGGTTGGTAAATGTGATTTCACGTTGAGTTTTATGTCTATTCTCTATTTAATGATTTTAAGCGTAAATGTGACTTATTTTTGTTAAATATAAGTGCAATTTGCAAATTCACTTTTTTTTAATGTACTGAGAAAGGATATTCTGATACCCATCAGTCTCTTTCGAGCTGTCATTTACTACTACTAGTATAAAAATATATGGGCACACTTACCAGTAAGGTTTATATTTTGCTGATTAATAGATTTAAGAAAAACTTCTCCATCTTTAATTCATGTGTGTCACGTAATTTTATATAAAAAAACAAATGTTTGTAGGAAAACAAAATAATTTTTTAAGGGTTAGGATTAATCGTAAACTCATCGAAGTGAAGTTGGCAGTAGTTCATTTGCATCTCTGTAACCAAGGTCGTTACAGGGGTGGTTCCAGAATGACATTTTACGATTCTGTAAATTATGTTGCAGGTTAATCATACCTTATAGAGTTACAAATTTACAGGGAAACGCAGAATCGACCCATTTTTTCCGACTTATCTAGTTTTTTAAGTTATTCCACTTTTGCTGTGATTAATTTAAATTCATGTGAAGGATTTGATAGAAAGATATTAGAAAAGTAAATTTATAGTATATATGCATAAGCAACTTGTAGCTATAAATAATTGTCCTTTCTTCGATTACAAAAAGTGATTATCAGCATAGTTCTATCTGTCTATGGGATGTAAAGGTGATAAAAAAGGCTTTGTAATGAAAGAGACCACATACTGTAGAAATTATATATGTAACATTTTGTTTATACTTTGAGGGCCCCTGCACTAATTTCTGTTAGATGTAAAAAAAATTAACTTGTACGCGTCATTTTCCACAAAATAACTTGACGGTTTTCTCTTGAATTTTAGCATACGGGCCTAGTTTCCATCCAGACGATCTACATTTTAAAGACCCTTCATTTGATTTAAGTCGTCAAGCAAAGATAATGAGATTTCAGACTAATTAACCGTTAGGTCAAGTAGACGAATAGATATTTAAATTCAGTAACCCTATCTCTTAATAGTAGTAACTTATACTAATAGAGTTGATAGAGTAAGTTGGTGAAGTCTCATTATTTCTTGCCGTGCAAGATTATTTATGAGTAGATATATTTTTTGGAGAACCTATGTATATTCCTTGGAATTCCTTTTATGAATTTCGAAGGATCTATTTGTTGTACAATGGAACAAATAAATTAGATATTTTTAAATGATTGAAAGATTTTTTTTTTTTTCAAATAAAATGCAGATGTATACAAAACATTTTTATTATACGTCATTACTTACCTTACATTTTAATTTTAAGAGAATGTCAAAATAGTATTATCGTCAATTATAACAAAAAAAAAAAAAAAAATTACTATCTAATCACAGTAAACGCTATAAACATATATATTTTCTTAATAAATAAACTATAGATAATTCAGGAGGATGGCTTTGTGCCGTAGAGAAGACAAGGATCGGATCCAATTTTGTACGGGTGTTTTTGCAATCGAAATATTTCTTTAGCGAGTAATTTCATCTGGGACGCATGCGGAATGCACCTGAAGAATAAATACTGAACACGCGCGTTCGGGTTTGAAGTCACTGTCAAATTAATAAGCTGTAAGAAAAAAAAACATTGAATTTCTAAACAAAATCGAGTATTCATTAAAAATTTAAAAATTTTTTCTGTAAAACAATTTACAAGGTACGTCCCAAAGTCAACAGGACTTTTCAAAAATAGGTGAGGCCATCAATTGCCAAATACATACATGGGAAAGGTAGAAGTGACTATGTTTGTGCCATCAGTAGAAAAATGAGTATCGAACAAAGATGTTTTAAACTTGGTAAAACTTGGACTGAAACCTTTCAATCGATGAACCAAGTTTATGGTGATTGTTTATCCAGTGGCAGAGTTCATGTGGTATACACGGTTTAAAATTGGTCGTGAGGACATAAATGATGATGATGAGCAACATGTTGGCCAACCGAAATTCATGATCACCACAGATTCTGTCAGAACTGTATGTAAATTCATAAAAAATCAGCCAACATTTTCATTGAAATTCATAGAATTGGAATTGAGCATCTCAAAAACATCTATTTATCGCATTTTGACCAAATATTTGGGCTAACAAAAAGTGTGTGCAGTTTGTTCCGTACAAGTTGACTGACGACTAAAAATTGCTATGAATTCAATATGCGAAGGACATCAAGAAGGCCAAAAAGGACAAAAACTACAACATTGTAACTGGTGATAAAACGTGGTGTTTTCAATATGATTCAGAAACCAAGCACCAAAGTGCCGAGTGGAAGGCACCAGATGAGCCAAAAACCAAAAAATCTAGTTTGGAGACGTTAAAAGTGAAGACAATGTCGAGTTGCTTTTACGATTCCAAGGGCATTGTCCACAAAGAGTTCATTCCACCAAGCCAATCTGTTAATGCACAATTCTATCTTGGCATTTTGAAGCTTTTGGTGTATCGTATTCATGGTATTTGGACAGAATATTGCTCGGAAGGAAGTTGGGGTTTGTTGAACGTTAACGCGCCACATCATTTCGTGATGTCGATTGACACCCGTGACCAATTTTATGACTAAAAATTGCATTTTAATTGTCAACTACGCCCCGTATTCCCCTGATTTGGTACTGTGCGACTTACCATTTTGGAAAAATGCATTTGCCGATAAAAGGAAAACGTTTTGTGGACGTAAAAGCCATTCAAAAAAAATACCCATTCAACATGGTTTTAAACCTTGCAAATCGCTGTATTGAGGAATTCTGTTTACTTTGGAACACATCTTGTATTATATTAATCTACTGCACTTACATCCCCTGTTTCCGTATCCGTTTGATTGTCTGTTACCCCCGCCAGCGGTGGCGCCAGTTCCTCCACTGAAACGAGAATTCTGCCTCGGGCCGCTATTCTCTCTTCCACGGAATCCGCCGCCCCTGCTACCACCACCCCCTCTGCTACCGCCGCCGCCTCCGCGACCGCTATTTCCCCAACGGCTGTAATTTCCCTTATTACCGTAGCCACCACCGGACCTGCTGGCCATGTCCGCAAGCTTCGGATTCACCACCTAAAAAACAAGATATCCTTGCTTGTCACATGTTCGCTAACAAACGGAGCTCTCGTCTCACCTGATTGGCTTCCTTGAGCACGGCTATCAGGTCCCTGGCTTGCCTGTAATTGGATGGGGTGAAGAAAGCGTACGAGGTGCCGGTGCTCTCGGATCGGGCGGTACGACCTATCCTATGGATGTAGTCTTCGGAGGAGTTCGGGTAGTCGTAATTTATCACGTATTTGATCCCGTCCACATCTATTTAGTAAAAATTTGTCAAAATTGTGCCCTGATGCCTGTTCTATCTCGTTTTCATTGCAAGTAAATTCAAACAAATTAACGAAACACTGAACGATGGCAATTTTTAGAATTAACTGGTTGTATCGAGTCTAACACCAAGAAAACAAAATATTTAAGAATTTAATTCTAATTTGTGCATATGAAAAAGACAAACCAAAAGCGAATAAGTTACTGCGTTGATAGCACTGACGACCTTTAAGAAATCCAGAGGGTTTTCAGATTTTTGCTTCCCTTTCAAAAGGTCCACGGGCCTCAATAAATTTTTTTGCCGATCCCACCTGTCAGCCTTTTTAGTTTGATCCATTCTCATTTGATCTGTTCAAGAGCTTTATAAAATGATTTGTCACCGAGTTACTATTGTTCAAAGCAAAAATTACGTTTTTGGTGTTGATTATAATGATCGTACAGAAGATCAAGGGGTTTTGGAAACATCAAAGTATCCCCTATGAGATAGTTTTTTGATAAAAAAAAATTTCGACGCAGAAATTTGATTAAAAAAATGTAAAAAAAATTGCATATTTAAGAATTTTCATTAATGTTGAGATATTTTGCAAATAATAAATTGGCTAGTTTTATTTTAATCTCAAAGTATCCTAAAGAAGCCCTCAAAAGTTCTAATCGTTACGATTTTTCTTTCATTGTGACCTGAACGATTACAAATGTCACTTTTGCTAAAAATTAAAGATAAATTTTGCATCATTTATTCATTTTCCTCGTTTCATTTCTTCAAAAAATACAAAATATCGAAAAAAAAGAAAAAAGTACAAAATTTTAATTGTCATTGATCTGATTTATTCTACACAATCGTGAAAGTTTTTATTTTCGAATATATAAAAAATATCGATACAGCCGCAAATCATCATACAAAACTCTTAAAATATAAAACTGTTTTACCAAATAGCCCCCAAAAATTTCCAAAGTGGAAATGAAAAAATTTATGTATATAGTTTGATACTAATATTTTCGTTGTTTGTTCAGTTCTCTGCCGAGTACTTCAGACTTACCATCATTTCAAATTTAACAATAAGAAAAACCAGATTTTTCCAAGTTGTTACGAGTCTTGTATTTTTTCCAATTTAATTTCCCCATTACTATTTATCAAATAATAAAAAAAGGAAATCCATATTCCACAGACCTGAACAACTTGGAACTGGCGAAGAAACCGTTCCACAACGTAAAAAAATAAAAATATAAATTAAAAAAAAAAACAGTAAAAGTAAGAATACTAACCATGAAGTTCAATGCAAATCCATGAGGCTCTGATGAGAATTAACAATCAATCGTTAACGGCTATAGTAGCAATGAAAGTTGGCTGCTGCAGTGGTCTCGCGATTTGCTTGCTCGCTTTTTGCGCCGTAGCTACTCGATACACTGCAGGACCGAGGAAGACAAATACTATTTGAACGACATCTGTTTTGCAGCTCGGCCGGTGTGCGTATGTATATATAAAAAAAAATCTCATCCCTCGACGGGTGCCGAGCCACGCACATCGTTTCTTAAGGGTAGGAAGCGAGTGGGGGAGAGTTTAGAAAGGTACGAATAAATTAAAACGATTGGGGGGGGGGGGGACAAACGTGTGCCTTTTTGTGATGCCAAACGTCAAATCTTCCATCGGTCTTCTACCACCTCAACTCATCTACCACAACAGAGCGGGGTAGACAGCCAGAGGCACCGCAAGACACAGAATTGCATCCTTTATAAGAACACAACTAAGGCGTATCGATAGCAATATCACTCGAATGCTATGTACGCTCATCCTGCATGTGCCTCTGAAACAAAAGGACACCCAGACTGATTAATATCTTGCCAATGTCATACTTGTGCGTTATCTTATAAGCTAAGTAGGGAAGTATCGCTAAGTATTTTTGAGCATGTCCAACAACTTTTGACTATTGATATCCAAAAATATCGGGAAACTTAAAAGTAAATATTTTTAATCGCTAATTTTTCCAAGACAATGTTCATCTTTGAAATTTCAGGCATTTTGTAAGGTTCAATTTGGCAGTTCTATGTTACGAAAAGTAAAATTTTCCTTAATGTGACAACATATAAGTAAGGCTGTGTAAGGGCCGCATGCACTGTTCCACTTTATAAAATTATTTGAGCAGAAGAAATAACATTTTCAACTCGAAGACAAAATACGTTTGTTTTCATTTGTGAACTTTCCCTTGTGAAAAGAAAAAAATATATTGGCACTGTAGGCCAAGCAAATAAAATTTTTACTCGAAAAAATTCCTATCCACGAGATTATTGTAAAATTGTGAGCCAAAAAATTTTATTAGCCAACTTTTCTATTTAAACAAATGAGGAAAACAGTATTTTCACTTTGCAGGGAAAACCATCAATTTTAGCGAAAAGTGACTCACAGACAGCTTGTAGGGAATAAAATACCTACAAAATGAGACTTGTTAAATTAAAATCGGTTAATAAACAAAAAAGTTATTGCAAAAAACCAAGAAAAGTGCCCATTTTTTAATTTGTTTATAACTATCGCATTTATTGTTAAAATTTTATAAAACCTATGACAAGTTGAGGGTTTTGTCATACATTAAAAGTGTGCCAAAAGTGGGTGCTGTTGGTGCAATAGTTTTCGCACAATTCAATTTGTATATAATGGAGGCTCCAAAAGTTATGAACTTTAAGCCTCTGTACAGTTAATTTTCAACCAAACATGATTCTGAAAGCGTCACTGTAATCTTTAAGACGTAATTAAGCGACCTATTAAAAAATATCACCGTTTTTTTGACATTAACATTCTCAAATTGTGCGTTTTTCGCTTATAAACAATTTGAATAAAATTGTTGCTATTTATGCCACCTCACCAAAAACAGATGCAATGGATAGCTGGCAAAAAAATGTAAATTAAAAAAAAAAAAATCCGTCTACGACCAACAGGAGTCAAGATAAGAATTTTTTTTAAAATCGTAGCGCAATTGTTTATAAACATTAAAGATTTTTTCGCAAAATAAAGCTTACAACGTAAACTACGATTTTCCGTGAATTGCATTGGAAAATGTGGAAACTTAATGACTCATGAGCCCTTTAAAGAGAAGGTACTTGCTAAGTAAACTGTCCGGCGTGGTGATGGGGGAAGCTCGTCCAAGCGAGTCGCGCGCGCGAGAAAAGTGAAATCCAAAGTTCAAATTGATGCGGGCTGTAAAATTTTGCAATCTCGGCTTCTATTCATCGTAGAAACTTCTTTTTTATTTTTAAAGTGGGGTAGCTCGATGAAAAAATAATAATGAGCATATTTACGAATTCGTACAATAGCCCTGAACCCCAGAAAAAATGCATCTTTTATACTTAATTTTTTTTAATTTACAAAAATGTCACAAAAATTATTGTTAAACTAAATATTAATTAAAATTTCAATTTCGGAATTATTTTACTTTAATAAATAAATGAAGCTATCGTTCATTTAACGTCTGCATAGAGGCTTAAAGTTCATAACTTTTGGAGCCTCCGTTATAAACAAATTGAATTGTGCAAAAACTATTGCACCTACAGCGCCCACTTTTGGCACACTTTTAATGTATGACAAAACCCTCAACTTGTCATAGGTTTTATAAAATTTTAACAATAAATGCAATAGTTATAAACAAATTAAAAAATGGTCACTTGTTTTTTTTGCAATAACTTTTTTTCAGGGCAAATATTGAAAAAAAAAGCATCCAAATGGATGAACAAATTAATTTCAATCTCAATGAAACCCCTCATTTTTTATACCACTAATCGATAGAGCCCAAAATTTTACGTCCGAATATGGGATTAGAAAATTTTTCTGGTCCGTCCTCGAGGCCTTTACAGGTGAAACCCATTTTTTGCTGAGTAACTTGACAAAATCGGATTGTGGAGGAAAACGTTTCAATTCAGATTAATCTAGTTTGAGACATTTTTGTGTACAGCACATAAAATTTCGTAGCCGTCATCCGGGTTTTGAACTACTATAGTGCATACGGCCTTAAAACTAATATATCTCACGTGTGACGGATATCCACTGAAAGGCTGGCTCCTATAAGGTAATCCATTATGGATTTGAATCAATAAATGCTGAAGTAAAAACTCCATAAATATACGTTTGTAAAAATATCGTTTTAGGCGTAAGAAATTACGTTTTCTTAAATTTTCATATATATACGATTTTTTTCCAATGAATATCCGAACTATTTATAAGAAGGTATTTTTCTTCAAATTTGCGTTCTTTCGTACTTAAAAATAATCTTTGAAACACAAATGATTTAAAATAACAAAAAATGTATCGAACTTACATTTTACAAACCAGTCTGGTAAATCCCACGGTATGCTACTATAGACAAAACAAGTATCGGCAAAATGATCCGATCAAAAAATTACAATCACAAACTAAACATGGTTCGATTCCAATAAACGAATGGAACTATTCAACGACTTCCGGGACTATTTAGGCCCACTTACCTAATCCCCTGGCGGCTACGTCCGTAGCCACTAAAATCGTAGTTTTTCCATTCCTGAATTCTCCGAGGACGTAGTCGCGTTCCTGCTGACTCTTATCCCCGTGCATACAAACCGCCGACCATCCGTATCTGCGGATAACCCTTGTTATCGCTTCCACTTTCTTTTTGGTCTCGACGAAGATGATTATTTTGGCGCCGGGCTCTCCATTGTTTCCTATCTCGTTCAACAATTGATTTAATCTGCGAACAGATATAATAATGGAAATCATCGGATCAGTGGCGGCTCGTCAGGTGACGCACCGCTTCACCTAAAATTTCCGTTTGGTTGTACAATTTAAAATTATTTTCAGTTTTATATAAATTTTATAATTTAAGTATAATTCTATATTGAAAATGTATTGTGTATTTGTTTAATATGCAGAAATAAACAGAATAGTAATTAATGCACAAAAAACTAACTTTCCTCCATTTTAACGCAATTTTCTATAAAATGGACTTGGTTTGAAACTCAAATTACTTTTTGGTGTAAAGAAATTTGTATTTTAAGACGCCACTTGTTCAAAAGCGACATCACTGATTGAAGGTATATAATGAATTTCTTACGCTAAATGGCAACAAAAACTTAAATGCGTGTTTCAAAAAACCATTTTTTTTGACTGGCCGTAAACAACTCAAAAAGTTTTCAATGATTCAACTTGAAATTTTAACTCGGGCTACATCGTAACGTAACAATTTAATGAAACATTTTAAATCTTTTTTTGAATATCCACTAAAATTTCCCTACGATGTTCCCCGATTTTAGTAAATGTTAGAAAAGAGACAAGTATCATTATATTTTCGACTTACTTGAATTCCTTCTCGTGTTCCTGGCAAACATCGACGATCTGCAAAATATTATGATTGGCCGACAGTTGTAGAGATCCAATGTTGATTTGAACAAAGTCCTTTAGAAAATCGGATGCCAGCTTCCTGACCTCCTTAGGCCAAGTGGCCGACCACATAAGCGTCTGCCTGTCGGGCCTGATCTGTTCGATAATCTTACGGATCTGCGGCTCGAAGCCCATGTCCAACATTCGATCGGCCTCGTCCAGAACCAAATACGTGCAACGTTCCAGATTCGTGGTGCCCCTCTCCAGGAAATCAATAAGCCTCCCGGGAGTGGCGATGACAATCTCCACGCCCCGTTCCAGATCGCGAGCCTGGGGACCTTTAGGTGCGCCGCCAAATACGCAGGTGTTGCGTACGTAAGAGGAACTTCCGAAATTGTTGGCAACCTCCTGGATTTGTTGTGCCAGTTCACGTGTAGGGGCCAGAACTAAGGCGATGGGGCCTTCGCCGCGACTTATCGGCGGCTGGTTGTTGATGTGGACGATGGCGGGGAGGATGTAGGCCAGAGTTTTTCCCGAGCCGGTCTGGGCGATCCCGACCAAATCTTGTCCGCTCATAGCAATGGGCCAGCCCTGCGCTTGGATGGCGGTGGGCGAGTCATACCCTTGGCTTCTAATCTCTTGCATGACGTAGTCGGGGAAGCAGGCTTCGCTAAAATTCTGTATCGGGTTAGGTGCGTGGCCATCCATTGTAATTTCTTTCGATCTCCGATACTGCTCCACTTCATAAGGGGAACGGTTAGCGACAGCGGGATGAGGCACATAGAAGTCCTTCTTGAATGGACGTAAGGTTTTGTTATCCCACTGCGGTTTGTACAGGCGGCCACTTTGTTGACCTCCTCGGCCTCCAAATCTGCCACCGCCTCCACCACCACCGCTTCTAAATCCACCACCTCCAGTGCCACCGCTTCTAAATCCGCCGCCTCCGGCACCGCCACTCCTGAAACTACCGCCACTTTTAAAGCCTCCACCTCCTGGAGCGCCCCTGCTACTTTTAAATCCACCACTGTCGCCGCCACTTCTGAAACCTCCCCCGCTGCCCCCTTTATTGAATCCACCGTCATTGCCACCACCTCTCTGGCCTCCGAAGCCACTACGAGTGGTGGGGCCAGTCGAGTTAGAGTAACCGTTTTCTCTGCTGCCACGGAAAGAATTTCCCAAATTAGACTGTTTACCGTACGACCTAGAAAAATTTGGTAGATTGTAAATTGGTTTGATTTATTATAGCTGTTTTACATTAACAATTTATTCATGAATAAATTGACGAAGTTCTTCATGAATTAATTCACAAATTTATTAGTAAAGTGTGGTTTTACACTGCTACAGATTTTGTCAAGTTTTTTGACGCATGAACCAACAAATCAAAGCAAATAAATTTCAAAAATGTTTCCACTCATAATTGTAGTGATATAACAGCGGTACCGTTTTGACACATATTATATAAATATTAGTTTTTGTAAGTAACAAATTAGTAAAAACAATGCAAAACTAGTACGACGCCACACAATTATTTACATATTCCAATAACATAACCTCATTACTGGTCTGAGGCTGGAAATCTGTCGAGTTGGTACTTCTGAACTTCACAAAGAAATTGACGAAAATTAGAACATGTTCTAATTCATCAAGAACCTGATGAATAAATTCATGAAGTTATTTGACAGCAGATTTGGTGCATTATAATTGTCCAATTTCTTGATAAAGCGACTTCATGAATTAATTCATCAATAAATTGTCAGTGTAAAACAGCTTTTATAAATATAACAGATTTTCTTTCAAGTTTATGTTTACCGCTGCTGACCCAAATGTTTAGCTTATCAACGTATTGAAAATTGAAATTGTATCTTTTATGTCTTTTTGTAAACACTTAGGCATTGAAATTTGCAACGAATTATAATTAAGTTATCTATACTTCAGTACATCAACTGAAGGCTTCATCCCATATTTATAATACGTTAATATATGTTTGCAATTTCTATTTAATTATTCCTACGGCAAGTTTAAATTTGCTCTAGAGCATTATTGATTATTAATTTTCTCAAAATAGGATAACTATTACAAAATAATAGACTAAGAAGACAATAAATGTAATATAATTGTTTCCTCAAAGCTTCAGATACATTTGGGATCGCCATTTTGTCAAGCCAATTATTAATCGAGTTTCTTTGTCTGTATTAGACGAAAATATTGTATGCAATACATTAAAATCTTACGGTGTGATTTACTTACATTTTGTTTATCACTAGATGAACACCACCAATTAAAGTTACAAAGGATTATAACCGATACTGTTTGTTCAAAGTACTACTAAACCGTTGACCTTCCTGCTCTAGCTAGACTGTTCTAGACGTAACGTACACGTTCAGTATCTGTCAATGTCAAAATGTCGAACTTCCTTGCACTCCTAAGAAAATCAAACGAAAATTTTTTAACAGGCATGCATTGTAAATAGAATTTTTAGTTGGAAGGATCTTTTAGGGCGTCTTAGGAAACGAATTTTGTTAAATATTGTATACAACTTACCTCTCTCTCCTCCTCTTCTTACGATTAACAAGAGTAAAAGAAAAATAGGAAGGGATGGGATCATTTCATTGGTCACTAAACGCTGCTGGTGTCGAAAATCGATAGCAGCAACGGATATGACGTCAGTTCATATTGAGCGGGTCGTTTTGAAATTTCGCATTGGGCGACGACTTTCTAAGATCTCTACATAAAAGGAAAATATTTTTATGATCATAGACACTAATATACAAAATGCTTCTCGGTGGTGAACGTGATTGTTTTAAAGCAACGAAGTTTGTTGAAAGTGAACAAAGAACAAAATTCTTTTTTGTTCAAATTTTCCTGTTTTTGTATAGGGTGTTCAGTGTCCACAACCAGTTATTTTCAAATTTCAGATTACAAAAACTTTAGTTACAAATAGAACACCTTGTATTTATTTTATTGCAATTTTGTATTTTTAATTCAGGTCGTATTTTTACAGTAGTAGTAACTCAGCGATTGGAAAGAGACTAATGGTATCAAAAATATTCCATCTCGGCACATCCAAGAAATCAATTTGTAATTTACACTTACCTTTAACAAAAATATTATTTTACATTAATACTAGTTAAAATCCTTTAGCATAGAGAATAGACCTAATACACAACGTGAAGTAGGATTTAACGTGTTCATATTCTTATTTTGTAAATTATCAAATTCGTTTTTCAAATAAACTTGCAGCCTATTTTGTCTTTTTCTAACCTTACAAAAAGATCTTGTAAGTTGCTCGGATGGTATCAGGTTGCCGTAAAAATTACGATTTCAAGTTTCTGTAAGCTTCTCATAACACAAATTGCAAAGATTTTCTGTACATTGATAAAGTTAGATTTGATTACAGGCGTGTGCACTTTTTTTTGTAAACCAACATTCAGGCTTTATACACTATGTGCTGCAATTTTGAGTCTGCTCGTATTTTTAAAAAAATATTTTTTAGATATATTCAAGATTTTGCTTTTTGCTAATTTTGTTACCATAAAAATTTTCTCAATCATCGCTAGGGTTGCCAGATTTCTGGGTTTTACCCAGTGTTCGGGTTTTGATGGTACACCTCCGGTCTCCGGGTTTTCTTTGTTGTGGAAAAAAACATTTCCTGATCTCTCATCACGAAGTAGATATTTTCTGCTTGCATACTTTTTTTTTTAAGCATGAATTATACAAACGAGTCGTATCTCGGGTCTGTCATGAAATAGATCTGGTAACCCTAACCATCGTCCAAGGATAATGGTTTACACACTTCATTATAAAATGTCTACTTTTAGTCACCTCACCTCAGCATTATACTGACTGAAAGCATAAATAAAACAAGAAATTCTTTAAAAACACTTTATTTACTTAAAAGAGATACTCTGAATTCGGTTTGATGGTAGATTAAAGAGATTTGTCCAACAAAATCAAAATAAAAAAGCTACTTCTATCACAGATGTACTTTACACATACAATAATCGTTAAATACAACTAGACATCGGAATCGCAAGGGTCAAAACGCCAAATAACAGCCACATTTCACAAAAAAAAACAAATAATCTAATTTAAAATTTCCAAAGATCGTTAAATTTGACAAATTTAGAAGCGACCAAAAAAACTGTATTTTAAACGTAGCGCCCCGTCGGAGCCTCTGGTTACATTCAAACATTGAAATCCTTGCGACCCGAGTGAATTCGCTACATCTCATGTCATGAGAAACATAAATAAAACTATATTTTGTTACACCAAAAAATAAATTAAGTGAAATTGAACTAAACTTGCTTGCGATGCAAGGAATGCATCCGAAGATAAAATACTGAACCTCAGGTTATACGTAGGATATCTTCTAATTTGGAACTAATACGCTGCAACAGAAAGACAAACGTTCCAGCACTCCTCTCCAACAACTAGTCGAATATCGACTAACCTTTATTACTATAACCGTTCGTCTTGAATCCACCGCCGTTACCGAACCTCGTGTGTGTTTTGGGACCTGTATTTTCTCTTCCCTTGTAGCCACCTCCGTAGCCCCATCGGCCCCCTTTGTTGCCGCCGTAATTGCCCACGCGGCTGGCGATTTCGTGCAGTTTTGGATTGACGACCTAGAGGAGACAATTAAATTATATCGGACATCACAATTTCTACTATTATCGTCCTCCCCCGTTTATATCGATGTTTATAAAATATTCATATCCATCATTTCAATTTGAAAGATTAGTCCTGAAATCGTATATTTGTACGAGGGGGAGACGAATGAATATGTTGCCACTTCACGTAATTTTATTGCATTTATAAATTCGAAATAATTTCACAGCTTTTTCCCTGAATTATCGGTTTTTACTGGAATCAAAATAGAAATTTGTCTAATATCAAGCCACAGCCAACTATGGTTCCCGCTTAAAAAACAATTTTAAAAGTGCAAGGAAAAAGTTTTGACGTTTCAGAAAAAAAAAACAAACAAGACGTAAAAAGAACTGTAGAGAAATTTGAGGATGGGATCCAGACAAGATCGTGTGGACACCGAAGGCATATTTCTCAAATTTTTATCTCCCTTCCAAGAGCATTCATGCACTGCCGATGTAACTAAGCAGAGGCATGCCAAATTGGAAGGGTACGGTATGAGGCCAACACCCGACGACTCACCTGATTGGCTTCCTTGAGCACAGACACCAGATCTTTGGCCTGTTTGAAGTTGGAAGGGGTGAAGAAGGCGTAAGATGTACCGGTGGTGTCGGAACGGCCCGTCCTACCTATCCTGTGGATGTAGTCCTCGGAAGAGTTTGGATAATCGTAATTCACCACGTACTTTATCCCGTCCACGTCTAAACAAACCACCATTTTATCAGATGGGGAAATATGAATCCACTTTAAACGGTTAGTCTCATTTTACCAAATAATGAAACATTATTGTTATTATTATTTCTTACTAAGGAATTCTTAACTGATAAAAATTTATAGGCAAAATTTACTTTTAATGTCAAAATTAAAAAGCAAACTTTTGAACACTTTTTACAATAACTTGAATTTAAATCATACGGAAAATTAAAAAGAAGTTTAAATAAGTTAATTTCTGATTTTTCCCTTTATTTAAATGAAACTGTACATTACGTGGAACGTGAGAAATATTTAGTTAGCTATGGAATTTGCATCGTTCGCTTGACAGGCAATTGTTTACGTTACTCGATACTGTCAAAATTCCTTGGCCAACTAGTAAAAAAAAATCAAAGATTTTATCGAACCTACTTCCCTGTCAGTTCAAATTTAATATCGTACCAATGAGAAATCAGCTATACTTCCAGTTATTGTACAAGGTGCCGTGAAAATATAAAAATAATATACTAACCATTTCAATAGGATCACATTCGAGATTTTTACGAAGCTGTGATTGTTCTAACAAATCGATTTATAGCTATAGTAGCAAAAACCTGCCTGTTTCAGTCAAACCTCAAACACGTGTACACTGCAGTTCATCAAAATTAACAAATAGGAAGACTACATTCAGATTACGTCGCGAAAATTACTTTTAAAGACCCGATTTACTTTAACCAAGAATCGACATAAAACCAAAATACAATTTAAAAGGTTGAATCGCTGCAGTTAAAAAACGCAAAACAAACCAAACACGTGCCGTCTTTGTCGTAGTCGAATGTTTATCTTCCGATGGTCTTCCCAGCATCTTAATTGAACCACAGCCTGTTCTGAGGTAGGCAGCAGGCCAGAGGCACCGCAAGAAACAGAATTGCATCCTTTATAAGAACACAACTAAGGCGTATCAATAGCATTTTTATCACTTTTTACGCTCATCCTGCATGTGCCTCTGAAACAGAAAAAAGGACACCCAGACTGATTAAGTGGACTGCTTGTCGCAAATCATATCTTAACATTACAAAGTTCTCTTATAAGAAATAGGAACGGCGAGTGGTACGGAAAGTGCGTTAATAAACGGCAAGATATGACTTCAAACTTTTTAGTTTCATAAAAAATTAATTTTTCAAAAAGCTAACGTTTATTAAAAACACCATAAAGTTAATATATCCGTACAACTCACCACAAAATTTACAAATACAAAAAAAACAACACAAATATGTAAAATATCTTATTAATCATGCTTCTGTAACGTGACTGGAAAAAGGAAAATCTTTAATACGAAAAAGAACCCAAAACTAACCAAACTGTGCGTAATTCAAGCGTCTCCCGTTAAATGAATGTTACACGATACCTTCGGAGTCAGTCATTCAAATGGCGTCGTTTGAGAAAGTCGTAGCGAGCTTGTGTACAAGGATGGACGGCGTATTATGGATGTACTCGCTGAATTATCTGGTCTTTCGCGGAGCTCAGTGCAATGCATTTTAGCCGCAGATTTGAAAAAGAGACGAATTGCGCCACTTGTCGATTTCTGATCAAAAGACAGCTCCTTGCGTTGCTTACCGTGACTTGTCTTTCATCCGAAAAGGGCCCGACAAGTCAAATCAGCCATAAAAACAATGTTCGTATGTGTGTGATTTTTTGGTGAAAAACCACATGACACTGCTTCCTCATCCACCCTACTCACCTGATCTGGCACCCATACAATTTTTTTTCCCCCACAGGTGAAAAGGGAGTTGATAGGGAAACGTTTTGCAGACATTTCAGAGGCGAAAAGAAAATCGAAGGCTGCGCTGCGAGGTATCGGAAAGGACGAGTAAGAAAGGTGTTCCGCGCTGTATTTTTTGAAAATGACATCCAGTTATTTCTGAGTCTCTTCTCGTACATTAAGGAATTTCCATGCTTTTTATTAGGAAATTTACAAGCTAATATAATCCCGGACCTGAGATTCCCTAATACCTTTTAATTTGCCAATTTAATATTTTTCTTGCGACTCAAGAAAACAATGCACAAAAATTAAATTGTAAATTTAGTACCTTCGTGAACGGTATAAAATATAACCAGTAAAAAAACGTTTGTGATAAACTAAAAAAAAAAAAAATTATTTTAAGTTTGAATGAAATTTAATTTTAATTTACTCGTGAGAATTTTGATAGAAAATGTCCAAAAGTATTCAATTTTATCGCTGTTCAGTCTGGAAAATCCTAAAGTATGCTACTAAGCCATTTTCCGTCCAAAGGAGCTACCCCCAGTGGACGCGCACAACTCGTTTGCCTGATCACAAATCCGAGAAGGCCCAGTTTTCAACTTTACGTTAACTAAAAAAAAAAGAACCCCAAGCTCCCTTATTAATAAGCCATTGCGTTAACTAGACATTGAAACACCAGACCATATCGGAATCCCGAAGCGATCACGACCATATCAAATAAAAACTCACCTAATCCCCTAGCGGCGACGTCGGTGGCAACTAAAATAGAAGCCTTTCCGTTCCTAAATTCTCTGAGGACGTAATCTCGCTCCTGCTGGCTCTTGTCGCCGTGCATGCACACCGCGGGCCAACCGAAACGTCTGATCAACCTAGTTATGCCCTCGACTTTCTTCTTTGTTTCTACGAAGATTATTATTTTGGAGCCGGGTTCGCCGTTATTCCCGATCTCTTGCAGGAGATTGCTTAACCTGTAAATTGCCCAGTGTTACACGAGAATATAAAAAGGGTGGATGATGCAAATTATTTGTAACGGTCAGGTCTTCTTAGAGGTTAGGGGTGTGCGATAAGATAATCACGGATTATCATTCCACCGTCTCATCATAAAAAAATAAATTGTAGATGCATATTACCGCCGGTGTAACTCATTAAAAATAGCAATGATTTAGTCATCCTTGACATTTAGAAAGTAGACAATCAATATAAACGGTTGCATTGCAATTGTTTTGTAATGAACCGAATTCAAAGGTGACGTGATTAATCCTTGAATTAACTTGTAACAATTATTTTTTTGTAGTAACTGTAAAGATAAATATAGAACTGATTCCATGACTACAATACATACAATTCCAGCTTACAATTCATCGATAGTGATATATGCGTTGGTGTTAATCTCCACAAAACTTAGTAATTATAAAAATAAAAACATGCTTACTTTGTCTCTTTCTCGTGTTCCTGGCACACATCAACGATTTGAAGGATGTTGTGGTTGGCGGAAAGGTTCAAAGACCCGACGTTGATGTGGATGGGATCGTTCATGAAATCCGCCGATAACTTCTTAACCTCCTTGGGCCAAGTCGCGGACCACATAAGGGTCTGCCGATCCGGCCTGATCTGTCCCAGAATCTTACGGATTTGAGGCTCGAAACCCATGTCCAACATGCGGTCGGCTTCGTCTAAAACTAAATAAGTACAGCGCTCCAGATTGGTAGTCCCTTTTTCTAAGAAGTCGATGAGCCGTCCGGGCGTCGCTATGCATATTTCCACTCCTTTCTCCAAGTCACGGGCCTGTGGTCCTTTGGGAGCGCCGCCGAATATACAAGTGTTACGAATGTAAGACGAGCTTCCAAAATCATTAGCGACTTGTTGGATCTGCTGTGCCAATTCTCTGGTAGGAGCGAGGATGAGAACGATGGGGCCCTCTCCTCTGTTGATTTGCGGCTGGTTATTTATGTGGACGATGGCGGGTAAGGTGTAAGCCAATGTTTTACCAGAGCCTGTTTGGGCGATGCCTACCATATCGTGTCCGCTCATTGCGATGGGCCATCCTTGCGCTTGAATAGCGGTTGGAGCTTCGTAACCTTGATTGTGAATTTCAGACATGACATAGTCGGGAAAACTGGCCTCTGTAAAGTTCTGAATAGGATTGGGAGCATCGCCTTCAACCGTGATTTCTTTCGAATTGCGGAACTGCTGGACTTCATAAGGCGATCTATTCTTCACTGCTGGGTGAGCCAAGTAGAAATCTTTCTTGAAAGGTTGCAAAGTTTTGCGGCCCCACTCCACTGTGCGTAAACCCTGGCCGTTTTGACTGCGGCCATTCCCGAAACGATTTCCTCCGCCGTTTCTAAAACCTCCGGCACTAGTGTTGCTCCTGAAGCCGCCGCTTGTACCGTTTCTGAAGCCTCCTCCCCCTGAACCGTTCTTTTGGCCACCGAACCCACGATTTCCTCCGGAGTAACCATTTTCCCGGTTCCTGAATCCGCCACCATTCTGCTTATTGTAAGACCTGGGAACATTAAATTGCTGCATTGTACTTTGATGAATGCAAACTGCGGCCATCAAAATCAAAAATTTATTTACAAAACCCTTGTTGCTATGAGAACACGATATGTAATTGTCTTGTCATGGGAAAAATAAAATCAATATTGCGTCAGTCTCACCACAAAATCGATATATCCGAGGCGAGGCTACGTAGGATACAAAATGGCGGAAATCGAGTTTAATTAAAATTTACGCCGACTAAAAAACTATTAATTCTCATTCTATCACGCTCAAAATTAATAGAAATATTCAACAATACTTACATGTTCTTTTTCTTTGTTGGAACTTGATAAACCTCTTTGATGGTGTATTAAAATTAAGATGTTAAAAACTGGTGGCTTTTGATAAAGGACAGGGAAGAGAGCGTGTCTGAAATTAAAAACAAAAAAACATACGTATAGCAGAAACATTAGACAAAATTAGATATTTCAAAAGAATTAAATAAGAAAACCTGATAATGATAATATCATGCAACACTACCAACCTCTTCGATGTCCAAAGGGAAAGAGAAGGAGCAAGGAAACACGGAATCGGATTTTCGATTAAATTCTGGAAGGGAAGGGGGTATAACGCATTGCGCAGTACCCATAATGCTTAACGGAAAGGAAGTGACGTATCAGAATATCAGAAATGAGTAAATGCAATACGCCTGCACTGCCTGCAGTCCCCATGACGCCTGCGCTGGGCGTTGCATTTGCTGGATCTTGACTGGCCGAGGTCAAAAGACCACAGTGATCAATCAATACCGGGGATTTACAAAAATTCACCTTGGGTGTTCAGATTACTAGTTTTATCCTCGTTATTCTAACAGCTTTAGAGAGAGGGAGAAGAAAATGGTAGATCTTGATTATTACGGAGTTAATTTCGTTAACTTTGATGTGTGGTTAAGTTCTATTATTGTCTAGAAACAATAAGTAAAATTAACTTTGCTTCGAGGCTCCCTGCATGCACTTTTCTTAATGTGATAAAGGCTGGAGATAGAAGACTGTGTGAGATGTAACGGGTCTAACATACTACAAGGTATTCAGAAGTATTCAGTTAACGGTTTTGCTCATTATTGAAAGCAATTAACTTTTAACATGAAGAAGAAGAAGAAGAAGAAGAACCTGACTCGTAAACCACTAACCCGTAACTGCGGCGACCTGTGACCAGCTCTGCTCTGACCGTCGACCGTGATCACAGATTACCAACCGTGACCGTCTGTGATGGTGAGGGTCTGAGGATATATTTTGTGGTCTGAGGTGACTAGTGGTCACTGGACTGGTTTTTGTTTGTTTGTGCTCAGAGTTTGTGCTGGTTTATGCAATGTCAAAATCAAAAATCTTATGATTTTGATGAAGTTAATAGTGCGTATGTATTGTTTGCGATAATAAATTATACAATTTTAAAATTGTAGAAAAAAAAGATGTCGAAATCCAAGATTAAAGGTAGGTTCAGTACAGTCAATAAATTTATCTAAATTAAGCTTTATATTTTGGTTGAAATTTTAGGTTCTAACTTTAAATAAATTAATCCCAAATTTCTTAATTTTAGAAGAGCAACAGCTCCAACGCTTTAACCTTATAAAGGAACAACAAGAAGAATTCAAAGCAGATATGAAGAATTATAATGTGTTATATGTATTTTCATACAAAGACATAAGGACCAATATTATGAAACAAATTGTTGAATATAAAGAATGGGAACGTAGCAAGATTTGGTATGCAAGGAATAAAATGATTACTGTGCTACTTAAAAATTTGGCATTAGCACATTCGGAGTGGCCTGATTTAACAAAGGTACCGTTCTCATTTATAAAAGGTTTTTCAGTAAACCATTTAATTGTCTTTCAGCTTGCAAGTACTATTAAGGGCCAAATCGGAGTATTGTTCACAAATCGTCCCCAATGGGAAATTAAAGAGTGGTTTAATAAATTTTCAGTATGGGATTATCCCCTACCCGGATTCGAGGTAGACGTAACAATAAAATTGGACAGCGGACCTTTGACACTGTTTCAACCCGAGATGGTACCATATCTGAAGCAAATGGGTATGCGTGTAGCTGACGTAGATGGTAAGACAAGTATATTTCTACCAGTATTTACTATTTTCTCTAAAATGAAGGAGTTATGTGATTAGAGAATTACTCCACATCGTATAATTGTTTTTTATTCAGGAATTGTATTCTTGAAGAGACCTTTTCTGGTATGTAGAGCAGGAACTATATTAAGTAAAAGACAAGTCAATTTATTGCATCTGTTAGGGGAGAAACTGGCGGTATTCCAGTTACATTTAAAAGCTGTTTGGACAAAAGGAGGTGGTTTAGAAATCCTGAATGATGAAGATGAATCTGACGGGGAAAGGATGGATGCTAATTACAACTGAATTATAGTGTGTGGAATATGAAAGAAATTTGAACATGCGCAAGTTTTTTTTTAAAGGTAATATTGTGGTTTACTGGATTTTTATTTTTTGTTCTTAACGTGTAAGCTTTTTTTTCAAACGGTAAATTTAGATTTAACTTTTTAAGTTAAAAATTTGATATTCATTATCAGTTTTAAAGAACATTAAATATTTTTCATTGTTTTTTAAAGGCTTATAGTGTTTAATAAGCAACTTGTATTATATATAATTTTGTGAACAAATAAAACAGAAAGATCCAACATTTAACTGTTTTTATGAAATTCTTCACGACTGACAAATTTATACATTTTACAGTAACATAACTATATACACAGGTGTTGATACAACATCAAAACGGGTCAAAATATACAAAAACGACTACTAATATAGCATCAATTTGCGGTATGTCAACATATAAGGAACGTTAGATAATAAAGTAAAAAAATATACCTTACGAAAATATAAATAAAAGATAGGAATGATACATTCACAGTTTTCAACATATTTACACATCAGGTAAATGGTATAAATATTATCACATCGAATTTGTATGTCTATATAATAAAAAAATATGATATGTCAGTGCAATATGTTGTTTCCACTGTTTTAACAGTGTCCATCCAACATGCTGATCTCCTCTTCTATGGTCAGATGCTCCGAATGTCTTTTCTCCTGTTCTTGGTCCATGCATAGAGTGGTCTCCACCTGAAGGATCAAGACCGTAAATACCAATCAACCACAGCAGTTATTAGGATTAAATTAAATGTCTTATGGGTTAATTCTGCATTTCTCTCATATTTACAGGTTAGTAAATTATGCAATTCGGGAACTATCCCTGGAACGCTCCTAGTTACAGCGGTGCAAATGAACTACTTCAACTTCACTTACACTATCAATTACAGATATAGTTTTTAATATTAATTAGGTTTATTCTCCTATTCCATAAATTAATAAATTAGCTTTTTCGGTAGATAAATTTGTCAAAAACATTTTGTATTTTCCTAACCTCACAAAAAAATCCTGTAAGTTGTTCCGATGGCATCGGGTTAAGTCGTAAAAAATTACGAAAGTCACAGATCTGCTTATATGTTTGTGCAAAATCAACCCATTAGTTTTGTTACAACATTTTTAAGATTTATGAAGTAAATCAAGGATCAAATCTCAAGTGTATTAATATTTGCAGCTTCATTGAACCTCTATGAACAGTGTTTTTAGCTCTTAGTAAATTAAATTTTAATGAGCTGGCGTTTGCAAAGTTACGAAAAATGTCACTTAGACCATTTGACAGTCCAGATGATACCTACTTTATGGTTTGCATATGTCTGATTTTAATTATATCGCCTTTTAATTTTTTCGACTGTTATTTGTTCAACGATTGGTGAATAAAATATAACATTTGCAAAAAATACATGAAAACAGACATTGCACTGACTTTCCTATGTATAGTCTTTCCGATATCAATTGAAGAACCAAGACGTTGACAGTATGTACCAGGTTCGGTCGCTGACGCAGCAATTGGGCATTCAAATATTTGAAAAACTTGTTGCCATATTTATTTAACCATACCCATATACAGGTCTGGTCGAACTAAACATGGAGGTTGAAGAATGCAAGCACGGGCAAACAAAATCTAACACAGCTGGGCAATTGGGTAATAAATCTCAGCTGTTGACAAGTGTTAACAAATTGCCCAGCAGTGCAGTGCAGCAATGTGGAATTTGGTGTAATTCAGGTAATTTTAATTTTTTATAGGCACCATCTATTAATCATATCATAATTGTGAAAGGGAGAAATAATATTATTACATGGCATTTTGGAGACCTTTTGAAACGGAACAAAACGAAATTTACCATCAGTATAATAAAACTGTTTGAGGACATAAATATTTAAAATATGTTGTTGGTCAATTGAACATAATAGAAATTTTCTACACATTATACAACTTATTATAATTTTTTACCTTTAGCAGAAAACTTTTTTAGAGACGCCTATGAAAGTCATTCAATTTTATTGCCGGGCGTTGTTTTACATGTTCAACTAACTTCAGAAAGACTATACTAGAGAATTTTGTGTAAGTTTGGTTGCCTAACTTTGGGATCATTTTAACTCCGTGTTATCAAGATCAAAATTGCATTTCTAGTGTACTCACGCTCAAGTTTGGTACTGACTGCATTGGCTGAATGTGTTTATTGTTGCAGTTGAGGAAATGCAAACCGTTTTGACTAGATTTGCTGTGGGATCGAGACGTTCTCGTTCCGTTACAACAGACATGCTCTTTCCCTTTATCTGAAAAAGAAACAACACTAAGTTTGGTCTCTTCCGATAATTAATTATGATTTTCATGATTCTTCGTCATTTATTTTGCACGTGTTACTCACCCGGAGCGTTGCTGTGCTTGCTTTTGGGGAACATCTCCCATTTGGACTTACTGTTACGATGAACAACACCGTTAGCGTACAACGAGCTACATGACATAGTCGTGCATACCGATTGCCTCCCCACTGCTGATCTGGAAAAAGTCATTGAAGGAAATGCAGAAGTGCAATGAATTTAATTAACACGAGAATAGTTCACGCTTAAGAAGTCATTTACCTCAGGTATTTCTCACGGCAAGGAAAACAAGTGCTGAAACACTTATGAGTCGCCAGATAAGTCAGTACGGAATAAATGTGGGGTTTCAACTCCGTCTTTACCTCGCCGTTCAGGAAGCAGTACAGTACGGCAACAAAGAATCCCTGTAAAGTTTGAAGTTTAAATGCTTTTAACGAAACTCGAACATGGTTAATTTTACTTGAAAGCTGCCAAATAACGTGTCGCACACCAACCAGAGATCCGTTTGTCCAATAAAGAAAAACACTAAGAAAACAGCGTAGTGTACTCCAAACAGCGGAACCAGTACTAGAGTCGATTTGGCCCACTTCTGATATCTTCGGGAGTCTTCGTTTATTGGAGACCTCAATTTCGTGTACAGCACTATTGAAATTATTACGAATAGAACCAAATTAATCTGAAAAGTACATGTTCGAGGATGCGTAATCGATGAATTATTATCAATCTTACCAAAACTGATATTATCGTGGGTATAGCAATAATCATGTAGACCAAAAGATTGTCGTTGGTAGTCCAGCAAAGGGTATCTTCGATCAGTAGCCTGGCCACTACCCAAGGTATTATAACCAATAACGGTAAACCTAAAACATATCAGTTTAACAATAAAATAGCGGTAACACGTTAAGAATTAACAAGGTTTACCCCATCCAAATATTATGTAATGCACCAAATTCTTGCTGGAATCTGCAAATAGAGCTCTGAATATCAAGTTATTCAGGTATAACCCTTCCATTAAAATCCACGAGTAGTTAGCTGTAGTAAAGTACTGAACAAGTGAGGAAAGTAGTTTGCATTCGTAGTTATTTGTCTGTAAAAACGGGGAGGTGATAAATGTTGAGTTCTAAGTTGAATTGTTTATATTTTACCTCTACATCGGTTTTGAAGTAAAGCTCCCCATTCTTTATTATGAAGTCGTTCCAAAAACCCACTCCTCCGATAAAAAGTACGTCTTTTAAAATGTAGAAGAACGCTCTCAAGATAAACGAGGCGAACAGATTCATGTGAAGTATATTTCTAGCGCAGTGTAACTTCCTGGAATTGGAATTGTAATTTATTTATAAAGTAACAAAAGAAAAAATAAAACTTACTTGATGAGGAACATTATGCAGAATGCGATGATGAGAGATATGAGGGACACAGCATATCCTGTTTGGGATATGATTTTTAATGCTGGGAAAATAGCCTGAAACATGAAGTATTTAAAGTTAATAAAAATAAAATAAATAGCTCTTAGAAAGTTTACCGCAGAGTTTTGGGATATTTCTGATTTTCTGAGATTATTCATGAAAATTGTTGTGGTGGAAGTTCCATTCATGCAAGCTGTATAATTTGCCCAAGGTTCATGGGTACTGTCACTGATGAACCAAGTTCCATTCTCTGTACATTTTCTTGTAGCGATCTCCGTCTGAAATAAATTGAAATATGTCCCGTTAAAATTGAGTCAAAAAAAGTTGAGGTGGTAGTCCAGTTTGTTAAGTAATGTACATACAAACACTACAAACTATGACATACCATTGGTTTATTCCAGGACCCAATCAAAACCCTTAGCATTTTAAGTAGTTGTGAAAGAAACAGTCAATGACAATTTTATTTTGTTTTTCCCATGTTAATCGCTATCAATTTTTTTTTCCAACATACAACCCTTCATACAGCAAACTGTTTATCTGGTTGCATAACACGTCGCTTATCTATCCAAGAGAGTGATCAAAATTCAAAACTTACAGTTCTGAATCCTGTGACTAGTGATGGACATCCCATTTCTGCAAGCGTGTCTGCTGGGGTGTACGGCCAGCATAAAATGGTATCCCAGAAGGGAGAGCACATAAAACCTGGAAAAACAAGAACAGTTTTAATGAGGCGCATTTATTTTTGTATGAAATCATTATTTGACTGGTAATTTAGAAAAATATAAAAGTTGTCATGTTAGACTAAAGGATGGTGCGGATTTCTGTTGTCCATATTAGAACGAAGTTTATTATTGTCTAATAAAAAACATATGTAAACTTTTATTACATAATAATAAATAAAATATAGAGGATTTAGCGAGGACAACCCAAGACAAGAGACCCGCCCGATTTGTCCAGCATAAACTAAACATCGATTTAGGCCTTCGTAATCGGCGTGTGTCCCAAATTGCGCCATAAACGGCGATAATTTGGAATTGTATTTCGTCTGTTGGCATTTTACGCACTACCTCGCATTAATTTAACACCCCTTATTTATTTTATGCGTTTCGGCATTATCTTGACCATCGCCAGGTCATGAACGGCCGTCCCATTCGGGTTTACTGGCAAATTAATTCAGTTGGATACGGTCGATTTGATAGATACTACCAATAAAGTAAGGGGCTGTCCAAAGATAGCTTTGATTGTGAATAAAATTCAAGTTGGAGGAACAAGAAGATTACACTGCAAGTAACATATTATTATATAATTCTGGAACCATTACAGGGATGCAAATGAACTACTGCAACTTTACTGCACTGAATTATCTGTTGAGTATGACTTTAAATATTACTTTGTTCGCCTACAAACACTGTTTTTTTGATATATAAAATGAGAGGAGACATATCGAAAAGCAGAATTGCAAATTCTCTAAGCTTAAAGCAAGTTACTTTGCTTACAACTGTGTGCAAAATACTCAAAATAATTAAATCATTTTTTACGAAATGATGCCCTTTACAGACTTTTCTCAACTCCATGGGTTTCATTCCGATAAACATTAACCAATTTTAATACAAATACCTGTCTTTTCGGTAATAATATATCCGTCGAAGACTTTTCTTGGGATAATTAACGTGACATACTTGAAAAAAATATGATGGATTCTCTTAATTATAACTTAAGTCATCACATCACTCTCGCCCAGTTAATAGATATTACTCGAGTAAACTTTGTCGCAATCTTGTAAAAAGTCCATTAGCAGAGTAGCCCTTAGTGTTTCCTAACAGAAATTACGGGCTATAGAGTTGGTAGTGAATCAATATTCTTGTGTCTATACGGACGAGAACTTTGAAATAAAGAAGATGATAATTTATGGGTATTAGAGAGCTCTTTTTCCCCTATAAACAAATGAGCTGTTGATAAGCAAGTCAAACATAGTAAATACCAAGATGTGATATTTTTTTGCCTGGTTAATGTTTTTATAATTATGATTTTGTTATAAGTCACTTTAGAAATATTATGGAGACTGAAAAACTTGACAAAGGTAAGTTTGAAGTTCAATTTGCCATTTTGTTATTGCTAACATGATTTTCAACAAGCAAATAGCAATATTTACATGTCAGTTCCTAGTAATTCCATATTTGAACATTGCTAAAACAGTTTTTCGAAATATCTTTACAAATTTTGATTCCTAAATTGTTGGTGATGTTGCAGCAATTTAATTTTGATTAGCGGGTGACTTACTTTGAGACGTCTCGTTGTAGAAAGGGTTCTGGTTCTTGATTGTAACATTATACCCATAGGCTCTAATGCAACTTTCTTCTGCTGCTTTCTGTAGCCTGGTCTGGGTGTCGATGGCTTCTTGGACGTGGTTGTTAGGCATGGTGGACTTATCTGAAAAGATATTGTTTTTTTTTAATTCAATTATGACTTTTCATGTCTCCACCTTATACCTTTAGGTATTTGCTGGTGTAATTATATGTATCTAGCGCCGTTAAAAAAAATCTTTTATTTAGTATTAATTTAGAGACACCTAGCGGAGGATCTATGACCTACTCTATGCTTTAGTACGGTCACATTATAACTACGATGAATCTTTCGTACTGATAAAAAAATTTGCGTCGACTTACCCAATGCACTGTTTTTAACGGAACTGATTGCAAACCACCAGACTTAATACCGCACAGAAGAATGTGAAATACCACCAAAGTGATACGAGATTGACAGTGGTATTATTACTTAATTTCCATTATCATTTTTTTTTGGTTTTTCGTTTCCTGTCCGCGATATAAACAATTGCGTGTCGACAAGTCATCAGCTTAATTTCAATAAATTAAATACTGGTCGTAATCAAACTGGCGTCGCATAGCGTACATTTAAATAGGAAATTGTTATTATCGTTATAAAACTATTTACGGACAGAGCGCAAGGACAGGAACGGGACACTAATTTTGGTAAATGAGGAATTTGAGTCTGGCCTTAGATCGTCTCTAGATTTTTTTACATTTTTCCTAAGTAGATAGTCCATGAAAAATTCTCAATATATTAAACAATTAAAATCGACCTATAGTCATGTAGTAAAATGGGGGAACAAGATGATTTCTTTGTAGCAGCTGTTTTTTATGTGATTAGTCTTTGTCAAGGGTGATAATAGAACAGCAAGAATACAAGATATTTACAGATATAGGAATTTCAAAAAGCAACATATACGCGTAGATCAGGACGGATCTGTTTTGAGGTGGATGTGAGAGGGGGCAAGCAAATTTTTTTTGGATTACCTTCAGTATAACTCACATAATAAAAGTGTAGATTCTTAGATCTGGTCGAGGTCCGGAACTTTTTCAAAATTGCAAAAATGTTTAAAAAATTTAAAAAAACACCTATTTTATCGGAGTTTTTTACTTATATTTTGGAACCTATGCATTTTGGAGGAATATTTAAGAGGAAAAAAAGTTTTAGAATTGAATTTTGCACAATATACTGTAAGTTAAAAATGACTAAATTTATTACCGATGTTGCAAAATAGCAATAATTGATGAAAAAAGGCAAAATAATAAAGTATTTTAGATAATTTAAAAAATATATTTTAATTGCTCCGAGGGTATTCTAATTTTGGTAAAAAAAACTTTGAAGTCTAATAAAACAACACATCAAATTTCATTAAAATCGGTTGTATAGTTTATGCAAAATAATTCTTTCAAAAAAATTTTGAAAAAAAATTTTGAATTTTCAAATAAAGCCTCAAATAAAGCATGTAGATACTTGAAAATTTTTTCACATAGAAAAGACCCGTCAACCTTTCAAATGGCTTTTGAAAAATTGAAATCGGTTGATTGGGACGGCCACAGTAAATTTTTAAAGTTAACACACTTTTTTTTATTTTTAAACAATTAGATTACATTTGTCAATTTGCTATTTAGTTTTTTTCAAAAATTATAATTTTAAAGTACTCGGAAAGACGCTTCTTTAAAAAAAAAGTTAAATTCCGTTTATTGGTTCTCGAGATATAAGCGGTCAAAGTTTATCGGCATTTACCGTTAATTTACAAATTTAGCAATAATCTTTGATCCAGTGGCTTCATTTTTCCGAGTTCTAAGCTGGAAAAAATTTTTATATCCATAAATTATCGGCAACATAGATAAATCAGCGGAAAAGCTGTCGCTCGCACACGCGAAAAGTGACTCAAAACACGAAAAGTGGGGGAAGGGGCTTTCGCTCTGAGACTGAATTCGCATTTAAAATGCGAAGGTACGAAAAAAATTGCATTATCTCGGCTCGTAATGAACCAATTTAGATCTTTTTCTTTAGTCCGATGTCTCGCGAGCCAAGGAATTCGAATATCGTAATGCCAACTGTCCAATTTGCACATATTTTGTTATAAACAAAGTTTATTATTTATGCATTAAATATACTGTATATTTTACCCTGTGCTATTGCATTTTTTCAATGAAAAAATTTGTTTACGTATATATTTCAACACAATACAGATAAAATTAAGAAAAAATAGTACTGAAAAAACTGAATTGCAAATTGTTAAATGTAGTCTAATTGTTTAAAATTAAAAAAAGAGCGTTAACTTTAAAAATTTACTGTGGCCGTCCTAATCAACCGATTTCAATTTTTCAAAAACCATTTGAAAGGTTGAGCGGTCTTTTCTATGTGAAAAAATTTTCAAGTATCTAGTTGCTTTATTTGAGGCTGTACAACATTTTGAAGATTGAAAAATTTTTTCAAAAAATTATTTTGCGAAAATTAACCGATTTTAATGAAATTTGGTGTGTTACTTTACTATACTCAAGTTTTTTTTACCTAAATTAGAATGCCCTCGGAGCAATTAAATTTTTTTAAAAAAATTATCCAAAAAACTTGATTATTTTGCCTGTTTTTTATCAATTATTGCTATTTTGCAACATCGGTAATAAATTTAAACATTTTTAACTTACAGTATATTGTGCAAAATTCAATTCTAAAACTTTTTTCCTCTTCAATATTCTTCCAAAATGCATAGACTCCAAGATATAAGTAAAAAACTCAGAATAAAATAGGGATTTTTAAAAATTTCTTAAACATTTCTGCAATTTCAAAAATATTCCGGACCTCGCCCAGATCTAGGGATCTACACTTTTATTATGTGAGTTGTACTGAAGATATTTCAGCAAAAATTAGCCACATCAAAAAAGTGATATATTTTGACAGATCCGCCCTGGTCTACAATAATTGATTGATAGTCGGTTTAGAGTTATTGAGACTTCGAAAGATATATCGTTCTTTTCTTCAAGATAAATTCTGAAACTGAGAGTTAAGTCTTCTGTATGTCTTAGATTTTTCCAATTCTAGATAGTTTCAAGTCCTCGTCTAACAATGAGTGCAATCTATCTCGATTTTCCGGGATTTCCATTGCTTTTCTGTGAAGTCTTGTCTAAAATCTTTCAACCCTGTACCGTTGACGATATAACTACACAGACGGAGAGTGTCGTATATATTATCGTGAAAATGACGAGGAAATTCGATTATAGTCTCCCAACTTACCTCCCATCCATAATAACCAATTTACAAAGCACTAGGTACAGCGGCAGTGCAAGACCTCATTAATATGTTACGGGTTGATAAAAATATGTAAGGAATTTTTGGAAAAGTACCACGAAATAAAACGTTTTCACTGAACTTATACTTTCAACATTATGGCAATAGGCATTATATCTATCCAGATAATCTTCTTAAATTAAGTATGTGATAAGGAATTTAAATATTAGATTAGACATGGATATAGCATATCAAGATATACTTAAATGTAGTGATACGATCTTTAAAATTGTAAATAAAAAGAAAACTATACGAAGGCTAAATAGCTTTCATACGTGTCTCAATTAAGAGAATGTAGTTCTATAATTCGACAGACTTCATTAGATGTCAGTCACTGGTAAATATACTGAAAGAGATACAAACCGAGAAGAGGGACGGAAACTAATAATTTATACATTAGATATTTTCCTTTGCACCGTCGAAGCCCAGATTTTTCCAATATTTGTTTAGGGTCGCCTCCTTAGCCATTATATAGAATCAGATATAGTCTTTATTAACTCTTCAGGCAAGTATCATCGATATTGATGTGCTTCGCTTGCAGCGGGAGTAGCTTATTATTAAGCGAAAAGCAAATACCAAGCTTGGAATTTAATAGCCTGAGAAAAGAGTTTAATATATAGGGTGGCCAAATGAAAACGAAACAGAGCCATTTTCAGAAACTGCGTCAAAATTGTAGAAAAACGCTCAGACCCGTCGATTTTAGATTAAAGGGGGACATTCTTTGCTCGTATTTTTGACTCCGCCACTTGCACCCCCAAGCAAGGGTAAGCATCACCCCAAAATATTTAAATGGCATTGGGGGTTGAGTAATATTTCTTTTGAAAGCTCTTACAATTCTCTTTACAACAGACTTTTAAATTTTATAATTCCGCCCAATACTTATTAAGAATTTTGATTTTAAAGTTGAAACTTATGTACAAACAATTAGTAACGGTAAAAATGTCAGTCATTCGAGTTAAGTACGCCAATGGTATAAATTTAGTATTTCTTGCGTTACATTGGTTTTTGGCGATTTGTTATCACTTTCGTAAAAAAAAACACAATTGTAAAAAACAGAAATGAATGCTATACACACACAATGAACGTAAAATTAGTGGATTCCAAATTATTTTCTAGTATTATTTGGAAGCGTTGGTTGGTAGTTTATTTAATTGTGTTTTTGAAAATTAAACACTATGGTTTATTCCATTGCGGAAAGGGTAGATATCATTTCGCTTTACTTTATGAACAATAAATGTGCGAATAGAACAGCTCAGCTATTTAATGAACAACATCAAGATCGACATGTCAGGAGGAAGTATGTTCTAGAGTTAGTAAAAAAATTTCAAGAGACAGGGAACGTAGCCAATAAAAAACGAGAAATTGAAAAACCTATAGTTAATGAAGCTAGTGAAGTTGCAGTTTTGGGACAAGTTCATCTTGATCCTACATTAAGTACGAGGCAGCTGGCATCTGTGTCTGGGATCAATCGAACTAGCATACAAACCATTTTGAAGAAGAATAAACTCCATCTATACAAAATACATTTAGTCCAGAAACATCATGAGGATGATTATGACCGCCGTTTGCAATTTTGCGAAATAATGAGTGAGCGAGCAGGGAATGATCCATAGTTCCTTTTTAACAACTGTTTTTCTGATGAATCCAGTTTTTTTCTTGAACGGGACGGTAAATCGTCACAATTGTCGCTATTGGTCCGATTCAAACCCAAGAGTTTTTCACGAGGTGCATACACAGCAACCGGTGTATGGGCTGAAATTTTAGGTGACCGGCTGGTGGGTCTTTTTTTTCTACCTGGTAATTTGACTGGCCAAATGTATTTGAAATTACTGGAAGACGCTATTGACCCTGCCTTGACTGATATTATTGAAAATGTTCCAGAGTATGATGAAGATCATTTGACTTTTCAACAGGACGGTGCTCTTCCGCATTATGCGTTAATTGTCCGTCAGTATTTGGATCAACGTTTTCTACGGAATTGGATTGGGAGAAGAGACAGCATCGAATTGCCACCACGATCACCGGATTTATCGCCCTTTGATTTTTTTTGTGGGGATACCTAAAAAGTAAAATCTATAAAACACAGCCAGCGTCGCTGGAAGATTGCGTCAAAGAATCATAGACGAATGCCGTCGAATCACTCCGGAAATGCTTCGGAATGTGCGAGAACGTTTCGAACAAAATCTTTATTCTTGTATGGAAGCGGGCGGTCATCAGTTTGAACATTTAATCAACTAAGTAGTAAGTAAGTAACTAAACATAATTTAAATTTTAAAATGTAAATTTTTTTCAAAGTATTGGGCGGAATTTAAAGTCTGCTGTGAAGAGAATTGTAAGAGCTTTCAAAAGAAATATTACTCAACCCCCAATGCCATTTAAATATTTTGGGGTGATGCTTACCCTTACTTGGGGGTACCAGCAAATACTGTCCCCCTTTAATCTAAAATCGACGGGTCTGAGCGTTTTTCTACAATCTTGACGCAGTTCCTGAAAATGGCTCTGTTTCGTTTTCATTTGGCCACCCTGTATGTTGAAGGCTGCTTATTATTAAGCGAAAATTAAACATGAAGTCTGGAATTTAATAAGAAATCTAATAAGATAAGAAAATGACAGCAGAATTAAAGTGGCAGTGTGTTTTTATCCGCTTACCATCTCGCCATATCATACCTGGTGTGAAGTCACCTAGCAGTAGCATATTTTCACATGCATTTGTAATGAACAGAGGAGGCTAGCCGTTGTTCATTGTTTAATATTTTGTTTGTTGTTTATTTTGAATAAGTTTAATATGTTTAGCACCGGTTTGCTGTTGAAGTAGCTGAAACACACCGTATTTTGTTTAGAATTAATTAATTGCTCAAAAATGTATGTAGGTATGTAGGTAATAATTAGGGATTTTGCCCAAGACTGGCAGTTCATTGCGGTACTTTATCAAAGTCTAAGGACTTTATTAACATACACTTTGTTCAATTATCTCTTATCTACAGCCAGTTTGTTTCATACTCAAAGTTGGTGTATTTACTACATTTGTCTTATCTCGTATCAAGGTATTCCTATCGATGTGTTAAGTAGATCGAACTCTCCTAAGTTGTCATTCCACAGATGAGGTAACAACAAACAACTTAGTTAATTGTGGGCCACACAAGTGTTTACACGATCTATTTTCCGATTAAAATCCACGAAATAACCTGTCCTTGTATCACAAACTAATTACTTAAGTAATGAATGGGATGTTTCTGGGAAATTATTAATTTCTCCGCAGGTTATCATGATAACGGGTCTGTTTGGCGATTAAATTGATTGTTTCTCAAATGAAAACAAGTGCGATTATTTTTATACGCCTACTCTTACATTTTCTAATGGAAAAGTAAGGAATTTGTACGCAATTACGTGTAGAAACCGCCTCGCTAAGAGAATAAAGTGAATCTTTCAATATTTGTGATGAAATTACTCATGTTTTGGACTAAAAGGAGTATTTTTTGCAGTTTGCCAGTAACGTTAATGATAGCCTCATAGGGAAAATGCGCTTTTAAACAGTCATTGCAAGTGACAGGAAAATTGCAAGCTTCTATCACTAGCTAATAGCGAAGGGAATTCCGACAAATGCTCGTTACTAAAAGATTTTTATTGTATCTCTGGTTGTTTTCGTCTACATAAAACTTACAACAATTATGTTTATGAGCAAAAAGTATATATCTCGGAAAGCGGCACTAATAAGTTTGCTTCTGAGATAGCTCCGCCTACAAATGCATATTAAACTCGACAAGGGAAAGCTCCAATCAAAAATCGATGAGCTCACGTCTTATTCCTTTTAGTTGAACGCTTTCATTCTCAACCTCGCGCAGCTCTGTCTGAGCCAGAAACGTAAACTTATATCTTGTTTTTGATAAGTACAAATAAAAAAACTGTTCTATTATCGTGCATGCTAAATTAGAAGCTTGCTATTTCTGTATATATTTAATTCATTACTATAAATAGACAGTGATACTCGTACCGATATCATTTGTGAATATACTGATGGCATTTATAAAAAAGTAAAACCGATAAAGTTTGTTGATATAAAGATACATTTATAAATATTGGTGGCATTGAATTTTTTACTAGGTATCTGCAATAATAATAATAACTGATAATGATTGATAATAGAAACATGTGCACAACAGGAAAACAATGACAGAAAAAAAACACTGTGTTAACTTGATATTTTCTGAGGCATAATTTGAGGCATTTCGTCTTGCTTTTAAAGGTTTATTAATTTTACGGACAAATCAACAATAACTCGTAGATCTTCCCCGTGTTTTTTTAACCAACTGTATTTACATTCACTAGAAATTTTAAGTAACTAAATACAAGACAATAATATTTTGCTATTTCAGTTTATTTGCAGTGCTGCTCGAGATACTGTCTTAGACGGGTCAATTTTTGTATTATTTATTTTATGGACTACCGAGAGAGTTGCACTAACCAAATTTGGACAGGACATAGCTAATACATTGCGAAACATCGCCTTACTGTTAAAAATGTTGTCACCGCCGTTCTTGGTGGTGAAAATTCGAAATAAATAGAATTATTCAATTTTCGTGGCTGGAAACATACATAGGTATTGAATTTTCGAAACCGAGAGAATTGTACTAACCAAATTTGGACAGAACATAGCTAATAGACTGCGAAACATAGCCTTGCTGTTTAAAATGTCACCGCCGTTTCTGGAGGTGAAAATTCAAAGGAGGCGTAAATTTTCGTGGCTGAATACATATGTAGAGTTTACAGCACATAAATTTGATTTTTTTTAACGCTTTTAAATGGCCCCAACCACGATACTTTGGTCCTCCGCCTACAAGCCTGTAGGTAGTTTGTATTTTAATTTTATGAATTTTTTCAAAGTTGTCTATCGTGTAGGTACTTAGTTTTATCAAAAACATGGATATATTTGCAAAACCAGCGGTCAAAGAGAGTTCACTGTTTTTTGTATGTAAACATCAAAATATTAATCCAAGATTCTGATCTGGTGATTTATGCTTGCTGATAAGTAACTAATTAGGTTACATCATTATTACTTAATTTAATTAACATTATGTAAAAACATTTTATGTAATATAAACAATTCGTAGATTATAAAAAATCTGTGAACAATATATCTTCTGGAAGATGCTTAAAAAAAGGCAAAGCCACTTTCTCTACAATAATTCAACAATCACCCTCCTTAGTCGCCAGACCTGGCTCTTTGCGAGTTTTACTTATTTCCGAAATTATAATCAGTGCTGAGAGGACTGTTTTCAGGCTATTTCAGGCAAATTCATCACAGACTTACGTGAATGAAAAATGTCAAATTTAAGATTTCTTAATTGAAACAAAAAAACTTTTGCATTAAGCTCCTTATCAAAAAAGGTATTTTTATCTGTCGTTGCAAAATATAGGTAGGTACTATTTTTATTATCTTCACATTTGAAGGTTACGGAAATTTTGTACAAATTTTTCCCCTATTTACTTGTCAGATAGGTACTGTTGATAGTTTTGTATACAGAGCTGTCACATTTTTTTTACGTACCTTGTTTTTTATATAATAATTACAAATACTAAATAGAAAATTTCACTGAATCAACTGATAGTTTTTCATTTAGTGTTTTTTGAAATAAAAAGAGTAATTTGTCTTATTAGATGATTCAAATATGACTGTCTATAATAACTAAGTTGTATTACAATATATTTTTATTATAGAAAAACGATAATCGTAAATTAAAAGACGCAAATCATATTTTCAAGGAGTTATTTGACATATCTCGTCTACAATGAAGCGAATGTGGACCTTACCTGTTAACAAGTACTTTTAAAACTCAAGTCCTTTCACACTAGACACATAAAAGTCACAACTTTCGTCCTCACCAACAATCATCAGCACACACAGTTCCGATCCGCTAGCCGACGAACTTAATTTACTACACTCGGCCGTTGTAAATCCGTACAGTTGTATTAAAAAATGATTGGAAGTACACTTCTGATACTATTTATTTTGTTTTATCTGTGATAACAGCCTTACTTGTCGACATTCTGGAGATCGTGCGGGGAGAATTATAAAACCGCGAGGATATTGAACGAAGCGTAAACTATTAACCGGCGTTTCCGTTTGGTCCTTATTGTGTTCTCATTAGTCGGAAATTTTATTTAATTTACGTCTAACACGTGTTGATCAGGCATGGAGAGTGCAGTCTTATCCTGCGACCACCAAAAATGATACGTTTCAAAGTCAAGCCGAGAGGTTTTGGAGCTCAGGAAACGATAAAAACAACAGAACATGAACCAGGGTTCACTATCGTTCACACGACAGGGGTTTGTTGACGGATCGACAGACTTGAGTTACGCACAATTAAAAACATTACGGTTATCATATTTTCGCATAAAATAAGGTGGTGTTTGAATGAAGTTTATAAAATGCCGGAAACGCAGTAGAATCCTTTCGTAATAAAACACTAAACTCTTAAGTTCTACCCCGTCTAAAATTGATGGTGACCGAGCGCGTGAATGCATGCTTAACTAACTAAATAAAAAAATGGCTATTACTCTTCCTTCTAATCAAAACAATTCTTTAACAATTTTTGTCGGTTGTAACATATTTCGGGGTCCGGATCGTCGACCTTTATCTCGCGGTGTATCTATACCTAATCTAATATACAGGATGTCCTGAAATTGTTCTGCGATATTTCAGCAATCGACGATCGAAATAGACCAAAAAAGTTTAAATACAGTCTTACCCTAAAGGAGGCACATAAAGAACTTCTTAGACATAAATAATTTATATTTTTTATGCTGCATAAAACTTGCTGCGTCGTATTTTTTTAAATTATGGTTGTGGTAGGTATTTATCTGAATTATATTATTATCACCAGTAATTCGTAATCTGTTTTATTGTTTTATTGAGTAGCCTTAGTGTTCAGGATGATGTAACTTTAAAAGCAATTTCATCAAGTCAATACTTTGTATTAATTTACATCCATGTTTTTTTAATGCATGTAAATATAACTAGTAGCGTTATTATGTAAAATAATAATAAAATAAGGCATATTAAAGCCTTACAGGTACTTCATAGCATATCTTATTAATTAATTAGAGTTATAACCAATCAATTGTTTAACTCTATGGCCAAATGTTTTAGGAATAAAAAATCTCCAAAAAGCTCCCGTCTTATTAACTGCATGACATTCCACTATTTTTAAGCGGTTGCATCGTAGAATTTTCGCCGCATTTTTCGGTCAAAAGCTCGATATTAATCTAGTGATTCAGTAAAAGCGAGTTCACTGCTACTACGACTAACAAATTAAATCGTATATCATCCAGGAAGGGTGCGTAGAGTTGTTTCAAAATCTTATGAGCTTTGACCTTGATATGCGCAGAAACATAATTCCGACCGTCGCCTAAATTATTCTACGTCCTAAAAACATTACATCTATTATTCACAGTCTATCTCGAGCTCTCGTAGCGTAAACAAGCCTTTGCTCCGATTAAAATATCATAATAAAATGCTCTATTCTTTATTATTTTAATTTAAGCAATAAAAATATATATAACAAACGTTCGCCAGTTAACTTTATTGATGCCCGAGCGCCTTAGTTCAATTCTGGTTGTAATGAGGTGGTCTAATTCTGAGTCAACGTTTTCACAACGTGCTTATTAGAAGAATTATGTGGATACGCCTTTCGCGCATTTCGCGGCTCGTGAGATTTTGAAACTACTCTACCTATGTGTCAAAAACAAGTCGGTATCGCGACTATGTAAAAAGCGGTGATAAGGTTATTGTCCTTTTTATTACTCGTGAAAGCTTGCATTTAACGCGCTTATCTGAATTAACCATCTACGCTGAGCTTTGGGGAGCTAGCTTTGCTGGAAATGATTATTTAAAACTTCGAGGTTGGGGGAAATGTAATTACAGATTAATTTTGTTGACGTTTGGAACTTTCAACCACACATTTGAATTCGTTGTTGAAAATTATCTTCCACGTCAGCAATCACCTTCATTTCATATGTTTTCATATATTTGGTCCTACGTGCCCTTTGTATGTACAGAGTGGGCGAAATTCAAAACTTTTTTGAGAGGGGGTTTCTTCTGTTTCCCGAAAATAAAGGAAAAAACAGTTTTGGGCCGGTAACATCCAAACCACTTTTTTTCTATATCCTATTGCCTAATATCTGACTTGAACTAGAGATTTTTAAATAAAAAACGTTAAAAAATCAATCCACAGGACGAGAGCAAGCACCGTGCAAATATTCACACTGAACTTGATCTAGGTACTGCATAAATAGTTGATCAGTTGATTAACTGGGACTATGCAGGGTCAGCTTAAGTTTCGCGTAATAATTATTGATTCATTTTCTGGACCATGTGACACCTTAGACCACAGGTGGTTTTATAAAAAATGTTTTATTTTTATGTGCACTCCTTCCATTGAAGAAAGCACTTATTTCATAAACACCCTGTAGATACCAACTGTGTTCATTCTTATCGATTATATTAATCATTAAAGTCTGAATATCTCTTCGGAAATGAATAAAAAATGAAGGCAGTTGGAAAGTTCGGTAATTTTCGACTGCAGAAATAAAATTTTCCAAGCATCCAGTAGTAAAGTATATTAAAATTTTCGTCCCCTCCTTCTTAGGAAAAAGGGTGATTATCGAATCAAAGGACTTCGTGCTTCTCAAAAGGAAGTTAATGAAAAAGTCGACGATTGGGGAATTGTTACAAAGCCGGAGATTTTCGGCACTAATCGCGATTTATCCACTTACTTTCGAGAACTTGGGTTAAATAATCCCAAATTACGCACAGTTTAAGGCTTAATACCCGGTTGAGAGACAAATCTTGAGATATTGTTGGCGATTATCTCCTTGAGTCTTTAATTTAATTTTTATGAAGGGGCCAGGGCAAGAATTGGAAAAGGGTTCGTAGCGATATACCGGGCGTTTCAAGATAAAATGGCTGGTGATTATACAGGGTGTGGCGTGTATAATCTATAAAAATTAAACTACAGCTTCCTAACGATATTTGTAATAGCAATGAAAAAGTTCTATTTTTGCATTTTTTTTTCGCAAATTAAAGCTCAATTATGGATTAAAATATTTTCTCTAGAACGGCCCTGTCCGTGTGCTGTACGATGAGTTATGTGCTGTAGACCAGCCGCGTAAACAAATCGTCGTTGAGAGATAGAAAGATACTTCTCAAATTTGGGGAATTTTTCAATGCAAAAGTACAAACTAAGAAACATAGATATTTAAAAAAAAACTGATATTTTCTTATTATTATAATTAATAGTAATTACTATCTTAAATGCATTGTTGTTACTGCAAGAATTCGCAAACAAAACCACATCCGTTGCCAATTGCGTGCACTAAACAAACTCCATTAAAATATGCAACAAAATGAAATAAAACTTACCGTTTCTACAGAAAATGTTAAAATTGATTCCCATTAAAGCGGATACAGGCATGGCACCGACGCACCCAATTTTTGAGAATATTTTCTCAAATTCCAGGGTTTCGCAATTCTCCAACCGTAGCAATTGGAGTATTGTAAACCAATGACTTCAAGTTACTCCAAAGATAAGAGTTCATTGGAGGTGGCCACGGTACAGGACCAAAGCGTCCATTCCATCGCGGAGGAAACATTTCATTCAAAAGTGTCGTTACTTTTCGAGTACTGTGTGGAGGAGCCCCATCTTGAAGATAAAACATGCGTGCCCGAAATTGTAATGCCACATCGTCAAATAATTCAGGCAACCGGTTTTCCAAAAAGTCAGCAAATGTTGGTGCATTTAGTCGTCCTTCAAAGAAATAGGGACCCACAAGTATATCGCCTATTATGCCAGCCCAAACATTTACCGAGAACCGATGTTGAAAATGAGTTTCCCTAATCGCATCACAATTCTCATCGGCCCATATATGCATATTATGGAAATTCACTTCATCACGGGTAAATGTCGCCTCATCTGTTACACAAACATAAGCAGGAAAGTCTACTTGATTAGCACATTGCCGTAAAAACCCAATCCGAGGGTAAAATCTGTTGAACTGGTTGCAGATGATAGGGGTGCAACAGCTGGCGCTTTAAGATGCGATGTACGGTACGAGATGAGGTTCCTACTTACATTACGAATCCTCGAGTACTAATTGTGGGGTCTTCGTCAATATTTTCTAACACTGTATCAATATTATGGTTCACTTGCTGATCACATCCTTCTCCTCGAGGAATAACACTTCCTGTATCTCGCAGCCGCTGAACGCACTGTAGGATTGTATTTGCACATGGGGGGTGACGTTGTGGCCATCGTTCCCGGTACAATCTAGTCGCCGCGAGCGCATTTTCTCCGTCTGCACCATACACTAACACCCTATCCATACGTTCGGAAATGGTAAATGCATTGTTTTCTCGGTTCATTGTAAAACTAGTTCGTGCACAAACTAAAAAATTAAGCAAAGGAAGAAATAAGAATCTCGTTTTTAATGTACTTAATCTATTCTTATTTTTTATTTTATAAAAATTACACTGCCACTAATAAATAACACAGGCTAGGCCTTCATTTTCGTTGAATAAATAAACTTTAATTTACAAAAAAAAAAGTGAAAAAGAGCTTTTTCGTATAAGACTTTTCTATTACAAATATCATCAGGAAGCTGTAGTTTAATTTTTATAGATTATACACGCCACACCCTGTATAGCAGCACATTTCCAGGAGTTAAACATTGCTTTCATGCTTTATTCTTTTGGAAAATAATTAAAAACCACGTCATTCATCCTACTGGTCTTTATTTTAACACAAACATTTATTTAAAAATATGAAATTAAATGGGGATCTACTCATACTTTATTTTTTTTGCCAAACTGAGTGAGAAAAAACTGAAAAGCAGACAATTAAACACAGTTTATTCCACAATTTGAGAGTTTCGA